TTAGTTCCTCTTTCTACGACTACTAGCAAGATTACTTCAGTGAGTGAATCTCACGATTCTGTTAGTGTACAGATCAAGGAAGAAGTCAAACTGCCCACAGATCCCATTCAATCTATTGAGAAACCAAAATCACCAACAGATGTAGTTAAAACAGATACCAGTGACATGCCTCACCCTCAGCCCGTTCCCTCAACCGGCTCTCTTCTCCCAATTGGAGATAAATCTCTTTCGAAATCTGACGATATTCTTAAGCCACTAACGGACCTGAAGGATGTTAAGTCCCCAACTAAAATTGATGAGAAACCCAAGTCCCCAATTGATGCAACAAAGAAAACTCCTAAAGAATACTCTGATGATGAAAGTGATGATGAGATTGGATTTGACAAGCCTCAAGACAAGACCCTTCCTTCCGCCACACCATTAGTTCCTCTTTCTACGACTACTAGCAAGATTACTTCAGTGAGTGAATCTCACGATTCTGCTAGAATACAGATCAAGGAAGAAGTCAAACTGCCCACAGATCCCATTAAATCTATTGACCTGAAGGACATTAAGTCCCCAACTAAAATTGATGAGAAACCCGAGTCCCCAATCGATGCAACAGAGAAAACTACTAAAGAATACTCTGATGATGAAAGTGATGATGAGATTGGATTTGATAAGCCTCAAGACAAGACCCTTCCTTCCGCCACACCATTAGTTCCTCTTTCTACGACTACTAGCAAGATTACTTCAGTGAGTGAATCTCACGATTCTGTTAGTGTACAGATCAAGGAAGAAGTCAAACTGCCCACAGATCCCATTAAATCTATTGAGAAACCAAAATCACCAACAGATGTAGTTAAAACAGATACCAGTGACATGCCTCACCCTCAGCCCGTTCCCTCAACCGGCTCTCTTCTCCCAATTGGAGATAAATCTCTTCCGAAATCTGACGATATTCTTAAGCCACTAACGGACCTGAAGGACATTAAGTCTCCAACTAAAATTGATGAGAAACCCAAGTCCCCAATTGATGCAACAAGGAAAACTCCTAAAGAATACTCTGATGATGAAAGTGATGATGAGATTGGATTTGATAAGCCTCAAGACAAGACCCTTCCTTCCGCCACACCATTAGTTCCTCTTTCTACGACTACTAGCAAGATTACTTCAGTGAGTGAATCTCACGATTCTGTTAGTGTACAGGTCAAGGAAGAAGTTAAACTGCCCACAGATCCCATTAAATCTATTGAGAAACCAAAATTGCCAACCGATTTAGCTGAATCAGTTCCAAAATATTACTCTGACGATGACAGTGATGAAGAATTCGAAACTGCTAAGCCACATGACAAGCCTTACCCTCAGCCCGTTCCCTTAACCGGCTCTCTTCTCCCAATTGGAGATAAATCTCTTCCGAAATCTGACGATATTCTTAAGCCACTAACGGACCTGAAGGACATTAAGTCTCCAACTAAAATTGATGAGAAACCCAAGTCCCCAATTGATGCAACAAGGAAAACTCCTAAAGAATACTCTGATGATGAAAGTGATGATGAGATTGGATTTGATAAGCCTCAAGACAAGACCCTTCCTTCCGCCACACCATTAGTTCCTCTTTCTACGACTACTAGCAAGATTACTTCAGTGAGTGAGTCTCATGATTCCGTTAGTTTACAGATCAAGGAAGAAGTCAAACTGCCCTCAGATCCCATTAAATCTATTGAGAAACCAAAATCACCAACAGATGTAGTTAAAACAGATACCAGTGACATGCCTCACCCTCAGCCCGTTCCCTCAACCGGCTCTCTTCTCCCAATTGGAGATAAATCTCTTCCGAAATCTGACGATATTCTTAAGCCACTTACGGACCTGAAAGACATTAAGTCTCCAACTAAAATTGATGAGAAACCCAAGTCCCCAATTGATGCAACAAAGAAAACTCCTAAAGAATACTCTGATGATGAAAGTGATGATGAGATTGGATTTGATAAGCCTCAAGACAAGACCCTTCCTTCCGCCACACCATTACTTCCTCTTTCTACGACTACTAGCAAGATAACTTCAGAGAGTGAATCTCACGATTTTATTAGTGTACAGATCAAGGAAGAAGTCAAACTGCCCACAGATTCCATTAAATCTATTGAGAAACCAAAATCACCAACAGATGTAGTTAAAACAGTTCCAAAAGATTACTCTGACAATGAGAGTGATGAAGAATTCGCAATTGCTAAGCCACAACACAAGGCTCTCCCCCAGTCGATTCCAGTTGGAGATGAATATTTGCAAGGGGCTAATATAGTTAGTAATGAGCTGGTGCAATCTCAATTCACATCCGCGCAAAGTCGTTCAATCGGACATGAGGGTAATGTAGTTGATGATTTTTCCGTTGTAGAGACCGATGACTCTAGGTCGATACACCAAATTGTTGAAGAAACTTTGAGGGCTGGTGATGCAGAGGTGCAGAAGATAGTTAGCGAAACTCTTAGAAGCGTGCAGTTGCATAAGGATTTAGAAAGTAAGGATCAAGTATTGACTGGGGTTGGTAAAAGTGAACGGACGGTCGAAGAAATTGTAGCGGAAACATTAAAAAGTGCAAATGTGATAGTTGAGAAATCACAAGTAGTGGAACCGTCTAATGTGTGTTTGGATACTAGAGAGAACGAGAATATTGAATGCAAAGAAGTTCGGCCCATATCTTATTTTGTCAAATTAGAAGAGGGAAAGAAAGATGAAAAGCTCACTAAAAAGAAGGAAACAAAAGTCTTACCTAAGAAAACAAATACAGTAAAAGATGAAAAGCCTTCGAGTACAGTGTTAAAGAATCAACGAGAGAAGAAGCAGTTAGTTAAAGAGAAAAGCTTAAAGGCGAAATCTCCAATAACGCAATTAAAGCCAATATCAGCTAGCAAGCAAAAAGTCGCAAGTAAACCAGTATCAACTGAACCCAAGAAGCTATCGAGGAAAACCGAGTCCAAAAGATCTGTAACAAGTTCTACCTCGACAACAACGAGCTCGGCGTCGGCAACAAGTCGTGTCATTAGCGAAATTCATTTTGAAAGAGCTGCCAGTCCAGCATCAAGTTCAATATTTTACGAAAGTCAAGGGGAAAATAGTCGCTCCACAACGCCAAGACCCAGAGTAAAAACCGATGTCACCAGAATTCCATTCAACACCCCAGTTCGCTCGTTTAGTCCGCCACAGAAAACCTCAAAAGTATCCAGATCAACGAAAAGGACAACCGTTAATGCTACTAAGCAAACAAAAGTAGTTACTATACAACAGAAAAATGAATTGAATATGACAAGCTCTACGAAAGTTGAGAAACGCACTGTGAAAACACCAACTACAATTATCACACACAGATATATGCAGCCAACATTAGCGCACAGTATGCGTTACGGTCTAAATACCGATGGTGAGAGTCGAAGTGTGACTCCAGCTCCAGCTAAGTCCCCAGCACCACCCAAATCACCAGCACCAGCACAAACCAATCGACAGAGTATATATAGAATAAAGAATACGACAAGTGCCTTGACAAAAAACTCGTCTATAGAACCAAAACAAAGGAAATTAACCAGCGAAAAGCCATTAGCTTTGACTCTCAATAAAGGTCCCCAAAATGAAAGTAAAGAGTCATTAAAGAGTACAGATCGCCTTTACAAAAGACAAATATCCAAAGAGAATAAACAAGCAAACGTGATAGGCTCCAAGAGCCAAATAACTAAAAGCATGAAGACACAATCAGCAATTGCAACTAAATCCATTGCCTACAGAACTTCCATAGACACTGACAACAAGCTACAGAAAAAAACAGCAACAACAATGCAACGCACTAAAGTTCCAATGAGCTTGTCTTCCGTAACAACAAGAACTTCAACTAAACTAAGCAACAAAAGTGATGAAACCGTTTCAAAACCTCAGATAGACAATAAGAAAATCGTTAGGAAAACAGTAAGCAAAATGAGTGGGGGAAGCACTATTCGCAGTTCCATCGAGCCGAAACTACAAAAGCAAATGAAGGACACAATGAACGAATCGAGCACTACAGCCAGTGGTAGTACCAGTGCCAGTGGGTCCTCGAACAGCACTCGACGCAGCGTGCGGTCCGTGCTGGTTAGCCGTAAGACGGACAAGGAGAAGACCAATATGAAGCTATCGGAGAAGAAGGGCGTTGCCATGGCGGCAACGATGACGTCAACAGTACGTGCTCACAGGGAGCCCACAGCCACAACCGGCGCGGTTAGCACCGTGCTCGTTGATGACGACTCCGAGGTGATAACCATACGATCCATTAAATCAAGTGATAGTACAAAAAGCTCTACCTCATCATCCTCCGGTAGCGGCAGCAACAGTCGCAAGGTGCTAACCAGCGAGGTTTTCACTAAAACACTTGGCCCCGACAAGCCCCTGGAAGTGATCTACCGCCAGCCCGATTTTGATGTTGAACACCATACATCAATTGGAATGCGTCCGCAATCGACTAGCGATCAACAGCGCTACGTTAACGAATTCGATGTCAGTTTTATCGATACCACCGATTCCAGTCTCTCCGACTCCGTTGCACTGCCCATGTTTGGCCCTGGTGAGCCAGAGCGTTTACTAGCCGCCAGTCCTGGTTCACCCAAGCCAACCCGTAGTCCCCTAGCACTGATTGAGGAGACATTGCGGCGCCACCATCATCAGCACCAGCACATTGCTCCGTCGGTCAGTGCAGTAGACCCTTCGCAGCAAGTTCATGTCGAGAGCGTTAGCCTTGTGGCGGTGAGTGAGAGTCGAGTAAAGAAAGAGACGGAGCAGAGCAGCACATCAAAAGGTAAATAGATATATTTAGGTTTAGTTAGAGCACTGTCATACATTTGTTAAGCATAGCTTAGAGCGATACCCATCATGCTTAGGGATTTATCAAACTATATGCAACTTTTCTAATTGATATCAATTTGCAAACTGCTTTTATTTAATTTAATTTTAACTTATTTTCCACAACTAGCTAACGCAAATAACTAAAATCAATACTTAAAAGCCACTATAATAAATAATAAGCCTAAAAAACACCCACCAAAATGTCCAAAAAACTCCCAACAATATCCGTAACTGCCGAGCAGCATTCCACATCATCCTCATCCTCCCAAGACTCCGATAGCAATGACATGGACTATGGCAACTACGGCGGCGTCACAGATGTTGAAGATTTCGATAGTCAGCCCGAGGTGCTTCGGCTTAACTCCCGTCGCAGTTCTGGCAATCTATCACCCAAGCCAAAAAGCGAGCAGAAAAAGTCGAATCCCTTTGAAAACGATGTCACTGACGTGGAGGACTATGACACTGAATCAGAAGATGATGATGATGATGAGAAGAGTACTGCTTATCCGGAGTTGAAATTATCACTACGCGAATTTCTGCAACAAGGATTGCAAAATCAAGAGGCTCTAGATAACGATGCCAAGGAGAGTTGTGTAATTAGGGACGGTAACTTTCTGCAAGCCCAAGACTTGAATGGTGTGGCAGATCTCTTAACCGACTGCGAGGATTATGACACAGACTCTGAAGTGGGCTACGGCTACGAGAAGTCCGTATGTGTTGACTTAGACATTGCCGTGGGCGATCAGGCGCGGGTCAACATTGCCGATGGTGAGAAGCACGAAGATGACTCGGATAATTACGAGGATGTTTCCGTCATTAGCGACATTAGTGACTTGGCTTCGGCCATGTCCGACTGTGCAGGCATCGGTGCCCATATGCGTGGCATCTCTGAGGACGAAGTACTCGTGGTGTCTGGCAGCGGCAGTGAACAGGTATGCCAAATTTCCTGCTCGGGTACTGAATCTGAATCTGGTGGTGCTGCTGCTGCCAGAAGCGCCAGCTCAAGTGAACCCAGCATTGCTCCCATCGATGTCGCGTTTGTCAGTGCCAGCGGAGAGACGCGCAGGAACTCGAAGTCAACTTTGTTCAATGCTGAAAAAAGAAATTTCCTGCTTATGGCTACTAGAAACGAAGAAGTTGTCACAGATGTTGAGGGCATCGATGATTCAATAGCCGAAGACAGCTTCGACAATGAAGAGGAAAATGAGCAGCCAATTCCACGTGCGGTTATTCTCGCGACTGGCGATGATGGCACCTCTCTAACCGATGTAGAGGATATGTTTTGCGATGACCTTTCACTCTCGAGCGCCATACCCGAAGTAGTTGCTGTAGCAGCTGAGGTATTGCCTCTGCCACATCGCGAGGTTGTTGAGTTGAAGGAGGATAAGTACGGCGACACCGTTACGAATGTCATGCCCATGAATAGCAACTATGAGTTTGGAATTTATAATCACTTGAAGGATGTCAATCACACTGATTCAGAGGACTACTCCTGTGCCGAAGACATTAGCGCCAATGTTTCTCTAGCCGAGGAACTGGCCATTGGAGCATCTGGTCTAATCGATAACGAAGTCATTGTATCCAACGAGCTGTTAAAACAACAGTTAAGTAAACGTCTCGATGTGCAGTCCAATGCTGAGTCTGTCACCGACGTCGAGGAGATCTTCGTGGCTGGCACTAATCGTCGCAAGAAGTTGAAGGCGCGCACCCCTAGCAAGGGCAAGAACAAGTTGCTCGATGTGGTCAAGGGCAAGGAGGAGGGTATAACCGATGTGGAAGACATGGATTTGAGTGAGTGTGATCTGCCGCTAGGCATTAAGCGAGTCGAACAACTAAAACACCAAGCCAAGACCCAAAAACAAGACAAACAAAGCGATACCGACGATACTTCCACAGACGACATATCCAATGCATCCGATGTCCCATTACCGCCACCTGATTTGCCCAAACAGAGCCACAACAAACCCAAATTGCTGCCACTCCACTTGCGTTTGCCCAAAGACGATGCTTATAGTCAGCACAACACAGACATCGAAGATGTGCAGTTGCCATCCGATGCCGAGGATGCTCTCGAGCCACCTGCCATCCCTGTGGCCAACAGCAACAGCGAAGAGCTCAACGATATGCTCAACGAGAGCTACACCATTGTTCACGAAAAGAGCGGCAGAAGTTTCAACTCTGAGGATGAGAAGATGCACTTGAAGAGTGTGATACGAGATGCCCACACCGACGTTGAATATGTTGAGTCTGATGAGTCAGCTGCTCGAGGCGGCAACTAGTCTCCTTGTCTACGGATTCATGCACACATATATATGATTTGCCAAAAACAATCTTAACAATAGTTCATAATTGGTATAACTTAACAAATAATACAAAATACAGATCAACTGATTAATACATACACTCAAGCATATTGTAAGTAAACCTAACAATTCACAATTAGCATATCGTATAAAATTAACATTTTCGTTACAATTTATCGCCAACACATGAAAGCAACAAAAAGCCTGAATCTAATTGCTACTACTGTCTGCCGTACCAATACTAACAAATTCAAACATTTATTAATCACATAAGCGTCGTTCAACTAACATTCTAAGTATATATATATATATTTAGTAATTAGAGCTAACAACAACAAAGTTCTTTGGAATCTATTTCGTTTTCGACCTTCATTTTGAGTCCGTGTTATTATTATTTTGTTTGTAGCGTATATTTATGGTATGTAATGCTTTTAGGTTACTTTTATGTTGTTTTCCAACACTCTTAAAACATTACTAATTCCCAAATTGTTCGCTTACAGAGGGCCTTACAAAAACAACAACAACATTTGGCCCAATCATTCTGCATACAGAGCAAATATCACAAGAAATTGGTAAGTACAGCTAATTACCATATAAATAATTAGCTTTTCATAATTTTGCGCGAACATTTTCTCATGCGCTTCACAATTTGTATTTGTAATTATAATGTTTATTATATTTGAGTCTAATTGTTATTTTATTTTATTTAATTTTTTTGTTAATTGTTTTACAAATGCAATTAAAGCTCATTGAGACAAAAAGTTAACATATGAACTTAGCTCAATTTGATAGCTAGAAAAACGCTGCTAAAAGATTTCGCTCACATCACCACCAACATCACCGCATTTTTGAAAATCATCTACTATCTACCACACATAATGTTGCACATATAGACATAGTATTTACAAATTTCGCTTCTCATGCAGTCTCATGATTTCCAAAGCTTGCTAACTATCTAATTTCTATCTATCAATGAACAACAAAAAAATGTGCGATTATTTTACAGGTGATGTTGGTGAAGTTGGTGAAGGTGATGAAGGCGAAGATCTTGTGGCACGCATTCGCGAGGAAGCCAAAATTCTAGTTGAACACGTGCTCGAAGAGAGCGTTGATTACATTGAAAGCCAGGGGGATCAGCCCAATGGCCATGATTCCATAAGGCTTGAATACAATTCAGAGAGTGAAAACTATGCTATAACATGCGATGATATTGTCGGCGTTGATGTCATCAAATCGCCAACCATTGAGTCCATGTCCGGCAAATCTTTCGATGATAATATGAGTTTCACCGACGAAAACATTAATTTACCCTTGCATGCCCAAAACATAACAACAACCATAACAACAACAACAACAACTGGTACTGGTACTGGTACAGTAACCACGCAGTTCCAACAACAGCAATCGTCTGCAACAACAACAAAAGGTAATCTATAATGTCAAGTGACAATGTGTTAGTTCTACGATAGCATAGACGTTATAGAAGCCATATAAGTAGGACCTTAGCCAATATCTATCCATTGTGTTGTTTAGTCCGTTTTGATATAACCATACTCATTCCCTTAATCTCATGTATTTATGTATGTATCATCCCCCAAAAACATATGTACTTGCCATCACATGTAGTGCCTAGTGAAGATCCCGATGATCAATTGGATGTGCGTACTAGACGCATCGCGTATAAGATCGAAAAGCTATCCGATGATTTAGAGGATGTGAGCGAACGATTCGATGAGGCATTCCAAACGGTCGTCCAAGAGGATGAGATAAGTGCCCTGCAGGGTGAATATTCGAAGCTCAGTTGGGACGATAGTGTTTCGCCCACTACAAACACAATGGCCGATATGGCACAGACTCAATTAACGCCTGATACTGATATGCAAGAGTTGAACACAGGTATAGCTCATTAGTTTATAGAATACACCCACTTACTACTAACTACATATAATTTTATAACAACTACAACATATATATCTATATATATTGCTTTGTATGGCGCTCCTCTATTGGTGATTTGTGTAGATTGTGAATACAAATTTTAGATGTACAACGTTTTCCAAATGCTGCCAATTTCATAAATAAAATGGCGGCCAATATAAAACGAATATACTTTTTGTTCAAGTTGAGCTCTAATTGCATTTAATGTTTTTATTTTAAAATTTGTTATCCGTTTAATCATACAAAAAATATGTGCATGTCAACTCCATAAATGTGTGGACCTATCTATCACTACTTATCACTCATCACTCCAACCCATCCACAACTATCTACTATCTACTATTTTAAGAGCCTATCCACATACTAACCACTCTCACACAAGTTAAACAACTGTTTCTGTTCATCATCCTCTTAATACTGTTTTTGTTCTTGCATACTTTACTCTCTCGCTCTCTCTCTCCCTGTCTCTCTCTTCCTCATCTTCTGTTTTTTCGACTTTCGCAACACTTTTAAAATTGCTTTTGTTTTCACACCTATTGTTTTGTAGAAACAGGCGGCGATTTACCAATCTCAGCTGATACCACCCCCATACCACCGTCAACTGTTGTAACAGCAACAACAACTACAACAACAGCCGCAGTTACTTCAGCTGAAACGCTGGTTGAAACCGATACATTCACGACCATGACCACGACCACCAGTCACGACACACCCACACCAAAACCGCGCGTACTCAAAGCAAGTCCCCCCGACTCCATCTCAGATGGCACCGATAGCACCACCACCATTCCAAATCAAGTGCAACCATCCGACTTACCGATCGATATAGGTTTTGATGCCGGCACACCAGTTCCGAAACCACGTGCTCCCATCAAGCACTCAGATCAATTCGAGAATCTGGCTGCATTGGGTGAGCAATCGGATAGCATTAGTCTGCGTAGTTTAGATTTTACGGAGGAACTCTCCAAAACAGATGAGCCCTCCACAGAGTTGTCGATTCGGTCTCAGCTACGGGATATAGTCACAACGACAACAACCACAACAACTGCCTCGGAGGATCACACGGAGAGCTTCGAGCCAACAAGCGAGATTTCAGTGGACGATGTTGACACTGAAAAATCGGAAGGTGCCGAGAAGACAACTAGCTTTTACATTGGCGAATCGAGTCGGAATGTGATTACCAAAACTTCAACGAGATCTCCAAGTATGACCCCGCAGGATGAACAGGCTGCAACCGATATGAATATTGAGGCCAAGGACATAAGTATGATGAAGGAGATATCCGTTGACTCGGATGAAGCAAATGACGCATTCAAAGAGTATGTTACCATGAAACCCGATGATCCCATCGCCATGGATAGCAAAATAGTCAGGCAAAGTTCAGAGACCAGAAATGATATATTGGAATTTGAAAATGCCGACAAAGATAAATCTGGGGATGCCAAGCTCTCTAAAGTAACCACCGAGGAGAGCCTGACAACTTCAACTGGGTCAAGTGGTCGTGCCATTATCGAGGTAGCACCTTCAAGTAGTGAAGATCCCGATGAATCCAGCAAAGAAATTCCGGAGATAGTCAATACAGTCGCTGAAAAGACAGACAAATTCGAGCTGCCCCTAGAGAAAAGCGAATGGGAAATATCTGAAAAGGAAATTCCCACTGAGAGTAAACCAAAAGTGGTGCACTCGCCACAACAACCACAGTCATCCACAGAGAAAAATGTCATTGACGAGCTGCTGGTAAGTCAGCCAATTGCAGAGATCCAAGAATCCGGGGAGTTAGTCAGAAAAGAATTTGAGCTTAGCAGTGTGGCTCAAGACTTCACTACTGAAGGTGGGCATGAGGATGTGTCATCGTTCATAGGCATACCCGAGATGCAAGCTTCCACAATAGATAGCACCCAGCCACCGGACGGTCTCTTCGATACCACAATCAAGGAGACATTAAACAAACAAGCAGCTATGGCTCATTATGCCAAAGATGTGTTCAGCCAAGTGGAACGGCGTGATGATCATGGATCTCTCGGATTTGTCTCAACAGGCACCGCAGAAGATTTTAGCTCAATGGAGGAACACTTGGCAAAAGAAGAACAAGGCTCCCTTGGATTTATATCCACTGAAACTGCGGAAGACTTTAGTTCCATGGAGGACTATTATACAGAGAAACTAGCGACTGCTTCTGTAGTCGCTGAAGGAAGTATTGCAGCAGATAAATCGACGGCCAGTGCTTTTGAAGAGGCCATTTCAGATCAGAGTATTAAAGCCGTGGATTTGGTAGTTCATCGCATTAAAAGTGATTCATCGCCAGAATCCGCCAACCGCTGGTCCATTCCAGACGTTGACAACTCCAGTTCCAGCGAGAGCTATCCGAAAAGCTTTGATAAAACCCAGAGTCGTCCACTTTCATCGGATGTGGAAAACTTGCTCACCGGCACTGGCACTTCCAGCGAATACCAAACCGCCAGAGACTTCACATCCACCTGTCGGGATGGCACCGAATATGTGAGTGCAGTAAGTACTCTGGGCAGCAGCAGTGGCAAGTCGATTAGCTCCCACGAGAGCATGCGTAGCTTGGACTCCCAGTCGGAAACATCAGCGAATCTAATAAGCATTGATGTCTCCGAATTGTCCGAGACTCTGGTAGCATCATCGACAGAAGCTGATGCCCTGGAGGCGGAGGAAATGGCACGACTCCAAGAATTGCGCACTGATGACGATGATGATAGCGATGAGAGCCTGGATATGATAGCTTCGTCGTATCCCACCCCTGCCGAGCAGCAAAGCTCAATGAAGCGTTCGCAGGAGATGATTTTCAAACCCAAATCAGAATTGCAATCAGATGAAACCGAGCAGATTGAGGAATATTCCAAGCCGAAGGAAATCGAACGTACTTGGGGTCTAGCATATCCCATTGAGGAAAAGGAGGGCAAAGTTGATAGTCCACGGGATAGCGAAAGGGGTGAAGACATCCTGCTTTATCACGGCGATGCAAGACGTTCGATTGATGAATCAAAACTAGCCTCAAGCTTGGATGAGGGCAGTATACTCTCAGTTAGCATGTCGAGTACATCGAATATCGATACGGTTGTGGAGAACTTTGACGATATAGTCGGCTCTGCCGGTTCATCATCGTTGACGGGCATTGAAGGTTTTCAGTATGCTCACGATGAGCAAATCGCATCCGCTTCCATGCCCGAGGACACAACATTTGTCTTGGAGATGGAAAGCAAGGATCAGTCACCACAGGACTCAAATGCCAGTACACCGCCTGGTGGTGAATCGAAGAGACGCGGCCATAAACGCAGTGAAAGTACCACAATTTCTGGCGATGCGTTGAAAAACTTGGATAAAGAAGCCTCATCACCCGGCGAGGGCAAGGAATCGGAAAGCGAATCCGATACAGATCCCTATGAATCTGAATATGCACGGCAGTTCCGCTCGCCAAAAGAACGCAAGAGCAAGAAAAAGAAGCAAGCCGCCGCTGAAATGGATCACAGCTCCGAGCTAGAGAAACGCCCATTTACACCATCCCAACTTGTGGCCGAGATCATTGTGGAGGATGACACCGAAGAGCAGGAGGCCGAAGCAGCTATGATTGAAGAACGACGTCCATCTCAAAATATGCAAAACTATTCAAATATACCCGACATTATGGTAACCGAGGATGTGAAGTCGCCCATTTTGGAAGAGGGCGCCGATGAATTCCCCGAGAAGTCGCTCTACAAAGCGCGCACCGAAGAGGAACTAAACAAGGCAACGGATGTGGATGTGTATCAGAAGGCCAAGGCTGAGGAAAAGGAGCTGGACTTCCAGAGACGTGTCCAGGAGCAGTACAAACAGAAATTGGAGGAGCTCAAACGTGCTGAAGTTGGCGCCGATTACGAGGATAGTCGCGCAGCCGATTCACCGGACTCCTTTGAAATGGTCGAACAACCCGATATATCCGATGAATTTGTCATCATCGAAGAGGTAGCCAAAGAAGCCAATGAAGTGGATCTGGGTGGCAAGAGCATAAAGATAAATCCCATTAAATTAGAACAAAAACACGATCAAGATGTTGAAAAGATCATTATCAAATCAGCACCAGCTGATCCCAAACTCGGCTCACAACTGTACAAGGATGACCTCAACTTTGAGTTCGAGGAGAGTCCGCCAACGGGAGCCAGCAGTAGCAGCGATCAGCCCGAGGAGAGTGATTCGAGTGACACAACTGCGGCCAATAAGCGATGGGTCGAGATGCAGCTGACGGATACCCAGCTGCGTTATCCCTACGATTTGACGGGCGCTGTGCTCGAGGACATCAAGGAGGAGGATGGTGAATTTGAGGTGGGCAGCAGTCGAATTAGCAGTTTCAAGGACTCATTCTCGAGCACACCAGAATATGACTTGGCAGCGCGTCGCTATCATTCCCGCGGCGAACACGATGACGTCTCCATGAGCAGTCTGCAGGAGTTCGAGTCACTGGAGCAGGCCATCTCACTAGAGAATCGAAATCGCGCCCACCAGGGCTCCACGGACTCGAGCAACGGCAGCTTTACGCGCCGCTATATGGTGCGGCACAGTGGAAGCGGTACAGCGCCTGGCGATGATGTTTCCATATCCAGTTTGAAGGATTTCGAGGGACTGGAGAGTGCATGCATTGAAGCGCATCTGATTGAGATCAAGGCCAAGGAGGAAGCGGCGATGCTATCGCGCTCCGATGAATCCAATAAATCGAATGGTAGTGATAACGGTGCTAGCGGAAATATGGTGGTCACCAAAGTGACTCGCACTGTAACCCGGACGGAAGTTTTGCCCCCTGTCCAAGCAGATAATCTGGAACTTTTGCTCAAGCAACAGCTGGAAAGGGATGAATTTGACTCGAAGGCTGTTAGCGGAAGTGTAAAACTTGGCGATGTGACAGCCACAGAGCTGGATGCAAAGTCGAAGATTGACAGTCAGGACTCTGAAAAGGATAGCATCGATAGCATGGAGATTAGGAGTCATGATATGATGACCAGCAGCATAGAAAGCTTCGATATATCGAAGGATGCCACGACACGCTCAGACATTGATTCGCTGGAGATTGACAAGCGACATTCGCGACAGGAGAGTATCGAATCCTTTGGCGATGAGCAGCTTGATCTAATGTCCAAGCTGGTCAGCGGCGGTGGAGTGACATTAGGTGATGGCTTGACCACAACAACGACGACAACAACCACCAGCACGGATGCTGATGGGCAGGAACATACAGTGATAACCACGACGACGACTATCTCCGGTGTCGGCTGCATTCAAGATTTGCCCATGGATGAGAGTGGCATGTCAAAGGACATATCCGTTGATTCGCTAAATCTGTGCATGGAGCAAACAACAAGCTCCGCTGGCACTACGGCCACGTATCAGACAAGCGCTGGGAATTCCCAGATGTCTGGTAGTGTTACTAGTTGTGCTTCAAGTACGCTCATGGAGGATTCATTTCCTGGTGTGGGTGGTATGTCGTCCTCACAAATGTCAGCTAGTTTCTGGTCCCATGATGAGTCAACGGTGGTTGAGGATGAGGATCTAAGGGAACAACAACCACAACCACAACAACAGCAACAACGCCAGTAAAGATGAGAAGGAAAGAATTAATTTAGAATGGGGCTTGAACAATGACTAAAAATATTTGGCTAGGTAAGCATTATAAGGCGAGGTTTTATCAGTTTTTAGTTGTACTTTTGATTTACGATTTTGATTTCGGTCTGAATTTAGAAGCAGCAGAGCTCAACTTTTACAGAGAATCGTTCCGCCCTTATTAAAAAAATATATAACAAAAAAACAAATTGTTTCTATACTCAAATACAATTTTTCTCTTGTATACAATTACAGAAAATATGTTGAACTAAGGACGCAAAAACCTTGATCAAATCTACCTGGCCATGAAATATATCTGAATGGGACACCAATTCACCAACTTTATACGTCACGGACTTTCACATAATTCCAAACTTGATTATCGTAATAATAATATAAAAACAAAAAAAAACTAGCAAATTTGGCATTTTTCATCAATATTAACATTTTAAATGAATGAGTTTTGAATAACAACAGAAAAATATATACATAATATATATATATATTTTATATATTTATAAAAACTATAAAAATCGCAAAATTGAATATGGCAAGCATTAGCTGTTTCGCATTCTTTTTAATTGGCTTTAATGTTGAACAACAAATTTATGAAATCTTCAAAGGACAAAACCATTTTTTGAGCTAACAAACAAGAACGCATTTGTAATGGAATGCTGAATACACATTTGCTTTTAATTTGATGTAGTTATACTTATTATATGTGTATGTATTAAATGAATCGCTTATTATTGTAGTTTAATTTAAGCAAAATATACAAGTGCATATGTAAAGAGCAAGTTGTAGTGAAGGCCTGGGAAGTGAAATGCTTTTAAAGTCTCATTTTTTACAAGAACCAAGCAAATTTTTACGCTTGCATATTTTAATGAAAAATATACATACATAATTATACAATAAACAAACCGAAATACATAGATAAAATTTAACAAAAACAAACACAAAAGAAAAAGAAATACTTATATACAAGTAAACACAACCACACCCAGTGTATGGTAATTATAATTATTCACATTAAGCCGCAAAATCATACAACAGAGCCATATACTTAATGCTAATTTTCGTAATGCACATCTTGCAGTGTATTCATAATATACTTACTTATTACAAGATTAACAACGTTTTAGCATCGCCAGTGTAATGGGTTATAAATATAAACAATATTTGTGTTAAAAACATACAGCAAATTACAAAAAAAAAAACAAAAAAAAAAACATTATTTGTATTGTAAACCACACGCGTATGAATAACCAAATAAAATGCTTAATAAAAAAATTGTTTTCGATGTTTTTACTGGGATGAATAATACGCAGATGATGCATATATGTATAAAAAAAAATGGGTATTAACGTTCTCTTATTAGGAATTTAGCAGAACACCGAAATTGTTACTGAAAATAGTATTTTTCCAATGAAATTTAGTATTAATGTAGATAGCCAATCAGAAAGGAAGGTATTTATTTAAAAGATAGGTTCAGTTTTGACGAAGGTTGGTGTTATTATTATTGGGATAGCTGCACTGTGACTTACTAGGTCTATTGTGCCCCCTTCTGAGCCTATAGCTCCGACAATCTTTTTTGGGTTGAGGGCTTCTATGTCTTTGAAACTAGGATGCTGCATCTTCTTCTTGTTAAAGTGATACACTCTGTTAGGATGTGAATTGGGGATTCTCCTCGCTTTCACAAAACCTGCAAATTTCGCTACTATAAATATCTAGTTTTGTTAGGTGGCTTCTTAGTCTACAATGTACTGTCAGTAGACCGGTGACGAAGGTATGTCAAGGAAAAATTTTCACGAACTCCAAATGAAAATCAAATTTCTAAAATTTCTAAAATTATGGCAATGGAATATTTAGAGCCGATTCCAAATGTATTTTTGGGTATAGAATTTTGATGTTAACTATGATTAAAGTAGTATATCTCTTGAAAATCGGTTCAGTTTTAAAATTCCATGAGAGTAGAATATTTGGAACCGTCCCCAAGTGAAGTTTTTGGAGTAGAATTTTCACATAAAATCAAAAAAACTTGTAAATACATTTATGTGCAGTATTATTTTAGTTTGTATTAATCCATTTTATTTACGATACAGTAATATTGTAGGCTCACATTTTATCATATTTACCAAAGCTCGTACAAATGTAGCTCTTTAACTTATCTATTTTTAATTATTTATATAAATGTAACATTTTTATTTATTATATTAAAAAATTAAACAGATTTAATACAATAAACCAGCTCTGCAGTAGCAGTTCGAACTGGTTCGTTTGACATATGTGCTCGGCAACCCTGCGCAGCGCACACATTACAGCTGACGACGAAAGCAACAGCTGACGAAGCAGCAAGACGAAGCGAACAAGCAATACTTCGTGCGTATGGAATAGAAAATTGGAAAAAAGGCAAACAGCACAGTGAAAAAATTGAGCAGAAAAATGAGGTGTTCAATACAATTATTTGGCTAATAAGAATATACAATTGGAGCCAAAATAAACCAAAATTTTGACAAAGTCAACGCACAAACGGGCTATGCAATTGCTGACAAACAAAAAAACAACAAAAAAGAAAACCTCAGATACGTTGTCGTTGCTGCTGCTGTCGTCGCATTTCGTATTGAGCTGAAAGAAGCCAAGAAGAAGTCAGATGACAGATGTAAAACCTAAAAATCGACGTGTGAAATTTGTGAAATTCTCGAAAGATAAAGATAACAAACGAATGCTGGGATATTGGTGCAAACACTAGTAAATTATACAACAGCCCCCCAAAAAACAACTGGGTTCCACCCGCCCCATTCCCCCCTTCAAGAACGAAACTGGTTATACACACAGCAACGACAGCAAAAACAACGACAACAACGGCGACGACGAACGCGACGAAGGAACGGGAGCAGCAGCAGCAGCAGCAGCGAAAGGCAGTTCGACGCAGCGGCGGAGATTGAGGGTGAGTAAAAAAATCGATTTGTTGCACAAAACGCCACACACACACACACCACACACACTCACACGATTGCGACAACCCTGTACACGAGGGCGGGCGAGTGTGTGGCTGACAATGGGCGGGGCGGGGACGAGCAACTGACGACGAACTGGGTTTTTTGTTGATGGGGATATGCACATAATAATTTCTCGTTGTATCCAATTCCCAGGCAAATGGAAAAAATCAAACTAAAAGTGATTGGGGTGCTGCGCGAGCGCGACGGTGGCACGAATGTGAATAGCAGTAGCAGCGTCGTCGGCGGCGGCGGTGGCGTCGTCTCCTCTGCTGGCGGCGTTGGCAGTCATCAGGTGGGCGTGGGCGTGGCCGTCGCTATCGGGGTCACGCAGGACAATGGCAATGGCAATGGCAACGATAGCAGCGGCAATGGCAACATCAACGGCAATGGCATCGGCAACGCCCCTCCTGCTACTGGTGCTGGAACTGGAGAGCGCAACGATACAGCAAATGGACTGAATGTAATCGGCAGTGCCAACAATGGCAGTGCTGCAACAACGGGTGCAGGGGGTGCGGCACGCACCTCAATACTCTCACGGCCGCAAACGTCGAAAATCAGCGCACTCGATCTGGCTGGCATTTTGAATACGCGGCGTCGTCTCGAATGGACCAAAGAGTGGCTGCGAAAAAATCAATCGGAATTTCTCAGCAAAGAGAATCTGCTCAGCGAGCTGCAGTCGCGCAAGGACGAGTGCTATCATCTGAATTACTTCCTAGCCATAACTGAGAGCCAGTTTCGGTATCTGGTGCAGAAACTGGAGCCCATCATCAGTCAGTATGCGCCACAGCGCAAAAAGAAATCCTTCAGCGCTGAGGAGCGACTGGCCATAACGCTCAAGTATTTGGCAACGGGTAAGGAATCACTGACTAAATCGATGAATTGATTTTTTTTAATTATGTAGATATAGATATAAATCCAATTGTAATGTTTTGTTGCAGGTGAAGTGCATTCTTGTCGAAACTACTGCTTCCGTGCCTCCAAATTTGTGATAAACGAAATGATTGCCAATATCTGTCTGGGCTTCTACGAGCACCTCAAGGACCAATACGTGACACTACCAAAGACTGATGAGCAGTGGCGAAACGCTGCCACCGATATGGAGCGCAAACACAACCTGCCCCAGTGTGTGGGCAATCTATTCATGCGCAGCATTCAGCTCCAAAACAATGTTAGCAGCAACGATGATCGCAAACGTGCCGCCGCCGTCATCTTTACGGCCATCGTCGATGCGGACAACAATTTCCAATATGTGAAAGTGGAGCGTGCGACAAATAGTCGTCCCAATGATATCTATAACCAGACCACTGCCGTTGAGCTAATCGAGCGCAAAATGCAGACACTCGAGGCGCAATCGAAGCCCCAACACAAAGGTTACTATTTGGCCGGTGATGCGGTGCTGCCGAGCACATCCTACATGGTCAGCACACGGAACATAGCCAAGGAGAGTGCTGCGTATGAGGCGCTCGAACAGATCAATGCTCATGCGGAGCAAACGATGCGCATATTGTGCAATATATTCCCAATACTAGCGCAGCCATTGCGCGTCAGCGAGAAACACATCGGCGAGGTGGTCCTGGGCTGTGTGGCTCTCTACAATTTCCTGCGGAAGACGGACGAATCGTTTCGGCGCAACAGCGACAGCATAGTGCAACAACGTGGCGGCATCGAGCAGCAACAACCCGCCTATGTGGACAGTGAGGATATCGACGAAGATTGCATAATGCTGGCCACCGAGGAGGAGTTGCGCGAACGTGCCGAATTCACGCCAAGCGTTTGCCCGACGACCTGCTTTCAGACGCTGGGCGCCCAGCGTGGCGATACGCCCGAGGGCCAAGCCAAGCGAGACTGGCTGCTCCAGCTGCCCATTGTGGGTGCACAGCAGCAGAATGGCAATGGCAACAGCAATGGCAATGGCAATGCGACTACGAATGGGAGTTTATATTAGTATATTAGTGAAATTTTAATCTAAGTACTTTACGAATTTTTGTATAGTTCCTTGTTTTCTATTTCTATTTACTAAATCTTTATCGATAACTGTATCTGAATTGGCATTAGCATTGGTTATGTTGCTAAACAAAACAAAAAACAGACCATAGTTGTTTGCCTCTTTCTCGATTTACTAATGCATTAAGTGAGCTGTTCTTTTGCTTCTGTGCTTCTCGTAAGGTTCTGTAAAGTTAGTATAGGCTCTTTATCTTATTTTATTTTATTAGGTTTTTTCTCAATTATGTTTTTTTTTTTGAAAGTTCAGTGAATGCTATGTGATGTCTCAAATCTCTATTGTGGCCCAGTGCTCCCGGGGAGCTTTTGTGCATGATAAGGCGTGCAAAGATGCGAGAGATGAAAGAAAACAAAAATATAAACAAAAAGAAAAACACAAAACGACAAAAAAGAAATAAGAAAACAGATTAACAAAATTAAAAGTTTAGTATTCGTATTTAAGCAAGCAACAAATTATACATAATTATATTTACAATAAATGTGTAAGGAGAGGTCTTTACGTGTCGAAATCTAATAACAACCTTAAATTATTAAATTGCTGTCATAATGCGGCCACTTCTGAATAATTAGATAGAGTGCATCGCCGGGACTTTTCGTGGCGCTCAACTGGCGATGTCCCATCAACTGATACTCCTCGACCAGCTGCCCCTTGTCCACAGCGTGCGTCAGCAAGGCTTGGCCAGCAGCCAGTGCCGCATCCGTTGGCGGCTCCTCATCAAAGTTGCCCATAAAGGAAATGGCCAAACTGCCCGCATTGTTACCCGCTGCAATGGCGCCCTGTTGACTTGGACTGCGTCCCTCGTAGATACGCCCGTTGCCTCCGATCAGATAATGATAACTAATATCCGAATACTTCGCTCTCGTCATTTGGTATGACTGAATGCTGCGTACCAGGTTATCACAGCTCACGTCATCACTGCAACCACGCCCAGCCGTGTGAGCAATAACAGCACGAGCCAATGGCAGCGTCATCGCTGTCATCTCTCCGCTGGGCGCTCGAGCTCGCCATTCTTGCCGCGAGACAATGGGCAGCTCCGATCCAGCTTGGACAGCTGGGCCGACAGCCAGGCAAACGACAAATGCAAACAACTTCCACGCGGAGCTCATCTCGACTCGATGGTTGGCAAGCGACTGAGGCGTGCTCGGGAATGGGGTCTGAACTTATTGACACCTCCTGATAAGCAGCGAATTGCTCTCGCCTCTAGACCACATTATCTGAATCTGTGGTGATTTTTCTGAGCACACGTCACAAATGAAAACATGAATACATATTCTATTTTTTGCGAGGGTTGCCTTAACTGTTTTCGATTGGAATTAAAGAGTTGATGGTGCTTTTACAACAACCGGAAAGCTTTTTAATAAAATAGAAAAATAAGGTTGTAATTTAAATTCATTTTATTTACGTACATTAATTTGTTTTAAAATATAGATAGTTCGATATAGTTTGATTTTTAAATAGATAGAGTAGAGAATGTCGAAATACAATTAAAGTAATTTTCCAAAACAAATTTTTACCTTTTTTTTTGTTGGTTTTATGAGCTATAAAAAAATATTTAATTATTTCTTTATTATTATTATTTCTTTATTTTTTCGTTGTATTGGGTTTCTTCTGGGCATTGCCCAATCCATGCACCAAATATCAGCCAATTTTGCAATTAAATACCCTTAAATATTCCTTTTTTATGATTGGAAATAAAATAGACCTTTTTTTTTAATTTAATTTAGTTTATTTATTAATTTTTGTATTTTTCAGTGTCGACTGATATTTGTCGACATTAAATAAATAAATACCACTTTAAAACATATTATATATTGTAGGCATACTATTTTAATACTATTTTGGAAAAATGTATTAGACTACCCAACATATAGAGCCAATTATCAGATTCTTTGTCTTTATTACTTGCGGGAACTTACATATGAGTCTTGATTACATCATGCCCGTAATTGTGCAGGGGATTCACCGTTGGCGATAGATGCCATTACTATGAGTCGCGAGTTTGTGCCCCTAAGGCTAACTCTTTATAATAGATTTCACATTATGTTAATTCAAACGAGAATTGCGCCGAAATAAAAAAAAAAGGGAAAAACACGACCTCAACTTGACACAGATGTTCTTCACAGTAATTTAATTAAAAAACTTTCGTAATGAAATGCAGAAGTACAGCAGATATAACGTGGTACAGTATAGAATGCAATCCATTTGCTCAGTTTTGGCTGTGAGCAAATCCTAAAGTGACAATGAAAATGCAAGTAAGCTCCCCCAATTAAAGTCGAAATGAATATAAAATGTCATAAAAAAAAAAAGAACCAAACCGCAAAAACCACGAGAAAATAGGGAGCGAAAGCCGCAACAAAGCCAACTCGAGGAGGCGTCACAAAAACGCAGCTCAGCTGTTGCAAAATGTGCTGAAAAGCAAGGGAAAACTGTAGTCGCATCCGCACGACTGTTAACTTGTATTTAAGTGAGTTTTATACAACTATTTTTATGGGACAGGCCAATACAAATAAGCCAACTAACTTAACCGTGCCAATTTTGCTGTTCAAGTTCTAATTTCGTGAGTCAAATACATATATATATATATATATATGACTTTGCTTACTTATATAGTAAGCACCAATTTAGTTGGCCCGCATTTCTGGCCAACGTATAACATCCATTTGCTAAATTGTCAAATTTATTTCGCTAATTGCTGCTCATCTGTTTAATTAAAATAAAAAGGACTTTAGCTGCACGCTGCAGCTTAACGAAAACTTTCCATTTTTCATACCCTTGCAGAGGGTATTCTATTTTTCTCGTAAGTGACTCGGGATCAAATGATTATATTAAAAAAGTCTACATAACAAATGTGATTTTTTCATAATGTATCAGAAAAGTTATTTTCAAGTTTTAATGCAGAGTTAATATACAAAAAAATGCAGTACAACGTTAAAATAATTATTTATTAACTTGTTTATCACAAATATAAAACGGGAATTTCTTGGAATATTTTAGAAGAGTGTATTTTCATATATTAATAGAGAATTAATATAGATATAAATCGGAAATCGGAAAATGTTGTCAGTGAAAAGTTTAATGCTTGTATGAAAAACTTTTTTCTTAATCTTATTCTGACCTATCCACAATTTACGTGGTTTATATTGCTTCAAAGATACATGCGTAGGGATATGAAAATCTGATTAATATATAATATCAGGTGAGCTGGTCAATTCTGTTCAGCAAGGGTATATAATCGGTGTTGTTTCTTCGTTTTTGATTTTTGTTCTCTTTAGCTATGCGCATTTTGTAGAATTTCGCATTGGGCACGTTTAGTTTGTGTCATCCTGCGAAAACAATGTGTCCGCTGTCTCCACTGTTTTAAATTGCGATGCAAAGTTTTTGGAGCACCTGGCAATAACAACAGGCGCCTCTGATTCTCAACTAGTTTTTGGCATTGCATTCGTGTTGCGCCTGAGAATAGGCAACGCGTTTTGTACAAATTAATTGACAAATCTCTGGCAACCTTAAAGACCTGAACTCAACTGAACTTAACTCAACAGAGCTCAACTCAACTGAGTTCACTTCACTCACAGAGCAAAGGTGTCAATTGTGGCAGCCGAAAAACTTGTGACTAACAACAGTACAGCAATATTGTAGAAACAGCTGCAGCTGCAACTGCAGCTGCAGTCAGGAGGACATCTCCGTCTCCGGCCTTCGTACTTACAACCGGAAAGAGCAAAAGTTGCAACCGCAGTGGATTTTAGCCCCAGAACTTTGCTGTGAAATTGGGTATTCGGTGCATTCGCTAGGGTTATTTAGTGGGTAGTTGGTTGAGGTTGGGTGGCTCGTTTCTTGTAATGCGATTTGGGTGCGAACATTTTTATGACAACTTGCTTAAATTTCATAAGAAACTTTTTTCGCTTACGAGTGCTACAAGTTCTGTTGATGTCTTTTGGATTTTGTGGGAGTAAAACGTTGGGCGCCACAGCTAATGAATAAAGTTCGCTTAAGCAAGACTTAACCTCACCAAACCGACTAGCTGAGATTTAAAGAGCCGAAAGCTGAAGCTGAAGTTGAAGTAGCAACTAATTGGCATCTGGTTGCCACGGACTCCTTTGCAACAGCAACAGCAGCAGCAACATAAGTCTTGCAATTTAAATTGTGGTTCTCATTCATTAGGTATTTATTATTCCTGTTTTATGCATAAGTCGTGTTGTGCGCGAAATTGGTATACACTCAGAAAAAAAGTCAGCCTGCATTTTAGAAATCCGCCTTAGTTTTGCCGCTAAGGGTAACCCATCATATTTTTAAGAAAGTATATTTCTAAAAATCATGGTCTTTCTTTTCTTAATTTCATTGTACAATTTTCTAAAAATTTAGAAAAAATATGGCTAATTTTCAGAGTTTTATTTCATAAGTGTAAAAAGAATTCTAAAATTAGCTTTCTTGTTGCTGATATTGTTAATAATCATTATTATTTTAATATAAAAGAAAGCTTTTCAAATTTCTAAAACATATTTTCTAATATTAATCTAATTATCTCGGAAAACAAGCAATTCATTCTAATTTTGAGGACGAAATTCAAAAATGCATTGTGATTTTCTTTGAGTGTACTCATATGAGCAAAATGCAATATTAAAGTCAAACTCTGATGCGTTACATCATCCGTATTCATATTCCTGTTCCTCTTCCTGTTCCTGTTACAACAATTCGTGGCCCTGCCACCTTCTGGTGCTGCTTCCATTATCATTTCCATTTCTATAGCCGACGTTTGTCCCGTTGCTCCTGCTGGTGTTGCTGTTGCACGCAACGCTCATCGACATTTCGGCGCTGTCAGAATTTTCATGCAGCTCAAGTCATTTTCATGCGCATTTTGGCCACTTGTGCGCTCAGCGCAAACACTTCAATTTAGCTTCAAGGATGCGTATGTGACGAGGACACAAAAACAGCTTCTAGCTTCCAGCTAAATTGAAGCGAGCAGACAAGAATCAAGCAGTCAACGAAGCCAAAGTGCCGGAAGGAGATGTGCTGCGACAATGGGGGGGCCAATATATATATATATATATTATATATATATTTATATATATATATATATATTATATATATATATATATTTTATATATATATAAATATACATAAACATATAAATATTCCACTACACATAAACCAAAATATGTGTGTGCTATTCAGTGACTCTTTAACTATAACTTTTGATATGTTCTAAAATCATAATATAGGAGTGCACTCAAATGTGCATTCCCTTGGTGGCCAACGAAGTGTGGAGCAGCTGATGCTACTGATGCTATGATGCTTCTACTGTTCCGGTTACTCTATAACACACCAACACCCATCAACTACTTAGCGTCAGAACGCTTAAAGCTGAATTTGTAACGCTTGAAGTGAGCTGAAAAAGGCACAAAGCCAATGAAGTCCAGGACGATGTATGTGTGTACACTCAGAAAATTTTTTTTTAGAAAATCGCCTTGAAAACCAGAAAGTTTTTCTTATTTTTGGAAATAATCTTTAAGTCTGTGAAGAAAACTTAATATGGCTTGCTCTAAATTTACAAAATGGTGGTTTTCTTTATATTTAAAATACTTTCTACAATTAAGAAATGCATTTTAAAGAACTAGAAATGCAAATCCTAATTACTTTCTAAAATTCAGAAACAAGTAATGAATTTAACTGACTCGACTTTTATTTTACAGTTTAGCTGTTCTCTGCCTTCGCTCAGTTGGAAGTCATTAAAAAATAATATAAGTAACAAAAAAAAAACAATTCTTCTATATACAGAAAACAACACCCTGAAAAATAGAAATTTGAAATATACTTCCCAAATAATAGGTTGAGTCACCCTTACCAGCAATAATGAAAAGAAATCAAAAATTTGTGGCGATTTTTTTCTGCTTGTTTAGATACTCTAACTGTAATGCCGGTTTTCTCATATATTTTTATTAAATCACCACACACACCCTGTCTGCTGCAACGCAGGACAAAAACATAGACAGAAGCATTTCGTATACGCAACGTAGAACAACAGCGAGCAGTGAGTGGCGACGACTAAAATTCGAGTTTAGACACTTGACAGTTGCATGCTACAAATGCCGCTTCCTCGCACACTTTGCTAACACTGCGTTACGAGCTTATTTTCGGGGTTTAATTTTGATTTAAATGCTGGCAGACAGCTTGAAGGTCGGAAAGCAAAAACGAAGAAGGGCATACAGATGCATCTGGACAGGCATACTAAGAGTGTTCCAGTGAAGACGGAGCTTGACTAGTGGGTACACTTGATTAGATTAAACGTTAACTTAAATACCAACTGTTAAGTCCTTAACATATCTGAAGCGACGCAAGAATATTAGCTCTTTATTGAAACGGAAATGAAACTTTCTCTGCGTTGCACAGGATATAAAAGCATTCTTAACTCCTCGTTAGTTATTGAAATTGAAGGCACCCTAATAAAATTACACTTCAAGGCGCGCTGAGCAGCAAAAAAAAAGAGTAAGAAAACAAAGAAATGCTGTAGACGAGCGAGATCGACTTCGATATACCCTGCACAGTTCATATATACATGTGTCGACATCGATTCGGCTGTTGATCTTGATTAGGAATATCACAGCTTTCTGTGGTCAAAAATGCTTCCTTCTGCATTTGCACAAAACCATTATACCCTTTTCACCCATTTTCAAGGGGTTCAGGGTACAAACACAGTCAGTTCGCCTGTGGTTCATTGCATTTGCATTAGATTACGGTAAGCAACTAAGCATATTTCGCGACAGACAGTCAATAGCGATGACACCAAGCCAGAACCAGAACCAGAACCATATCTACTGCTACAGCCACAGCTAACAACCACATTGACAACCACATTGACAACCGCAGCCGCATTTGGACAACCTCCTTTTGCTGGCTGGCAAATGTTAAAAGTGCAACTTCGTTGCCTCAAAATAACCGCAAAGTAAACACCAGCGTGTGGCACTGCACAGTGGCAAGTAGCAGAGAAGGTATTTGAATAGACGAGGACACGGACAGAAACAAGGACAAGAGCAGGGACACGGACAAGGACATTGCAGCCTGAAGTGGAGTGAAGAAGAGCAGAGGACAGTGTCGAGTACTAGTTGCAGCTTCTTGCCCATGCAAAAATAAATAACTGTGTAATTTAATATTTAAGGCTTTGTCAGTAATTATTTTGATAGAAGCGGTGAAACTTACGCCCTGCTCACGTCGCCAAGGAGATATAACAAAAAAGAATATATAAAACTACAAAAGTTGGTAATAGAAAATTGGAAAAGGGCCGAAGCAAGCAGCTTGGCCAAAAAAAAAAGGGACTAATGGCTGCAGTTTGATAAAACGACGTTTTAATTAAAAATAGTTAATTTCTGGAAAATGTTTTACAAATTTGCTGCACTTATATTTTTGCGTATCTGTCAACCAGATTTGCATTGTATCAATTATGAACTCGGTTGCGCGCTGAAGCGATAACTTAAGGACAACTTATCGATTGATTAGATCAAAAAGGAATGCGTTTAGCATTGACTGACCAGCGCAAATAGGAATGTTGTTTATATACCATAAACACGTCATTATTTGTAGTTGCTTATTCAAAACCATAATTGTAATTTAAATCAAAATTATTGCAATATATATTTGAAATTGGGCATATTTAGCTACAGCCATGTACTTGCTGTACGCACTCATATATTTCAAAAGTTATGTGGCCTCGCAAAATTGACCCACTTGCTGCACATTTGTCTTTATTAAACGTTTAGAATTATGAGTCAGGCTCGTTGGGCACGCGGTAAGGCGTATAAATTATAAACCAATTTACTAACTATCCATGCGAAAGTGTGCACAAAATGAACTACCAATTTATGGAATACTACAAAAGCAACAAGGACAAAAAGAAAACCGTTAAATTGTAACGTAACGAAATAAAATAATAGCAAAGTACGGCGTCAAAAGACTGAGTTATGCGCAGAAAAAAGGATGGAAAATATGAAAAAACTTGGCATTCGAATGCCTAACAATGAATGGAGCATATTTTCATAGGCAGCTAGATATGCATATGAGTATTTCATATTTACCACCTGTGTGAGCGACGAATTCGTTTTATTTTCTTTTTTTTTGTATTTGCAATGTGCATATTTGAGGAGCTTGGTTTGTGTGTGCGCTGGTCACATTTTTGTTTTGCATTCTTTTTAAATATGTGCATAGTTTAGAGTCTGTAATTAATGCAGCATTTAGTTTAGCATTTCGCAACACTCACACCCCTCTCTCTCTATCTCTGATTTGCTATGGAAACTGCATGCGTCGCTGATTCTGTTCCTGTTTCTGCCTCGCTCTCACTCTCTTACACACACACACACACCTGCGCCCTAACTCTCTGTCTGCTGCGTGTGTTAATGTGAATTTGAAATAATTCATTGTAGGTCTAGCTGAAGAGGGGAGGGGAGGGGTGCACACAATTTACTACGATTCGAACTACTTTTTTTTGCGCGTGTGAATTTTTTTAATGTTTTCCTCGCACCTATATTGTTTGACTTTGCAGTTAAGAAACATGGTTCATTATAATATTAATTGTAATTACATTTAAATTCAAATTTACATTTACAGTTGCCTTTTGAGCGCTGACAAAGTTTTTCACTCAAAGCAAGAGCAACTAAATCCGATTACACCTCATTTTCCTTACTCGCTTAACTTGGCTAATTTAAACATCAGTTTTAAATCTTTCGAGAGTTCTACTCAAGTTGCAATCAAGTTGCACTCAAGTTGCAGCCAAAATGGTACCGCAACTCGTATAAATTGAATCGAACCGCACACAACATGTTGCATTTTACAGGATACACACAACGCTTTTTGTATGCGAGTCCGTTGCTGCCCCTGAGCAGCCATCGAACATCAAACTTTGTTGCAGGAGTCGGCTCGAACAGTCAAACAAATGCTAGAGTCAATTTTCCTTGAGTTATTTTTTGTAAATGAGCACTTTTCTGAGCCATTGTTGAGTTGTTGCATACAAATTGCGCACATTAATTAAATAATTATACATAATAAAATCAATTAATAAGCAAACATAAAAATATAGATGTTGGTATAAATCAAATTAAGCAAATTGCAATCAAAAAATTAAATATTTTAATCAGTTACGGCTAACACATATACAGAAAGGAGTAGTGACCAATAATAAATTGAACTCTATTTGCATTTGCAATATGCGATTTGCCACTTCCACTCCCCTATCCCCCCGTACTCCACGTCTCTTTACGCCTTGCTGCACTTATCCATCGTTCTCTCTCCCTCCCTCTCTCTCTCTCTCTCTCTCTCTCTCTCTCTCTCTCTCTGTCTCTCTCTCTCTCTCTCTTGCTCTCTCTCTCTCTCTCTCTCTCTCTCGCTCTCTCTCTCTCTCTCCCTATCTATCACTCTTGCACATTTTTTATTTGCAATGAATTATTTTGGCTCGTCTGCATGTGAAATTTTTGGCCAAACAATTGCCAAGCAGCAACAACAAACTATGAGTAGGGTGAGGGGGCGGGTTTGGTGTGTGACGACGAATGAATCCGATGCATGAAATAACAATAATGAAATGACAACAAAAGGCACGGATAACAAAAGGATTCCCATTGCTGTCAGGTTCATGAGAGGGGAGCGGGGCATGGCATGAACAGCACATGTCAGAAGACCAGTTGACCGATTCAGCAATAGATGGCGCTATGGGGTGCAATAGGAGTGGGTGTGGAGGAATTCAACTTAAAATCAAACTCAAATATGAGTTTTGGTCACTTTGAAATTTGACTATTATTATTTAAGGCTGAGCGCAGATAAATGGATGAATTTGGCATCTGTTGGTCTTAAAGCTATTTGAAATTGACATAGTTATAGATTATAGAATAATAAATAATATGAATATCAAAATAACAATAATAATAGTCGTAATAACTATAAATCTGAAAGTATTTAAAGAAAACAATAAAAAAGCAAAAATCTGATTGGGGCATTTCTTGCACATAATTTTCATAATAAAAATAATATATTATATATATATTAATAGTTATAATTACAATATTAATAATGGTAGTAAGAATAATACAAAATAATAATAATAACAATAATAATAACAATAATAACAATAATAAAGATGTTAATTTACTGGAAATAATTTTATGGACATTTTAATGTTTTTCTATGCTTGGCATTATTTATGATATAATATTTCAAGCAATTTTTGCAAAGATTGAAAATTGTGGCAAGTAACCATAAGCTGGTCAATGGTCAATTTAATTTCAACAATTAAAAGGCAAATAAATTAAAAAATTGCGGTTTGCGACACAACAGCGACAAATTGCATGTAGCATGTCACAAATGCACATACATATACCTAAATATATATATACATATATGTATATTTTTATATATATATATACTTATCACCCTTATTGTGGCATGTGTCGATTGTCATTAATTCAAGCATATTAATTCGAATTTACATGCGCTATTTTCATGTTTGGTTTTCATAGCATGCACATTATTGCAGCCTCGATGGCCACGCCCCAAAAATTGATTGTCAATTTAGTGCAACAACATGCGTGCAAAATTGCAGACTGCCTTTAAGAAAATGATAGATTATATATATACACATATATTAAGATGCTTATGGAAATTTTTAGTATCAATTATCCTTGATAATAATAATAGATGTTGTTTGGCATTTACAAATATTCCTCTAGCAGCATTTGCGGTTTTCATGGTAATCAAATTTGAAATGTAAATAATACAATTTCAATTCAACATTACAGTATTCTGGCGCTCTAAGTTCAAATAAAATAAGCATTCACATTGCAACGTTGACACGCACGCAGCGCAAATTGAGCACTGTCAGCCAACATATCTCAATTTACGTTTACAGCACAGCTGTTTTGAAAATGTGTGCTGTTATTCAATAATCGTAGGTGCCGAGCACAAAAACGAAAAAAGCATTAAATCAAGTTATTTTTAATTAGAAATTAAATTAAATGTTTACATTACGCTCGGCCCTGCCGTGCGGCAGACAATTTGCTGTACTACTGTCAAATACAAGTCGCCACGCTCAACTGCAGTCCAGCAAAGGATTTGGTGGCTGGACAAGAACAGTGCTGAACAACTCTTCACAATGGCCACAACAAAATCAGCAGCTGGAACAGCAAAGATGGCTAGGGACGCAAACAGCTGGAAAAGATTTTGGGGACGCCGGCGCCAACATGAAACGCATCTATTACGGAACCCTGGCGCCTCGCATGAAAATCGTCAAGCTCTTTTCACTGACCACCAGTTTGGTGGGGATTGCAGCTCAACCGATTCTGCTTGAGCAAGGCATGAAAATCGGTGGCACCGGCATGGGCATTTTCCTCTGCACAATTGGCGGATTTTTCACATTTGTGACGCCTTTGCTGCTGCACTTCATCACTAAGAAATATGTAACGGAACTGCATTACAATACCGTTACAGATGAATATACGGCCACAACGATATCCGTCATACTGCTGAAGATCAAAGTGAGAGAGAGAATAAAAGTAAATTTTATATTTTATTTATTTATTAATTTGCAGACAAAGTTTCGAACCAGCGATGTTACTGTGCCTGAGGTACCCGGCATGTTTACCTCGTTTCTGGTGAAGAAGCGTCCGCTTTTTGTTGATCCCGCTTTGTTTGATGATCCCGAACATTATGTGCGCATTATGGGTTATGACAAACCCATCGATTTCAAACTTAACGTCAATGCCGAGTCGGAGCAAGCCAAAAAGAAGCAGCAATAAATAAATTACAATTTAAAGTTTGTTAAATAGTCAGCTCAATTTGCTTTTTTGTTTGGCTGCTCTTAAAAAAGCTCGAGATAACATTAAGCTTTGATATTTAACGACTGTTAACACAAAACATATGTTTTGAAGGGCAAATGTATCGTTGTACGACCCAGCTGTCGAAAAACAGTGTGCCCAGCAGGAGCAATGGCAAAATTACTGCCAAATTTTGAAAAGAAAAATACCAAGATAATAAGAAATACACATAGGTCGCTTTGGATGCGGTCACGCTGTATTGGACTTACAAAGTTAGCCAGACGCAATTATTTAACGTTTACCGAAACTAACCGCGGTTTTAGTACGCCCATCGAGTGCGTATATAGTATTTTTTAAAAATAAACTCTCCGTTGACAAAATGGTAGTGTCAGAGAGCGAAAAGGTAAGAAAAGACAAATAGCATTCACCGCATGGTTTCCAGCCGTGTGGCAGGGTCGTCGATAAACAGGGCTGTTGCACAAGACATGGAAGAGGTAGAGGAAGGGGCAAGGGCGGATGGCAAGGGGTATAGAGAACAGTATATGAGTGCAGCTGGCGTGGCAAGTCATCGCTAGCATTTTCAAAATTTGCATTTTCTTTCATACAATTTAAAATATACGCACGTTCACACTTTACGCTCTTTCGTTCCGTAATTAACGTAATAAAGTGTAGTAAATTCTTATACGTAAATCGTAAATGTTTTTCTTCTCGCGCTAACTTACTAATTTACTCTCACCATTTGCATATATTGCTGCTGTTGCTGCGGGGCTTTCGCTTGCTCTCTTGCTCTTAAAAGCACGCTGTGCGTTCACTTCTGTCGTCACTCTTTCTAAGGTGTCGCTGGAATTCGCAGCGATTACACACTCATATAGTTCGCGTTCGCTTGTGTTTGTCATATATATAAGTGTGTGTGAATTTGTAGCTGTAATTATGTGTGCATGTGTGCAGCATAAAAAGTAGGTGAAAAGCAGCAGAAACAGAAACAGTAAATTACTGCAATGAGCAATAAAGAGCGTCAAACAACAGCCAGCAAGAGAAACTACAGTTAATTTTCCTTTCTTCTTTTTTTTGCCATGCCGACTGCGACGCGTCCGCGCCACTTTCATTGCAGCAGCAAACGACAAATGAACAGTTGATTTCAGTTCGTTAGCTTATTGCAGTTAATCGTTATCAAAGAAAATACACTTTTTTTTCTTACAAGTGTTCAAAACCTAAGAAAAAAAAATTATCCAAGCAGACTGCCCAAATTCTGACAGTTGTGCTTGTGTACGTGTGTGTTCGTGTGTCTGCGTTGAATTTGCTTATTGTGTAGTCGTAAATTTTATCGTGCAAGCAACACATTCATTTCTCTTGCTTAATTTCTAACTCAGAAAAGGATTCGTGTTTTATTATTGAAAGTAAAATATTATTCACTGACCAAGTTTTATTTAATATTTTTTTCTCTCCAAAAGAAATAAGTCAGTGTAGTGTCAAAAAAATCAAAATTTTTATTTGTCAGCAGCACAGCTTCTCGCTGACCGAATAGCAACAACAACGGGAGAATAAAAAAAAAATACTGCAAGCAAGCAATAAGTGTACCCGGCCCCGTTATATACATACATACAAAATAAAAGCTTCACGCTCGCACACACATAAGCAAACAAACAAGCAGCAGCAAGTGAATCAGCGATCGTCGCATCTCTCTCTCTCTTGAGCACAGCACACATCTCGTGAAAGCTCGCTCTCCCCAGCAGCAACAACAACAGTAAACAGCGAAAGCCTCGAAAAATACTCTCAACATGCAGAGCGACTTTCACAGAATGAAGAACTTTGCCAATCCCAAGTCCATGTTCAAAGTAAACATCAAATTCCTACAAAAGTATTCGCTTTAAGCAGCAACACAAACAAGACTGCTAATTTTATATTTTACCCTTATTTTTTTATAGAGCAGCACTGTGGCTGCCAGCAATGAACAGGTGACTGTGGCACCCGGTCGCCCAGAATCGACGCCACCAACTGTTGTTGCTGCAGCAGCAGCAGGAGTCACTGCTCCTCCAGCTGCCGCCGTCGAAGTCACTGGTGGCAACAACAAGGAGGAACCAAAGACAACCCTGGACATTGAGGAACAGCAGTCGGATGATGGCGGGGCAGCTGTGCGCACCGAACATTTGTTTAAACACCCGCTGCAAAACACATGGACCCTCTGGTATCTGGAGAATGATCGCACCAAATCCTGGGAGGATATGCAAAATGAAATCACCAGCTTCGATGCCGTCGAAGACTTTTGGAGTCTATACAATCACATTAAGCCACCATCGGAGATCAAACTAGGCAGCGATTATTCCCTCTTCAAGAAGGGCATACGGTAAGATTATTTGAATTGTTTATCGTTGCGGGAATTAATCATTAATTGGTTTCCTCTTTCTCCAGTCCCATGTGGGAGGATGCTGCCAATAAGCAGGGTGGTCGCTGGGTGATCACACTTACCAAAGCTTCCAAAAATGATTTGGATAACTTGTGGCTCGATGTGGTACGTTGACTCATAATCCATCAATATTTAATTTAGTTTTATATTCAATTTTCTATGTTCTTCCTGCATCTCTTAGCTGCTTTGCTTGATTGGAGAAGCATTCGATCATTCCGATCAAATTTGCGGCGCTGTCGTCAATATTCGTGGCAAGAGCAACAAGATATGTAAGAGAACCGGTATAATATATAATCGAATATATATATACAATCTTCGATTGGATTTTTCAGCTATTTGGACTGCCAATGGCAACAATGAGGAGGCCGCTCTGGAAATTGGACACAAGCTGCGCGATGCTTTGCGTCTGGGACGTCAGAATTTGCTGCATTATCAGCTGCACAAGGACACGATGGTCAAGCAGGGATCAAGTGTCAAATCGATCTACACTTTGTAAAACTACAGCAACAACAAATATGCGCTCTGCTCTTCAAAATTTGTCATCAGTTTTAGCTATTTTGTGTTAATTTCTGGTTATAGCACCATAAAAGATAAAATATGCGACAAAAAAAAAGTCAGAAAGAAACGCGAAAATCCCCATTGTTATCAGAAAAGTAGTGCAGATCATCAAATGCTCCGCTTTTTTATTCTCTTGGAATACTGCGAAAAATATAATATAAATAAAAACTTAAGGTTAAAAAACGAAAATGTACATGTTTTTTATTCTTAAAGATGGAAACGCAGTTTTGTCAGGTTTAGTGGAACATTATTTGTTCCACTGCCTTCCGTAGATCTTTACGCCCGCAATCGGCGAGTGCCCTACATAGATGCACCAGCAGCTGCCTGGGATCATGGCACTCATCCTCCTCGTACGTCTGCAGCAGGCGCATAATGCGCGATTTTAAATCCTGCGGATAACGCAACTCTATCTCATCCATTTCGCCCTCGCCAATGCATAGCTGGCGACCCAAACCACGCCAAGAGCGACCCAATTCCTTGGCGATTTTATTGTAGACAGCGGATCGCTTTGCATCTGTAAATTGCGCAGGATTTACGTAGTGCTGTGTAGCTGCAGCAAATGGCTGTGGAGCGCGCTGTGGATTTAGATGCAATCTTTGTTGGAACTCTTCAGCCAATCTTTGTTCCTGATAATGCATGTCCACCAATTTGGAGGTTTCTGTTTTTTCGTAGCTGTCAAGTGCATGCTGGAAGTGCGTGAAATTTTTGCCAAGTAATCGCAGTGGTTCCACATTATCCTCGTTTATTTGATCGCTGCGCTCTAGGCAATCAATGAGATCTGCGACACTTTTTATGCGATCCATTTTTCTGGGCGTCCCAATTTCGCTGGCAAACAATTCTTTGAGATCGTTTAAGTCTCTGTTGCTGCAGCCTTCGATTACCATTTGCTTCAGCAAATCGTAGCTCCAGTGAGACCCTGTTGCCCTCGAGGAATTCATTTTAAGTTTATAAATGCAAAACTTGCAAAACTCAGGAAAATAAATATTTCAATTATCACAAAGTTCGATGTTTATGGTGACCCTAGTTAAAGTCGATAACGCAAACGATAATCGATTGGCAGAGCGTAGCGTAGGTATTTCCACATTTGTGATATGCGGCCATACTGTCAGTGTTGTCGCAGCCCTCGTTTGTGCAAGTGCGTTTTTGTCGCAGGTTGAGTCAAAAATGTCTTTGTTTTATTTGTAATATGAGCAGATTGCTTCCAATTCCGAAATTTATGGAAATATGTGCAATCTAGCGCAAAGCAAGCTTAGGTTGGCATTGTTGGCTCGTGTAATTGCGTATTTGTAAATCAAATTAAATAATACATTTGTGCATCAGCAGAATATATAATAATAGACACACGCACAAAACACACACACATACTCACAAACACACACACACACACTAAGAAACTCGAACATAAATTTATTGAAGTTCACTGCCTAAGAAATAAACAACGCACGTCAAAGTGCAATAAATATTTAGTAATTTAATTTTGCTAAAAATCGAAGTAAGTTCCGGTCAAAACAAAAACGCCGTGAAGTCAACGAACGAGTGTGAAAAAAAAACAAGAAAAGCATCATCAATCAAGGGAGGCGTTTGCTATAAATATAAATCAGCAGCAGCAGCAATTTGAAAACAAACAAAAATGCACCAATACAAATACAAATAACAGCAGCAATAACAATAACAAAAACACAAATCGTATATCGTTTATCGAGAGCAGCGCCCAGGCCCTTTGCAAGGGTCAAAGGCGGCGGTCAGCAACAATAAAAAAGAAACGAAAAGGAGAGTGACCAGATTTCTCCACAAACTAAAGCATCCTTTTGAATGCAAAGCATAAAACATCAGCAACAAAAAAACGGGAATAACAACAACAATAGAAACACATACACACACAGCCAAGAATGTCGTGCGAGAACGCTAAAGCCACATCGGATATTGAGCACGTCGATTGGAGCACAGGCGGCTCCGGTCAACATTACGCAAATGTCAGGTGAGTTTCGAAGTGTTGCCAAATATCCCAAATTTGCCAACCGTTGTCGCACGTCAAATCGAAATTGTCTAAATTATGCAGTGATAAGCAGCTAATTTTATTTTTTTATAGGGGCAAAATGTATTTAGAAATATATATATTTTTAATTATTTATTTATTTAACGCCAACTAAAGTCAGTCGACACAAAGAAATACAAGGATATATTACATTAAATTAAAAATAAGAATATTATAGTAGATGGTTTGTTTACGTAGCTATTTAATTTCTATTATTTTATAATATGGTAGCTATTTTTCATTTTATTTTTGGCTTAATAAAATTTAAAGGGATAACACGAAATTTGGCAACAGTTCAATTCCACTTTTGGCCAGAACTGATTAGTCACCGACATTGAAACACAGAAGCCGCCGTCGATTCAATCTTTCAGATCTGATCAGACATAAATAAAAAAACAAACAATTAAAACACTCAGAGTCCAAGTTTATTAATGTAATCCCATATCGTTAATGGTAATGATGGCAATTAAACTGATAGCATATGAATAGCAACAGAATATAGAAAGAGATGGAGCTGAATTTGTATAATAATTTAATTATTTATACTACGACTACATTTACATAGCCCTAGGTAGTTGTAAATACCTAATTCCGATGAGATGTGATGTGATGTGATATAGGTGTTAATGGAGCGCTTCAATTGATATGCAAATTCTCGGATTAATATGTGCATATATAAAGATGATCGAGTGACAACTGACAGCTGACACTCGACGTCTAATTGCTTTGATTTACAATCTCAACTCTCGATTATAATACACCCCGCCCCTTCCCTCCCCATCATTTAGCCATTCATTCATGTGTTTCTAGTGTTGCACATTTAACTTGGCCATAATTATGGCGTCATTTTAATTTATACGCCAGTCAACTGCCTGAAAGACATTATGACCACAAAGACTCAACATGTCCACACCTGAACTTATCCTCTTATCAGCGCCACACAATCTAAATATCTGAGTAAATGTTGTGGAAATCTTGTTGTTGCTGCTGCTGATAAATATTTACTTGTGTTTTTGTTCCTTGTTTGTGCAGCGGCTTTGCCAATTCGCCCAAATATTTACACAAGCTCTAATAAACTTGTTAAAAGTACGAAGTATGAACTGATAACATTCACGAGTGCAACAATAAATATATATCAAATGTTGTGTGGTTCCCTATTAGGCTCTGTTTTCTGCGGGGGATCACACTCTGATTTGAATTGTTTTCGTTTTTTATATCTTTGGAAACCCCAAGGGAAATGAATAAAAATTGATTCATAATTAGATTTCATGCACTTTTACAAAATAAATATATTCAATATATTTATACATTTGTAAGACAAATTTATATAGCGGAAATCCAATGAATTTCATTAATTAATGATTAAAAAATTACTTGCTTTCATTTACATTTTACCAACATTTAGATAAGTATTGGTAAATCTGATGCATGTTGGCAATGCCGTAAAATCCGAGTCGTGCACGAACTGCTCGATCTCTCGGCAATATTCGGTCTTCGCACCTTTCGACATTCGCAGAGGCTAAAAATCGCAGCTGTTAAGGAATAAATTAAGCTCTTTTTTGGCGTTTGCTGCATTTTTCGCTTGCTATGCACTCCAAGTATTTGAGAGAGAGAGTTTGTTTGTGTCTGTGTGTGTGTGTGAGTGACTGCACAATGACCTTGACGCTTCGTTGAGCTTTCAGTGCACACCTACACCTTTTCTTCTCCCGCTACATGTCCGTGTGGTTCGTACGTGAGCGGATCAACGTACGAAAAAGAGAACGTGATATCTTTCACATTGTATGGATTTCACTTATTTTTATTTATTTTTTATTACATACATACCATTGCTGATTGATTTGTAACGCAGTTAGCTTGGCAGAGGAAGAGTTTAAGCAAAAGTAAAATTAATTTTACATATAGAATATGCTAAACGGCCATCGGCGCTCAGCCCAAACCGGTTGGCTTAAAATTAAGTGACTACACAAATAAAAAAATATGAAATGTAAACAATAGTCAAAACAAAGCACCGTTAAAGACAATAGTAACAAAAAAAATCCAAGTAAAAATGCTGTAGTCGAATGATCTTCGGCGATATACCCTGCAGTCAGCATGTTAAATAAATTCTACTTTTATTGCCAAATCACACTTTAAAAGTCTTTCGCATGAATAGGCATTGAAGAGTAAAAAAGCAAAGTCAGCGCATGTTGTTATACTTGCGGCTTATTGTGTGTAGTTAGAAGCGTCTGCCGTTAAGATTGTCATCGGAAATCGAAATGAATACATCTTCGAAAAACGGAGCCAGTTAAATAAGCTTGATCTGCGCGTGGTTTTTAGCTGTTTATAGTTTCTGCGATCAGATTGATATCGCTATATCGACTCGGCTGTTAATCGTGATCTCGAGTGCATGTACTTTATGGAGTCAGAGATGCTTCCTTCTGTCTGTTACATACATTTGCACAATTATTATATTACATTATACCCTTTTTATCCATTTTCAATGGGTTCAGGGTATAAAAAAGGCAAAGCAAAAGCGAACTAAATTGATAACACTCCCAAATATATATATATATATATAATATACATTTCTTTGCACATATCTTTGTGGCTTTATTAAGTTGCTCTGCTTCTTCATCTTCTTTTTGTACACTTCTGAGAAGTACTAATTGAGTGATAATCCAAAAATAAACAATATTATTTGTATACTGTTTTGCAAGTCATTCGATTCGAAATTATTACGCATGCTGCGGCCCAAATGACAATCACAATCACCATGGGAGTATGACAACCGTCAACCCCTCCCACTCCCCACAGAAGGGCGCTATTAATTACCTCATGTCTCATGTGCAGGGGACAAACTCTATTCGAGTAATACAATTGATTGAATTGTTGATTGCTTTGATAGCCCGCTCACTGATTATTACACATGAAACCGAATACATGCGCATTTCTATTGCCCATATTAATATGGCCATTATATACGTATTCATATAAATATGTATATATATATATGTGTATATGTATGTATAAACATATATATATGTATATGTTTGGACACCACGCAAAGCGGGCAGCGGAAGCCGTTTCAAAAAGGGTATGTGCAACAACAGCAACAGCAACAAATCAAGTGTTTTTTGTTGCAAACGGAAGCTTGTCACACAACTACAACAAAGAAAACGAATGTTGTATTTGTATTTGTCTTTGTTTTCTCTTTTAGCTCTGTTGAAATTTGCACCTGTCCCAAACATGAAATGCGATAGTTTTGCATGCATTTGCTTGCTTATTACAATTATTAGTTATGTACCAACTCAGTCCACGTTTTATTATTTTATTTAAGTGCACAAATGCGTAAGAAAAAAAAGCTCTGGGTGCTTCAGCAAACTATTTAAATCATATCGTTGCATCTGGGTGTCTACAGTGTTTTAGTGTTGCACATTTTTGGAAAACTAAAAAAAAATACAACACTCAAACAAAGAAGTTTGTGCTTAAGTAGCATTTAAAATAATATAACTTGTAATTAGTAGGAGAATGCCAAAACAAATAAAAAGATACGATGTTTGTACCACAAACATTTTTGTTTTCTCACGTTGAGGCATAAACGAAGTCATATTAGTTTCCGGATGCCCTTGAATCCAAAATCTGTGGTTTCATTGTAAGCATATCAATCAAAAGGGATCTGAGGATCATTAAAGACAGGATAAGCCAGTGACCCGCTGCGGTCATTTAAATGATATACTGTTCAAATCTTAAATGTTTAATAACATTTACTTTATGGGTATGGAAATTTATAAGTCGCATTGCAATAAAATATACTTGAATTTCTATAGTCTAGGTTGAGAAAGAAGCCCATTTTTTTATTATTCGCCGTCCTACAAACAATTTCCTATTGTGTGTTATAAATGCGCACGCATTTACGTACTTACATACATTTTTATTGCTGTTTGGTATTAAGGCTTATCTTATCGGAGCGATAAGCGGTAAGCTATACTGTAATATAAAGTATATATCTAATAGTTTGCCAAATAGCTGTCGCTATAAAAGCCATTAAAAGCTGCAATAAATACCAAATATACAGTCATATTCATAATGTCTAAATAAAAATAAACCAATACAATCCATAAAGTCCCTAAAAAAAGCTGCGATAAGTCCAACATAAAGAGGCATGTATAAAAATAAAATCAAATAAACCAATGCATTGACCTTTTGTTTCTTGTGCTGCTTGTTTCTGGTATGTGATCCGGGGGTTAAAAAACGGATTAATCTGTGGAATCGATAAATTTTGACAATACATTTCCTCCTAAGTTAAATTGCGTTTCCTTTGTTCGTTCTTCTGGTGTGGCATGTGTGTTTATTGTGTGGCAGTGGCATAGACATTAATTTATGTGTGACATGATTTTTATGTATTCACTAATTAAGCTAAATTTGTTTATTGCGCAAACAAACATCGACTGTGTCAACCCATCAAATTCTGCAGTGGTGGCAGCCGTCAGCCTCCTTCAGCACTTTCAGCTATAAAAGATGATGTACACAAATGCAGAAGGGGAATGTCGCCAGTCTGGCGCCAATTGTTGTGTTCTTTCGGCTCCTGAGCCTATTAACCAATGAAGTCACAAAATTGGCAGCCATCATAGTTGAGATATATGTATGCATATAAATGGGCTCCAGTTACCCAAAAGGATAACCAACTAGCTAAATGAGGTTTACTTATGTAGATAGAAAATATGCCGATTAGAGATATAGATACAAATACACAAGGGAAAAAATATCGTTACATACAGTCAAGTATGTAAATTAAAATAAACAATATTTGACTTTGTAATGATTTACTCGAAACGAGCACAGAGCAACTAGAAAACAAGTAATACAAATGAATTATAGGGAATCGTGGGGAAATAAAGAATACTTAATAGGAATACGAGTCCAAAGCTACATTACTTGTCTCAAACACTTTGTATCTGTACAAAAAATATACATTTACATATTTTAAAATCAATTGAAACTTGAAATTAGTTCTAAATACTTTTGTAATTTGTAATTTCACTCGTTTAGTGAGCTGAAATGGCGCACAGTGTTTTTTGCTCTGTGTACTTAATAAACATATAATATATGTGTACTTTATAAGCATCTGGGTGCTCTGCTATGGCTCCTGTTCCACACTTTTCAAATGCGTTTTATTGATCCAAGGCCACTCAATATACTTCGTGACCATGGCCTCCAGACCCAGGCACAGACCCACAACAAATGTGATGACAACCGGCAGTGGTTCGGCACAACAGCAATAGTATTAAACGCTTGGCTGCCTGACTGTGTCCACTGTGTGTGTGTGTGTGTGCGAGTGTGTGTGTCCTGCTTTGTCCTTGGACACAATCACGCACTTGCTGTCTGAACTCTAAAATCCAATGGCGCCGTGTTTGAGGCGGAAAGTAAAAGTTCCCCTCTTTGCTGCCCACTTCGGTTACTCCTCATTTTTGGCCAATTGACCAGCACTCGCTGTAGTTAGACACTAGTGTGGTCGTAACCCGCCCTCACCCCGCCCCACCTAATGATAGTGGCACGTGGCACACTCAACTAATTGCGCTCGCTATGACAACAACAAAACGCAACTTGAATTGAAATTGGACAGCTACTTTGCTGCCTGCATATTCATTTATGGCATAATTATAATTGACGCCCGTAGCCTTGACACCTCAATAGAAGTATTCTAATTTATATACAAATTGAGTATTAATATTAATTGGCGGCACTCTGTAAATAAGGGCAAACTGAGAACTCGGAAACAAACAAATACGGGAAATTTTAAAAATAGACGTACTCTTTTAGATTAGATTCATAATAATAAAACACAGACAAAAAAGAAACAAGTAAGAATACTGCAGTCGAGTCGGCTATACAATATACCCTGCACTCAGCTGTCAAATACCTCCTATCTTTATTGCTAAATCTCTCTTTAAAAGTTTTGCACACTCAAATGTAAGCATGCTCTGCTTTCACTTACATATATGTATATATATATATATGAAAATAATTATCCACACACAATCGTATTTAACAGAACTATCTTGATAACCATGTCAAAGTATCGATTGTTTTTAAACCGGGGACAGATATCTATAAAATAAAGCAAACTTGATCTGTGCGTGGTATTCGAGAAACAATGTTCCAAATTTGAAGTGTTCGTACAGACGGACGGTTGTCGACCTGATTAAGAATATATATCACATATATTTGCTGAAAATCACTATGCCTTTTTATCCATGGTCTCAATGGATATAAAATTCGTGACAAGTTTAGTTGCTATTCACTGAAAAGCTGGAATTGTCGTGATTACAAGTCAAAATTGTTTGAGTACAAGAAAATTTCTTAAGAAAAATATTTTCAAAATTAAATTTTGTTGCTTTATGCACATTTCTTTGAATAGGGGATTCTAAAGAAACTCAGTGTTCTGAAATATTAATCAGAATATTGAATATTGTTATAAATACTAAAGGTTTTTGTCATTACGAAAGTGGGATATAATTAATAAAGTGTATTTAAATAAAGTTGAACCGAATTCAAAAATTGTAGCAAACGCTGATAAGAGATTGAACTGAAAGCCAGAAAAGCCAATATATAAATAAATAATTTAATTGCTTTTTCATTGCGTCAATTAGCACAAGATAAGTTTAGTGTTCGTATTTGATTCGCCGTCCTCAAATTCAGATCAAATTGTGTTTCATTATCTGCGTTTACCAAAACGGACAGACAATGTTGAAGGCGATCTCAAAATTCAGGTAAAATGTAAACATTAAATACAAATTAAGCATTTTGCATTAACAACAGCCACAGCTTAAAGTTTATTTAGTTAACTCTAAACTGAAGGACTGCTTTTTATTTTAATTAGAGATTGGAAATAAAATATGCATGACATATGATTTATTTTGAGTTTTGAAATGAACTGACCAATATTAATGATATATAAAAGCATTACTTTATTTTCTAATTTGGATTTTAATAAACAACTCATTCTGGATTATTTTTATTTCAGTAGATTCTCTATATAAGTTGTTTAAACAAAAGTTTAAAAATAATGCTAATATGTTTAAGGTCTTGACGCGTTTTTTGGTTTTATACCACTTTTTTGCAAGTGCATTACTCGCGTATTAATACACCCTCCTCTGGAAAAAAAAACGTGACTATATGTGCATATATGCATTCAGTTCAAGATCGGCCACAAATTGCGTTGTGAATTGATTGACTTGTTTGACAAAGGCGTGTGTGGGTGGGTGGGTGATAGGCACCATCCAAAACAGATGACTACAGCTGCGAGCGATGTTTCTTTTTATTATTATTTTGCGGAGCTGGCACGAGCTTATCATTTGTATTCGCCCATATTTTATAGTTGCTAGCTGGATGTTTTGTATGTTTTATATTTGACCACCATTACTTGGAAAGATTACATTGTTGCTCAAATTTCTGTCGAATCCGAGTCAGCAAATTTGTATTATTATCTCAAATGAATTATTAATACATATATTTTTTTTTAATGTCGACTAATATCAGTTTACACTTTAAATTAAATTAAATTATAAATTTGATATTGACGCAGAAAATACAAAAATAATTCATTATATTAAATTTACTTTAAAATTAAAGAATAATTCAGTAAATATAATAAAATTAAAAATGAAATATAATTATATGCTACTTAAAAATTAAATTAAATAAGTTCTATCAAATATCAAGAGGTATTCAATTGCAGAATATAAACCCCCCAATAAAAAAGATGCCAAACCAAGAATTCAAAATTTGTTTACTGGCCAAAGTAGACATTGTCGTACATTATTAAAATGTTTATCCATACAATAATATTAGTATATACATATATATCGACATAATGAGAGACCAGAGCACACACATCTCCGCATCCCCCAAAACCGGGCACTGCCATGACCCCAGGCAATCCTTTGTTGAAACATCGAACAAAGACATCAGGCTAGTAGCTGTCCGGTTGCGGGCACGTGCATGGGCACGGGTATGGGTCTGTTGTGCGGTTCTTTTCGCTGCCAATAAAGTCTGGCATCAAATGGCTGGCATTTCACATCAAGTAATCTGGTTTGAGTATCCCGTTAAAGGTCACGAACCACCCACACACACATTTCGATTTCACACTGTTGCCACATGCTAATGAAGACCCAATTTATTTATTGCAGATTCGGCTCGGGTAGCAGTCAGGCCTCACAGAATAGCGGCGATATTTGTCGCATCTGTCACTGCGAAAGCGATTCAATGAATCCACTGCTGACGCCCTGCTACTGCTCGGGCAGCCTGAAGTATGTGCACCAGGCATGTTTGCAACAGTGGCTAACTGCATCGGCGACCAACTCCTGCGAACTATGCAAGTTCCCCTTCATCATGCACACCAAAATCAAGCCCTTCAACGAGGTAGGTCATCTAATCTGTATATATATATTATACATATATGTATTCAAACTAATTTATTTTCTTTCTGTTTATCTCTGTCGCATACATATATATAAATATGTATTTGATTTTTCTGTTGTGCACATTGTTTGGCTTCCCTCTCTCATCGATTGCATTGCGGTTGACGCAGTGGCGCAGCCTTGACATCTCCAGCATTGAGCGTCGCCGGCTGTGCTGCACGGTGCTCTTCCACTGTGCGGCCGCACTTTGCGTCATCTGGTCGCTCTGTGTGCTCATCGAGCGGGCCGCCGATGATGTCAACAATGGAAAGATTGGTTTGTACAACACAAATAAATATATATGTATATATTTGCTCTCTACTGCCTATCACATAAGACAATGCCTTAACAATTTCTTTTTGTTCTCTTTCTGCACCCTCCCACACACACACACACACAGATTGGCCCTTCTGGACAAAGCTGGCCGTTGTCACCGTTGGCCTCACTGGCGGCGTTGTCTTCTTGTACATTCAGTGCAAGGCCTATTTGCATCTCTGCCGTCGCTGGAAGGCACTCAACAGGCGAGTAGTCCAACTACAGATGCCCCCAAAAAGGACCACAGACAAAATGGCCGCACAAGGCAGCTATAGAAACTGTTATTTAAATTTTGCAAGGGCCTGGAAAAAATATGTGGAATCAGCTTTAATCTCGCATCTCTATCGCTTTGTCCGTCTCAATAAGCCCAGAGCAGCTGCTTTTAAATTTGATGTCTCCCTATTTCAAATACCTTTTGAATTTTGCACGAACATAAAAAATTGTAGCAGAGAAAGCCAAACACGGCTGCCCATTCACTTTATTCGTAACGATCTGAAGCTAATCTGCTTAAAGCTGTTGATCGCCTCATCGATATCGACCGATATCGATATCGTATGTTATGTACACTGGTTACATATTATGTTACAGCTGTTATTACAGTGACCTGTTACCTACATTACTCGTCTGCCTGCTATTAGAAGTATTTAATTGCATTATTCATCGGATTTATCGATTGACTTGTCACATCATAAAGTTCACTTCTTCTTCGTGCAAAATCGATTGTAAGCATCACTCATTTTGGCACAGTTTATATGCATTATATTGTTTATTTTCTTCAATAGTAAAATTTCAATGTACAAAGTGACCTACATGGTCAAGGCATTGATATATTCTAACGGAAGCGACAAGCAGAAATGTATTTTTAGAGAACAAACACAAAACACACAGTTGAGTCTCAAATCAGCCAAATTCCAAGAATTTGGTGGTAAATACCCAAATAAAATATATTAATTTATAACAGGCGTTTCAAACAAAGAAACAATTGAAAGCTTGAGAGCATTAGGGGCATTCCCCAAAGTATGCAGATAATGTGTAAATTTGACAACCGTTTTTTGTGTTATAATTACAATATATTTAAAATGCGGCTCTTGTCTTTTTTAACTTTTTTATTTTGAACAGATTTGATTTAATCGAGTATTGTATTTGCAATTTGGTCCTTAGCTTTTCTCAATATCTTATTTTAATTTTCTATTATTAGATTAGTAAAAGGTTTAATTTAAGTTTTATATTTTATTGAAAATGTGGCACAAGTTTTGTCTCAATCTCTTTTTGAAGTATATTTCTAATGTTGCATATGCCCAAATTTCTATTGCAGAATCCTGCTCATCCAGAATGCACCGGAGAAGATCCATCCTTTGGCGCCGCCATCGCCCGTTGCTGCCCATCATCAGTTCAGGGAGAGGCACAGTTCACTGGGTGGACATGGTCCACTCGGCGGTGGCACCGTCGAGATAAATGCATCCGGCGGCGCTGGACATGCCGTCCACGACTCCAGTTGCGGTGGCTTAGACAATGCCTCTTCCGCAACGGGTCTGCATCCGCATTCGCATCCGCATCAACAGCAAATGCAGTTGCAGTTGCAGCAGCGTCTGTTGAATGCTTCGCCGCATCACATGCTGCAGCTGGATGTGGTGCAACAGTGCGGCAGCAGCAGTGCCGGCACCCAGACCGAAGAGGATGCGCATGCGCAGCGCCAGCAGCTGCAGCAGCAGCAGCTACAGGGACAACAACTAGGCCAGGTGGCGGTGGCGGCCAACATTGAGTGTTCGCAGTCGCAGCACAATTACGATCGCGACTGGGCACTGGACGATGTCGTCTCACAGATCTCCTCGTTCCGGCCGTGTCCGCAGGGCTCGGGCAGCATGACGCCGTTCCACGATTCCATACACAATGTCCTCGAGCATTCGGAGAGCTCCAGTCGTGGCTCGGCCACCGATATGTGCGCGGGCTCGCGGCAGGATCTCAGCGCTAGCGGCATCTCCACGGACACGGGACGCGAGCACGCCATGCAGCTAAGCAGTTTCAGTGGTATGTGTTGCACTTCTAATTTCCATGCCACACACATTTGTTAAACGACACGTTGCAGGCAGCGGTGAGCACAAGGCGCCTTCAATAAGCTCTGGCGTTTCGCATGCTGTTGCAAATGGCTTGGGCGGATTTGCGTATAAGCCGCATCAGTCGAAGCGCTACTCCAATTCGTCCATTTTCCTGGAGAACCGTGATATACTCAATGACTCGCCCCTGTGCGTGGGCGTGGCCACGCCACTCACCTATGACTACAGCACGCCACCAAAGATCGACTATCGCCACGCGGAGCAGGAGCCAACAACAACGTCAACAACGACGACGGGTCTCAGCTGCTGTGCCACCTCGGCCTCCGATTGTCAACTGACGGCGGGTAACGGGCTGAATATGCGTCGCTATTCGGACACCAAGCTGCAGCTGGAACGGGAAGCCATGCTTCCTCACGACGATGACAATGATGATGATGATGACCTTGGCGGCGCTGGCGGTGTCGGTGTTACTGTGCTGGATATTGAGTTGCCCACTTCGCCGCTATCACCGCCAGCCGCTTACGCCAGCCATCACCAGCAGCATCCCCATCATCCCCATCATCATCATCAGCAGCAGCAGCAGCTCGTCTTGCGTCGCTCCTTTGACAAGGGCGTGGATGAAACGAATACTGGAGCTGGCATCGCCAACACCAGCAGCTCATCGACGGCGAATGCGGCGCAAATGGATCGTTCGCGTTTGTCCTTCAAATCGTTGCCAAATCTCAGCAGCAGCTGCGAAAGTCTCATCAAAAAGTGATTGTTAACCGCTCCACACTAGCATCATCCATCATCGAATCCATCATATTCGTCCTCTGTGTCTCACCCTTATCCTTATCATACTGAAAATATTTAACACTGGTCTGGCCATGATAATAATAATAATATTGATAAATGTAACCAGACTCAGTTCGCATCTTATTTGTATCGCAATCACTTTCCTATTTAATTTCGTATCTCGTGAAAGCATGTTCAACAAAAGCCCATAAACAATTTTGAGACTGCAAATACAAAGATAACAAGAAAAAAGAAAAATATAAAAAAGAAAAACAATTAAATAAAACAAATATATTAATTCATTTGATTAAAAACCAAACAACATGCATCTATATATAGAGTCATTCAGGCACTGAACAGACAACAAATGAAACTTACATCTTATATATATATTTAACTATATGTATATACCGACTAAATCTACAATATGTACAGACATATTTGCAACTGGATGCGGCAATTAATTTCCCAATTTCCTATATATATAAATATATATGCTGCAAATAAATATATATATATTTATATTGCCCCTCGCCCTCCCCATCGCTGCCTAAGCCAAATTTGTTTATGTGTAGCTCCAGATATATATGCATATATATATATATACAATGATTATATAGGCAAAGACGTGGACTTTGTGACATTTTGTATTTTGTTTCTTAACTTCTAAGTCAAATGAAAATTTTAAAAAATTGATCTGTGATTAAGCGTCATTGAATATATATACACATAAAACAAAAAACCTAATTTAACATAAACATTAATAATAATATTAACAACAGCAGCAACAAGAATCAATGCAAATAGTATATTTCAATATTTAATAACAAAGCAACCAAAAAAAGAAAAACATAAAACGAATAATTAATCGCATTTTGATGATTATAAATAAATAAATAAATAAATAAATGCGCAAAAGGCTCCATCCGGGAGCATTTTCAAGGCAGCTTTTCAACCAGCTCTCTCTCTACATATATATATATATAAATATATATATATATATATATATATATATATGTGCATAATGTATACTTATGATGGCGACAAATTGCCGAGCATTACAAATAAAAAACAACAAACAGCAAACAACAGAAAACTGGACAACTACATTTTTATTATGCATTACAAAATATTTAAATAAATATGTGCAAAACAATTATAACACTATCCCAAAGAGAATTTGTTGCGTGTCTTAAATCTATTTCAGAAAAAAAAAATGGGAACCAATTCAAATTGCATCTGAATTTTAATAATCATTTTCAAAGTTACAACACAAAAAATAGGCTACAAATTAAATAACTATTATTTTTCCGATTTAATACCAACTTTTTAATTTTATTCAGATTTTTAAAGGAGAAATAATTAAAAAACTATTCTTTTTCAAGGTTTACATCTGAATTTTATTAAATTTCAGATTTCAGAATTAAAAAAAGTTAATAATTGAAAAACTATTTTTTTTTTTAAATTTTACTAAATCTTAGGATTTACACAAAAAAAGAAAATATGCAAAAACTAAATCCGAATTTTATTGAAATATTTCAGATTAAAAAAAAGAGGAAAATAATTGAAAAACTCGAAATTTAATGCTCTTAAAATTGGTTTATTTGAAGAAATGCATAATTAGTCTTTGCTCGTTACAATAAATATGAATGATGAATGAGGATGACTGATGAAAGGCTGATTGATGATTGATTCTACTTGGTGTTGCCAGTGCCCGACTTGGATTTTGGATCGTTTTGCTGCTTGTGATCCACATCGTTCTGCTTGACATTGAGATGAGCGGGACCCACTTGTTGGATTTGCACCACACGCTCCTTGGACTTGTCCTGAATCGCCTGTGGCTTGGGCATATTGATCGTGAGTACGCCATCCGAGGACAGCGAGGAGATCACCTTGTCTGCCTCATAGCCCTTGGGAATGGAATAGCGACGCACAAAATGCCGTGAGATGTACCCGTGATCATCCGCCCTTTCCTCATGCTTTCCCTCTACGACAATGCAGTTCTCGACGACTTTGACGCAGAGTTCACTGGGCGTAAACTGGGTGACATCCATGCACACCTGGAATCCATCCTTGCCCACCTGGCAGACGGGCCAACCTTCGCCATTTTCAGCAGTTGCACGTTTGCAGCGTCGATGGGCCGGCGATGGCCAGGCCTGGCACTGCCAAGGAGCCAGCAGGGGCTGGGAAGGAGTGGTGCACCAGGCTTGTAGCTGGCGCGGATGCATTCCCAATCCGAAATCGTAGTCGAGGTGGCTGCGGGTAGGCTGCAGTGCCTCAGCCATTGATAGCAAATTAGACAACGCCATTTTTTCGTAATTTGAACTTTGTACTTTTTCTGTAAATGTGTTTGAAAAAAAAAATTTAGAAATGATACCGTTTCTTTTTGGTTTTCTTTCGCACAGCGAAGTTAAGTTTGTATGCACTTGATGATAACTGTCTTGCGACTGTAACGGAACTGCATTTGCCGCCTCTTTTTATAGACGCTGCTCTTCCAGAAACATCGCACAACTTTTGTGGTGAGAGCGAAAAAACATCGCACAGCACAGTTCAAGTATATGTGCGAGAGAGAGCACGTTATTCACCACAAACGGGTCGAAATATTTAGAGAGTAGTGTGAAGAGAATTATAAATGCCGGTCGTCTAAAGAGAAATAGAATAAATTTAATTGCCGGCAAGAGGGAAAGAACACACACAAAGACACACTTTTTGAATCTTTATTTACTGTTAAATGTTAAGTACATAATGTGCTTATGTTTACTTGAATACTTGTAGTCGTAATTGTTTCACACTTGTGTTTAGGAAATCATAATTTTATAGCGTAGTTGGCCTCTCTTCGCCTCTAATTCTCCTCTATTTTCTCTTCTCGCTGCTATTACATATGTTTGTATGTTGTGTGTGTATTTATTGCGAATTATTGATAAACACAAAAAACATTTATAGAATAAAACGCATTCCAAGTGGATTTTCTACTTTTTCTTATTTGTTTGTTTGTTTTTTAGTTTTTAGTTTTAATTTTGTGGCTTGCGCATCAACTTTATCAGTCAGTCTCTCTTTTAAGTATTTCATTCACTTGGCCAGAGTTGCCAGAGCTGGCTCCTCAGCCTTGCCGCCGGCAGATGCACCATTTTCGCTGGCCGGTTGCTGTTGCTGCTGCTGTTTCTTGGCCAGCAAGATGGCCGCATCTGTGGCGGCAATCTCTTCCGCACCCTTTGTGGTCTTCTCAGTTAACTTATCTTGTTCCACTGGCGGCTCTTGATTTTCTGTTTTTGCTTTCTTTGCGGCTGGCATGTCTTCTTCTTCTCCCACATCCTTTTCCGACTTTGCCTCAGTCGAATTCGCTTTCGAATTTGAATCGGAACTTGAATTGGAGTTGGAGTTGGAATTGGACGAATTGCCATTGGCATCTTCGGGCTTCATTTCATCGGTCTCGGTTGAAGCAGTGCCGCTGCTGCTGACGGCGGCATCGGTGGAATCCTCCTTGTCATCGCTAGTGGCGCTCGCAGCATTCTCCACACATTCCACTGACTTGGTCTTCAATTCCGGCTTGGGCTTTGTCGGCTCGCCATTGTTGTTGCCATTGGAAGTTGAATTGGCATTGGAAGTGGCAGTCGAAGTCGAAGTCGAAGTCGAGGTGGAAGTCGAAGTTGTCTTGGAAGCTTGCACAACGGGCTCAGTTTTAGTTTCAGTCTCTTTTTCTTTCTCTTTCTCTTTTGTTTTTGCATTGGTTGTTTCCTCTGCTGCGCTGACGCTGACGCTAACGCTGGCTTCGGCCTCTGCTGTTGCCTCTCCGCCATCATTTCCATTACGCTCTTCGGCGCTCTTCGGCTCAGCTTTCGAAGCGACGACATCGGCAGCCGCAGCGACGACGACTGCAGCTATTTTCGGGTTTTGCTTCTGCTGCTGCTGCTGCTCAACTTCGTTGACTGCACTTTTTCCATCCTTGGACGACGTCGATGATTGCTGCTGTTGTTGCTGTTGCTGCTGCTGCTGAATGTCGACGACGCGTTCGATGGGTCGCTCCTCGTTGGCCTTAGGGGCAGGGGGCGGCGGCGGGGGCGCCTTAACAGTAAGAATACCATCCGAAGAGAGCGTTGAATGCACGTCGGCTGGCTCGAAACCCTTCGGCAGCATATATTTGCGTATGAAGTGACGCGAAATGACGCCATGGCCATCCTCCTTCTCGTCGTGCTGCCCCTCGACGACGATGCAATTGTCGATGGTCTTCACGGTGAGTTCGTCGGGGGCGAATTGCTTCACGTTCATGCTCACCTGGAAGCCGTTGCGATTGACCACCGAATAGGCCGATGCCGATTTGCTGACATTTCCAGCTGCGCTAGTTCCAGCTGCAAGAGCTCCAGCTGCGACAGTTCCAGCTGCGCCAGTTCCACTCGAAGTGCTGACCTTGTCGCCCATCTCTTTCTCCAGCTCCAGCAGCGACTTATTGCAGCAGACGGTCTTGGCGCCGGCCACCCGACCATAGGGATGATGACGCTGATGCTGCTGTCCCTGTCCCTGTACCCCTACCTGTCCAGGCTGTGGCCCCACGCCCGGACCCTTGATGGGCACCCAAAGCACCGAGTGTGTGGTGCTGGAATTGGTTGACGACGATGACGACTGCAATTGCGAGTGGCCGTGCGAGTGAGCGAGACGGTTGCCGCGACGCTGAGCAGCCGATGGCGAATGCTGTAGCTGGGCCTGGGTCGGCGGCGGCGGCGGTGGTGGTGGCTGTGTGGCAGCCGTCGCGGCGGCCAGCTGCTCCATCGGATACATACCGAAGCCCAAATCTTCAATTTCCATGCCCAGACCAAAGCCGAGGCCGCCGCGATTAAAACTAATATCGTGCAGCTCCTCGGCCAAATCAAGTATAAATGGTATTAGCGACATTCTCCACAACGGGCGGGGCACGACAACAACGACTTGGGGGCACAATTAATTGCAACTGACACAAGACACAGACAGGCACTGGTAAACTGAACACTGAACACACTCTGATTATGTTTGATGCGCCTCAAAATGTTCCGTTCCGTTTGCGATCCGTTCCGGCTTCTAACTGGATTGCGTTTGAGCACTTATGGCTGAATGTTGAGGCTTTTAAATGACTTGCAGTGCTGAATGGAAAGCGGAAAGTGTCTGGCTTGGAAAGCTACTGCTGCTGCCGCTGTCGTTGCTGTTGCTGCTGCAGCGCTGCAGCCGAATGCCGATTCGGTTTAGGCAAACTGAGGCTGGGCCACAGTTTTTCCATGTGCAAATCTTTGTTTATTTGCACAGTTAAAAACAAAATCAATAAAATAAAAACCCCTCCAAATAAGATACATTCTATATATATACGTACCTATATATATATTTAAATGTATTTATACATATATGCATGTATCTACGTATGTATCTTTTGCTGTGTCAGCTAGCTTCTTTTTTTGCAATTTTCCGGTTGCGAGAACAAAGACAGTATTCCAGTGCAGTGAGAGAGAGAGAGAGGGAGAAAGAGAGATACACAGATAAACCGGCAAACTTTAAAACCGGCTCCCAGCTTCTCGTCCAGGGCAAAACTTGCCCAGACAATACACATGTATGCAAATGTGTGTGTGTGTGTGTATTCTCCCTAGCTCAAGTAGCCATGTTGCAGCTGAATTCCCTGCGCTCAGCCGGCAAACAGCTGAGAAAGTCACTTACCCGAAGCCGGTTGCCGAACCGGGCACGATTTAACCAACTACAACAACAGCTGGTTCGTCATGTCTCGCCACCGGTGTGTCTATGTAAGTGTGTGTGTGTGGCCTGGAAGCCCGACCGGCAACTCAAATTTCGTGGACATGCGCACTGCATCGTGCCCCTTTAGAGGAGTCGTTGTACATATTACGAATTGCAACTGTCTGCAGCTGACAATAAAAGCAAAAAAAAAAGAAAAAAAACAGCTGTGGGTGAGATGCTTACACACATGCATAAAGCGCTTACATGTACGTGTGTGTGTATGTAAAGAGAGGTGAGTAGCTTTAGATATGTTGATATGCATACAAACGAGCATACATATAAACACCGTTACATACTTAAATTCTATGTATGCACACACATGCACACATACATTAGGAAATAATACACACAATCCCTGGAATAATACGTTTTTTCTTTTCTTTTTTTTCATTTGTATTTTTTTTTATAAATTACATAGATACATAGATATATACGCAAAGAACGTGTGTAAATATTTATGCATGCTTGTAAATAAATATTCATTATCACTTTGTATTTTTTACCTTATAGTTTTTATTTATTAGCACCACTGAATTAAATTTGACATTATATCGTGCAGTATCAGTAAAATATCAATCTAAGCCAGCAATTTTTAGTCGATTTAATAAAGCTGATGTGGAATATTCATTAAGAAGAGGAATCCGGAACATGGTTTAAAATATCCTCGCTTTTGCTCTTACTTTTGAGCTTGTTGTTGTGTGTTTGTTGCTCTCATTAGCTGCTCTCCAACATCCATTTGAGCGGCAAACATTTGTTGTCTTATCGGCAGACTCTCACTTTCATTTATAGATAACGTTGCGTATATATTCATGTGTGTGTGTGTGTCTGTGTGTATTTACTTATGCGGAAATACATTTTTTCGAGCGATTTCGAGAACATTTACAGAGCTAGAACTTTCGGCAAACATTGTGTCGTTGTCAGCCATCTCGCTCTGTCGCACAGAGTCGTGTGAAAATCCACCACTCAAGCAGCTATAAATAGCTGGAGTATTGCGTCGTTGGCATCAGTTCGATTCGAATAACCGACGCAATAACAAATCGTCAGTCTGTCCACTACACAGCAAGTGTTCCGCAAAAAGGATATCTTCAATTAAAAAGCTATTACAAGGAAAATCAAGCAACAAAATGGCAAATCTTCCACTGCTTCTGAGCCTCGCTGATGACCTGAACCGGTTGTCGGTTGTGCCCTTCTACGATGCACCCTACTGTTGCCAGCGGCAGCAACGTAATCCTTACATGGCTTTGACCGCAATGCCCTTGGACCAGCAGATACGCCAGCTGGAGAAACAGGTGGGCTGTGTGGGTGCCGGACCAGTGTCCAAGGTGGGCAAAGATGGCTTCCAGGTGTGCATGGATGTGGCCCAGTTCAAGCCGAGTGAACTCAACGTGAAAGTGGTGAACAATTCCATTGTGGTCGAAGGCAAACACGAGGAACGAGAGGATGATCACGGCTTCATCACACGGCACTTTGTCCGCCGATATGCTCTGCCCGATGGCTATGAGGCCGAGAAGGTCGCCTCGTCACTCTCCTCGGACGGAGTGCTCACCGTCAGTGTGCCAAAGCCGGCGGCTATCGAGGATAAGGGCAGTGAACGCATCGTTCAAATCCAACAAGTCGGCCCCGCCCATCTCAATGTCAAGGATAACGGCAAGGAGGAACTGGAGCAGGGCGATGACAAGTGAAGATGTTCTATTCATTTGTAGTATGCAGAAAACATACAAACGTTTATTGTTAATCAATTATTAATCAATTATCTCATTTAATGTCTGTTTACACATCTTTATATATATTTATATATACATATATATATACCCTTTAATTACGCACACATATAAAAAAATACGCATTTATTTCATGGTATTATTGTAATTTAGTTTGGCATCATAATTATGTGCTGAAAAAATAAAAAAAAAAAAACAAACAAAGTACTCGTTATTAATTATGGGGTGTGCTGAATAGATCAAAAGTAAATAACGGTTATCTAAAAAAAGGGCATATCTTTTCTGGGGTGTGTGTGTACATAAATATGTATGTATGTCCATATGAAGCATGTGCATGTGTAAGTGTGCGCCTTACATACACATACAGACACACACACACACACAAATTAGCCTGTTTTGACAATGATGTATTCGGTAATGGATGTGAACCAAATTTTGGGAATTACCTTCACTTTACTTAAGCAGTCTCAGACTGCTTTTAACAGAGCACGTTCAGGATCATAAACGAAATGCAAGACAAAAAAGACGTAATTTCTAATGGGATTGGCCGAAAAGGGATCGTAAATAAATAATCGTAAATAGCAGTTCTCCAAACACTTTCTTGACAGTACAAAGTATGTCTAATTTTGGTTTGTACAATTTCAAAATTGTGAAAACCAAAGAACCTGTTAATTTTCTTTTTAACTAGTTTTAAGAAGTAGTAGAAAAATAAGGTAATAAATAAAAGTCAATAATTAAATAATTTGTTTGTGCAAAAGATATGAGAAATGTGTCCAAACACTTTCTTGACAAAGTGAACACACACATACACATGCAATTTTCCGCAAAGGGAGGGTCACATGTACACATGCACACATACACTTAATCATTTTTTTGTTCACATTGAAAAAAAAGAGAATGACAAACAAACAAACCGGTTGCGGCAAACAGAGATAGCATGAGTTCAATGCACTTGCGAAACGTCAGCCCCTCTCTCTCTCTCTAACCCCCCTGCAAGCTTAGATGTACTTTAACATTTTAAAACATTACATTTACAACAGCAGCAATAATGAGATGAGAGTTAAGCATTTCAAAATGCAGGCGCTTAAGCAAATGCACTTTTTTCACATTTGGTTTGCCGCAGAAGCTTTTGTGTGTAATACAGAGCGAGAGGGATGAGAGCGAACGTGCGAAGTATACATTGCCGACTGACTCACGCATACACATGGAAGCATGCACAGGCCACGAAAGAGCGAGCAACTTCAAGCGTGGTCCCGAAAGAGCGAGAAATTTCAAGAGCGCAACAGCAACAATTGTTGATTTAACTGTCAACGTGTGTTGTATGTGTGTATGTGTGTGTCACTTTGGCGTTGGTATAAAAAGCCCGATCCGTCTACCTCTCGGCTGCAATTATGTTCGAACCGTTGAACGACGCGTAACTGCTGCTAAAGAAAGAAAGAAGCAAAAGAAAAATGTATATTACAATACAAAGAATAAAGTATAAACAAAAAATGTCGATTGTTCCACTGCTGCGTTTGGCACGCGATCTTGAAAGTGCCTACGACGACCTGGAATCATTTGCTGGATGATGACTTCGGATTTGGAGTACATCCTCACGAACTGTGAACATTCACCACGTCTCCTGATGTCACACCAGTTGCAGCTGGATAAGGATGGATTCTAGGTCTGCATGGATGTGGCCTAATCGTCACTGATGACTATGTGCTCGGGGCGGCTGTAGTCGGCGCAATATGCCATCATATTCATGGCTCAAACAGTAAGGGCTAACATCAAGTTTTAAATTATTAAAACCAATTTTGAATTTTTAGTTGGATCATCGCTGGAGCAAGAGTCTGAAGGACATCTATTTGGTGCATTCCACATTTGGGATTAAATTCTTGGTTTGGATGGCGCGCTGCTTTGTCAGGTTTTTAAACTTAATTTAGGAAAGTTTATTCCTTTTATCTAATTCGAATTGTTCTCTGTGAATTAGCACAAAATACCGGAGCAAGCTCATCTATGTACAATCTCTGGAGGAACTGACCTGCAAGTGGCTGTGGAGAAGGCAGCCATACCAGAGAAACTGAAGAATGCGATGACAAACGACATTGAGCTGACCACTAATAATTGGCGAATTGGCTTACTGCTTGCTCAGGCTTGATTCACTCGCAAAGCAAGCTGCCATTGTACAGAAATTGTTCACGTCTTCTAAAGCTCAGTTCTTAAGATGATCATGAATTTCCATGCATTATTATGATGCTTAAAGCAATTATTGTTTACCCTTCTCCTCCTCCTCATCACTTTTCAAGCGCTCAACAGACTCCATCGAGGTTTGTTCAAATAATTGCTTAAGAGCACTAAATAATGTATGAGCTTATTTTACATTATATTAAGATTCCCAGCTCTCACAAAACTCATCGAAATTTACATACCAACTAGGGCAGAAAGCTCATTTTGTGCCAGCAACTGTGGCTGGATCCAATTTATTTGCCTGCATGTCGTGCCATTAAAAACACCTGTTGTTTTGCACTAAACTATAATTAAAGTTTCAGCGTGACACATATCCAGGTGTATAAAACTACAAATTGTGATGGATTGATAGCATGGGGCTCTAGAACTTAATGTTCATAGCAATCATTAACTTTGTCCGCCTTGTTGAACTGCAGTAAAATCAGTTCGTAGGTCACAATTGTGCCAGCCACCTACAAATGAAATGCATATTATAAATAGACATTTTAAACTAGAACCTGAAGATTTATTACCGCAATGACAACGCCACGCGTAAGCCGAAAGAACTTCATGCCCGTCAGAGCCACTTGATCCATGTGCACCTCCTCCGAGAAGCGCTTCAGCTGCAAATCAAAGAGTGAAATGAAATGATCACTTCGCTTGCGGCTCTGTTTACCTCTGTGGACCAATACTGTCTGGGCACCAGCTGAAAGATGCGCAGCGGACGCTTGGACTCATCATTGACGCTGGCACTATACAGCGAGAGTATTAAAGAGCGAAAGAGTAAATAACCCAGCGAAAACCAAAAGTAAGCCGTATGCGATGCAGAAGGTTTTTTTCTATAAACCAAAAAAAATATATATAAAAAATAGCAATTATTTGATTTCATATTCATAGCTTACTGTAAGCTCTTCAAAATCTTGCCGCATATAAAGTAAAGGTTGTTGCTGAAGCATAGCAGGGTTATAACAGATATGGCATCGTCCACAACATTGCATAGTTTACAAAGATTGCGAAAATTGATGCGACATTGGATCCAATAGTCAACGCTAGTGGGCTGCAAGGCAAGATTAAATAATATATATACTGAATAAGTTTGCATTCATTACAACTTTACCAATCTGGCCTCACGAAGCATATTGTCGTTGAGTTGACGGAAACGTGCCGCCAAAGAAACACTGACAGCCATGACGAATATATCATTGAAGCTCCAGGCGAATGTGGCCAGCACATTGACCACCTTGCCAACTATGCCCAGGAACGAATTGTAGTCGACAAAATGGAAAAACATGGAAAAATTCAATACCAAATAGCTATCGATGGGTCGGTTTGGCAACACCGGGCAGGCATTCACATAATAAATGCTGGACAGCATGCTCAGCAGATGTTCCACTGCAAAAAGGCCGATGTACTCAGGAGATGGAATGATTATATAAACATATATTTACCTAGCGAACAACCAATGGCAATGATTATAATCTTTCGTATATGTATAGCCAATGCAGATCGTTCCCGTTCCGTACGCATCATGGGCAATTGGGACTCTACCACTTGCCACTCCAAAACGACGGCTGGCCATTTCATAGCCAGTTGAAAGAAGGCCACAGCGATGGCAAATATAGAGCCATAAAAGATGAGCGTTTCCACCGAATCGAAATCAAAGTTCACACGCATCACAAACGCAGCCAAAAATCCCGAGGCAATTGAAAAGAAAACAATTACAATCAGTGCATAACAAGTGCGAAAACTCAGCCAGCGAAAATGTAAATCCTCCGCATGCTTTGAGTTTATGCCACACACTGGCATCAGTGCAAAAACCTCGGCAATTATCAAAACTACAAAGTAGATGGATGTTCAAAGATATTTGATTAAGTTGCTCAACAGCATAGATTATAGATATTATGGATTAATTGGTTGGTCACCTGGCCGGATGGCTTCCAGAAATGAACCGCTGTGAACGTAGCTGCCTCTGTCAGCGCGTTGCACTGCCTCCTTTACCTTGTTGCGCTGTAATTTATCAGCTCTTTGCTTATGTCTTCTTGGCCCGCGTAATCGGAATTTCTGCTTCATGGCTGCATTGCGTGCCACACTATCGACATTAAGATTGCCAATGATCTTTGAGCCAAATCCGATTTATTCTCATTGATTCATTTTTACTTACTCGCCGTCAAGTCGTGCCGCACGCCAAAAATTGACAAGCTTTGCGCTCTTGCGGCGCCTTGTCGTATCACCAATGGTCCTGGCCATGTCTGGTGCCCAACTGCAATTGGATATTTTCATTGCGAATTGTCAAAGTCAACAAAATATTATGTGGGTGGGAGGAGTTCTCTTTTAATGCCAAACACGCGAATTACATGGTTTTTTTTGTTGGTTTTTTTTTTGCTTATCTGTTTACAATCATTTGGGCAAATTGCAGGTCTGCCGTTGACAGCCTCATAAAATATGCAATATGATTATAAGTGGCCGGACTACGAGAAAATGCTGGCAGAGCCATGACCGCGACTACAAATGCTCTTTTGCACCTCCGAGTCGCTCATTTGACTGATCAGCACCAGCTCGTAAGCCAACAGGGTACCAGCCATCTGCCAACGAAGCAATGGTTATAGAATTATATGTCCCATATATATATTTTGATAAGTAATACTCACACCAAAGATCAGACGCCTGGTCAAAAGGAAATAACCCTTACCGCTCAGGGCAAATGTGTTTGTTATGACGATTTCGTGTATACGCCTCAATTCCAGACACCAATATTCAGTGGGTATTTCAAAAAGTGTATAGGAAATGTCCAGAGCTACCTCCGGTATCGAGGCGGCAGCAAACATCATATTGGACATGCGGATTAGGACATAGAACAGGCAAAACCAGAAGTACAACTCATCCATAAAGCTGCCCCTCGCCCTGTGAAGAGTTGAAAAGAATACGTTTATGCTGATCCCATAAAATATATATGTTCGAAGTATTTACTTAAAGCTGTGAAAGAACTGCACACACACAAAGTACATGTTGTGGGCGCAGGCCAAAAGCACTAAGCCTGCCAGCTCCTTTTCATACAGCTTCAGCAAATCACTTAGATCCAACAGATCATAGCGCAGCTGCTCCCAAAACTCGCTGGACATTTGCTTGTCGGCATGCTGACGAATGCGCCAGTGTAGCTGCTGAAATCGCAGCTGCATACTGCGACAGATGAGGGTCAAAAAGATGTCCACAAAGTTCCACACAAAGGTCATGGCCAATGTGGTCCACTCAATGAAAATGCCCTGCAGCCAATTGAAATTAAACACGGCGAAGAGCTCCTGACGCTCGCGCTGAAAGTAGTTAAACCAGAAGTCCACATCCAAGTTGCATTCATGGATTTGCCGAAAATTGTTGTATACGGCACTGCCCACATACGTTGAATGTTCGGCGAGTGCTGCGAGTAGCATGCCCATGCCCCAGATGCGCAAACGATGACCAAATTGTCGGCCCAACTGGCAGTCATAGCCAGGCTGCAGGAAAACCAACTCACAACGCGCTGTCTGCCGGATGAGATGTGGCCAGCGGTATGAAAGAGAGAGAAAACCGCCCAAGCAGGCAATGCAGATAACACTGAAGCTGAGCGAGCCTGAGCGGAGATGACAATTGTTTAAGGGATATAAATTAAATATTAACTTTATTTTCCATACCTATGGTATAAATTTTAAGACCACGATCGACCACAATTCGGGAGGAGAGGACACAGTCCAAAATGGCGAATACCAAGAGGACAATGCTCACAAGCAGCGCTGGGGAAATCCAGCGAAAGCGCACTTTCTCAACGGGCGAAGTGGGCCAAACACCAGCCACAGGCAGTACACCAAAAAATTGTGCTAATACTAAAACTACACAAGTAAAAATAATAAAACTCAACTTTTGCTAAATTAGCATTTAATTAAACTAACAATCAATTGAATAGTTGAAGTACTTAATTAGCTTCGCAGATGGTTCAACTTACATGGCCCAATCGCCCGATGAAGCGTATTTTTTTTGCTGCTCTGTCGCTTGAGCTTCATTGTGGGTTGGTTGGTTGGCTGTTTACTGGCAAGTGAGCATGCGAGCAAAATTCATTTCGTTTAGAAGGGATTGCAATCAATAAGCGAATGTGTACAGAAGGGCGCATGACGCCAAATTGGCTAATGTACAAACATATTTGCAGTTAAGATCTGAATAGTTAAGCGTGCGAAATGACATTTGAAACAAATTGAGAGTACTTCAAAGAATATCTAATTAAATCTAGCTGTCGAGGTGACAGTTTCCTTGAGCAGGACACCGATTCGTAGTATGATAATTTTAGCAGTAGACAGTTCTTTGCCTGATGGTTGCCTGATTGATAACATCGGATATCATCAGCTCGTAGGTGATTATTGTGGTGCCCATCTGCGAAAAGAGTCAAAGGCTTCTAATATGTAATGTATTCCTTATTATTCCACTCACAGACAGCACAAGTTGACGTGTCACATAGAAAAAGCCATTGCCAGATAATGCAGTCATCTCATTGCCGAGCTGCTCGCTGAAGCGCTCTAGCTGCATAGAAGCATAGACTGGATGAGAACTAAGCTCAGCCAGAGAGAATCTCTCTCTGCATCCCTTACCTCTGTGCTCCAAGCCCTGGCGGGCACATCTCGCAGCGATGTTATAATCTTTAGCTCGTAATCATTTATTGAAGATGCAACAAATATAGTCAAAGTTGTGCGGACCACAGCAAATATCAATGAGTACCAGAAGGCCAGCATTACAATGAAATCGAAGCCTATGTTTCTAAACAGCAATTAAAACTACACTTTAAACTGAAAGTTGCAAAGAAAATAATGTTCAACTCACTTGAAGCTATTGAACAGCTGAAAGCATATAAAGGACATATTATTGCCAAAGCCCAGAAGTATAAGGGGTGCCAGAGCATTATCCAGTAGACGAACAAGCCGCTTCAGAGCCAAATAATGATGACGCACCTCGGTCCAAAATAAAGCAGGCATCACCTTTCTATGGACGGCTGCAATGCGTCGATGCAGTTGATGAAAACGGGCCGCCAAACCAATGCCAATGCACATAATAAAGCAATCGGTGAAGGAGCGCGGATAGGCAATTGTCTCATTAATCCACTGTACAAATCAAATGAATATTAAATGTCCTCCTAGTAAAGTAAATGTATAGATTCACCTCAAGCACAGGCATTATACAGATGTGATATGGTATTATGGGATAAAGATAAGGACGTTCCCATTTGTAGACGCCTTCCAGGTAGCTCATATTGATTTTACACTGTGTGCGCTCCAGATTGCTCGAGTGAAAAGAGTTGGCCAACAGCAGACAGTGCTCGACTACAAATAACATACTTTGTAACAAAATAAGTCATAAATTAAATATGTAAAATGGCTTACCCAAGGCAGATGACATAACCAAACCGACAACAATGTGAATGCGACGTTTCATCTTGTACTCATCATAGAAGCGATAGGGTATGGTAAGGAAAAGCTGTTCCACATCATGCCAGTGCTTCATGATGCTCTGCCAGTTGAACGCCAATCTCCAGAAGAATATGTGCTCCAGCAAGCAAACAACATAAAATGCCAGCGTGCTGGATGTGTGAAAGTTAACGCCCACACTAATCACATAATATAAAACAATCCCAAATTCGCATAGATTGAGTATCAAAATGGTAGCTGAATAAAATACGCGTGGACTAAACCAACGATATTTGATATCCTTGACATCATGAGAACATATATTGCTCACAGGCAGCAAGCCATAAATTTGTGATATGAAAAGCACTGTAAAATAAAATTAAAATTCTTCAATCAATTTCAGATTCTCAGCTAGGCAAAGTGCAGAATTTGTGGATACCTTTCGAGACAGCGCGAAAAAATGTTTCGTTCTGCGGCATGACCAAAATGGGACTGTTTACGTTCAAGCGAAATGCATACGTGCAATGGGCAATGAGTGGGCGTGTCGTGGGCTTATGTACAATTTAGCAGCTAGTTTTTACAATAATCCAAAAGATAATTGTGGTCGCCTGTCAGCGGGCATGACAAATTGTAATTGTTGCTGCCACCAATCAGGCGCACAAGGGCTGCAAACCCTTGCGGCGATTGGGTTCATCGAATTGCAACAACACCAGCTCGTAGGTAACTTTAGTGCCAGCCATCTAAAACGGGTCGAAAGGTGATTAACTTAAAGTACTATACAAATTAAGAGTTATACGCACACCAAAAAGCAGCCTGCGCGTTAGAAAATAGAATTTCTTGCCAGACAAAGCCACTGTTTGTGTGAACATTTGAAAGATTAGGCGTTCCACCTCAATGCACCAATTGTTGCCGGACACACGACGCAGCACAGCCAGCGCACTCTTCGACTCATCATTGATGGTGGCAGCTGTGAGAAAGACGCAAGCTGTGCGACTCACCAGAAACAGCATCGAGTACCAGTGGTACACATAATTGATGGGCCAGCGCAATTTGCTAATTGGCAAGCGAAAATCAGGGGGTTAACTGAGCTGAGAGGACATTGGATCAACACTCACTTGAATATGTTCATTAGCTGAACGTATATAAAGTATAAATTATTTGCACAAGATAACAAAATGATACTGGAGAAGGCATTATCCACGCGCTCCAGCAGCTGACACATGCGTACATAGTCCTCGCGAATCTTTATAAATGTGGACTCCGGTACCTGGTCCGCTTGCTCCAGCAAGCGAATACGATTAGAGATTTGCTCGAAGCGATAGGATAACCCCTTGCTGATCATTATGATAAATAAATCCATAAATCCATATAGTACTGGTGCCAGCCACCAGCTATAATGCAAATTGGTGAGCAAATTAATCGAAAATAATCAAATTTAAACCTTTTTTTCTTACCATAATATAGAGAGCTATGATACGACTATAGGCCAGCACTTCGAACGCATAAGGATAGTTAATTACGATGAATTTATCAAAGGACACTCCGCCAATTGTGCTATTTGGAAGTTTTGAGCAGAGTTCCGCATGTCGCCTGTAGCTGATAATCGCAGAGGATAGATACAAAGCATGCTCAACTGCCAAAGGGGGGAGCCAAGTAATTACCAGTCAAATAGCTGTGGTCAAACTCTTACCAATGGAACAGCCAATGATGATTAGGGCGGAAAGTCGCACACGTTGCGACAGACTTCTTTTGAGTACCTCATAGCGTGGCTTGCTAAAGATCAGCTCCACACGTGTCCAGTAGCGTATTAAAGTCGGCCAATGACGCGCCGCATCTATGAATAACATGCAAGAGCACTGCACAAAGACGTAGAACACCAAACCTCCTACAGAGAATAGAAAATGACATGAAGTATGAGAAGACTTCCTTTGAGTGGTTAAGACCAACCAAAGTTCTTCGCTGTGATGCCAAACTTGAACAAAAGCTTCAGCATCGACAAATTGAGCACCAAACTAGCCGCCATAAAGAGCAGTGCCACAAACATTTGCACAGCTTTGAGGCAATACCTAACACGCCGTGGATTTGCCTGTCAGTGGCATCACAGCAAAACACTGACCCAGCAACATAACTGTTAAGTGTATAGAAATTATATAAAAAGTCATCGGTTATTTGTTTTTTTTTTACTTACTGGGATACACAGCTCGATGAAATATGTCTAGTTGAGCATAGTCTGTTGGTTTCGCTCGTTGGTCGTCATCTATTTCCTTGGCTGAGCTATTTTCATGGTCATCCACCTGATTAACCCTTTTGCTCCTGAATATGTGCAGTAATTTCCAACTAGTTTGTCCGTTCATGCCGCTGGCCAGTTGCTCACTGAGCTGCAGTTGCTATACAAAATGTTGGCAATGTGTCGCAATTACTGGTTACCCTCCCAATGAAGGCAAATTACAGGTAGCAGACGCAGTCGTGATAAACAATAATTAGACGGCTGCCCATAAAGAGCTGCCTGCAAAAATAGAACTCAGTCAAAATGAGGCAAGCTGCGCGTAAACATTCCTTTAACAATTCGGTGCAACTAAAGTCCCAACGACGACAGCAACGTACTGTGATTGACCAGAAATGGCAATGTGCCTCAAATGTGGATAGCTTGGAGCAACTGGATACGTTCCATCGTGCTATACGACCATGTAAGTGGAATTATCGCTATGGAAATGAGGTGTTACTTCAGTAATTTTATAGATTTGTGCCTGGCTCAGGTGTTTGGCATGATGCCGCTGGCGAATGTACTCAGCAACGATCCACAATTGGTCAAATTCCAATTGCGCTCCTCTGGCACATTCTTCTCGATGCTCTTTTTGTTGCTGGGTGGTTTTAAAACAATGCGTCTAACTGCAAAGCTAATCGAGGGTGGTATTAATGCCAAAAATATAGGTAAGATTAAAGCAAAAAGTCGAGGGCTGCCAATCGGTTATAGTACCACACATGAAGAGTGTATTTTAAGCTAAACTTATATATATTTATTATCAATTAAATATTGCAATGGCAAAGTCAAGTCATTTTAAATGTGATGGACAATAACAACTTGAAATTAATTCAAATTTTTTAATTTGTGCTGAAGTTTTGAAGTGCATTGAAGGACACGTCTCCGTCTCCACAAAATATTTATATATTATGTCGCAATTGTAGAAACAATCCATTGGTTATTTAACATATGGTAAAATTTATATGTCGGCAATCTGACTACGTTCTAGAAGGGTATATATTCTTCGGCTTGCCCAAGATAACCATTCCTTTTTATTTATTTTCTTATAAGAACTGGGTATATAACTATAACTAACTTCCAACCGCAGTGGGAGTCGTATTCTTCAGCAGCGGCATGATAATCTGCCTGAATTTCATTAGCTTGGCCCGCGGCTGGTCCCGTCTAATAGTTCCTTGGAATGGTATCGATATTATAATGCTATTTCCTCCATATGCGCCAACGAAACGCAGTCTGCGCTTTAAACTCCTCATCACTGGCTGCACCTTGGGTTGTTTGACTTTGGGTGAGTTGATATTTTAACGCATAACTCGTCAGTATCTTTACTGAATTGTATTCGATTGTCTTTCAGCTGAACATTGTTTGTATTATGCATCCAGCTATTATAATTATAGCATGCAGTTCTTGAACTGCCAGGCGAATGTGACTCGGGTTCCGTTGCGTGGCTATATGAATAAGGAATTCGCTGGTTTCTTTGATAATATGCCATACAATTTTATATTTATATTCTATTCGTTTGTATGTGCAGCTGGAATTTGAATACTCAACAGCAACTTATGCAGCCTTTTTTGTTTTCAGTTTTTGAATTTCACGTTCACCTTCATTTGGAATTTTATGGATACGTTTATAATTTTGATAAGCATCGGTTTGGCTCAACGCTTTCAACAGTTTGCCACACGCGTTTTATCGCTGGCAAATCGTGTAAGAATCTCTTTCTATATATATATATTATACTCACATTTTCATCATGTTTTGGCTTCAGCATGTGACAGATGCTGTGTGGCATGAATTACGCATGCATCACATACTTTTATGCGAGCTCATGGATCTGGTTGAGGCAAATATGTCGCATATTGTGTTGTTATCCTGTTTGAACAACATTTACTTCATATGCAATAAGCTGTTGACAATATTCACGTAAGTAATTTTAAGTGATTGATATATTTTTGTGTTTAATTATTTTTGTATTTTATAGAAAACTGCGTTATCCCATCAATTATGCATATTTCTGGTATAGCTTATTGTTTTTGCTGGGACGCACCTGTACCGTCTTTATGTGCGCCTCGAGAATTCACGAGGCTTCGTTGCTGCCCCTTGAGGTACTTTCTATGGTGCCCAGCGATCACTGGACGGAGGAGGTGCAACGATTCACGCATCAGGTGAACAATCAGTTTATAGGACTCTCCGGCTCTCGACTCTTCTATCTGACGCGACAGAGTTTTTTTGGCGTGAGTTTTTGCGTTTTAATTCCCATTAAAGAAAAGCTGAAAATTGATTTTATTCTTCTCTCAGATGATGGCCACGTTGGTGTACTATGAGTTTATGCTTTTGCAATTGGATGCCAAGAACAACAATGATTTACCCGCTTTATGTGTCTAAAGAAGACGACCAGCTTTGGAAAGGATATTGAAATTAATTGAAATACTTCAAAAATATATATTACTGCCTCAAGTAAAAAACGCTTAAAAGGCGCGAATATATTCTTATTCTAGAATGCTTAACATTAAATCAGATTTGTTGTCTTTCTCCATTTGATATCTTAACTTAAGGCTCAAGTTCTAAATTTAAGATTTGCTTTTTTAAAAATGTAATTTTCTCTGTGTATATTTAACAAGAAATGGTTAAGAAACTTATATTAATCATAAGCACTCAGCAAATAAAAAGTCTCAAGTCTACTAAAATCAAATAAATACAAAGAGTTTTCTTTAATAGCTTCGTTTGTTTTTGGTAATAATAAAAGGTGTAAACTGTAGTTGCAAATTGGCCACATGAAATCATCATATCATCATTTCAATTCTATTGTCTTTTTCGGGCATTTGTGGGCAAGTGCAACTGTTCACAGAGGGCGAATCCACAAATTTGGGGGTAACCGAAGTCGTTTGCCATTAGTTTCAATTAATTGGACAAATGTAAATCTGACAACTGTACAGCGATTGTTACGCCAACTCAACGAGCTGTCAAAGAGGGACGGAGAAGTAAAAAAAAGTAAAATAGCATTCGAATGGTTTTTCAATTCGCGCATTTCTCTGACACTGACACTTTGCCAATTAACACTTTCCTGGTTACCTGCCATTGTTTATAGCCACGCCCCATTGCAGGGCGTTGGGCCGGGGGCAATTATCCTGTCAGAAAACTTTTATACATATGTATAAAAAGCCCACGCCGAAGCTGGTAGCAAAACAAAATGCCAACAAAAACAAACGCAGTTCATTACCAGTCGCCGGTCACCCCCCGTTTCCGTTGCAGCAGCACGTGAGTCAGTCGGAGTCGCCACCCCTGGCTGGGAGCAGCACGCAGCTCTATAGCCATATAGTGCGAGCAGAGAGCGGGTTTGTTTTGACCGAGCTGTCATGACGACAACTGGCAAATACAAAAAAAAACTAAAATAAAAGTTGTTAAAAATGCACTGTGAGCGATTTGAGCAGTTTGTGGCATATCGGAAACTTTTCACTCGCTCAGAACGCAACGAACCGCCAAATCGAACGGAGAACGAAGTTCAAGCAAGGATATCAGGCATGAGCCAGCATGGATATACCGGATACTGTATCTGTGCGAAAGTTTCACGAGTTCAGCTCGCGGCAAAAGCACGAGCTATATGAAACGCTGCTGGAGCTCGCCGATACGCTCGAGGAGTTGCCCAAGAGATCATTGCGCAAGACCTTGGAGTTAACCTTGGCCGTCTTGGAGTACAAGGGTCAGGTGGCGCAGCGATTCGAGCAGAGCGGTGAGCGACGTCTCCAGGATGAGAACGAGAAGCTGAAGCGCATGGTGCAAAAGCTGGAGGATGAACGAGATGGACTCAAGCACAAGATCAAGGAGGCAAGTACACAAATTGCGCTTGAACTGTGCAACTTATTCAAAATATGTGTTTCCAGTTGGGTGAGGAGATTAAGCAGCAGCAGCTGCAGCTGCGACAGGCAGCACAGCAGGCCGAGGCCAGCGACAAGGACTCGTCGGATCCGCTGTCCGAGCTGGACAAACAGGAGCAGATGCTGCACAGCATCGATACAAAAAACAAGCACATTAAACGACTACTCCGGGAAATTGAAGTAAGAAATATGTTCGCAATTAATTCTATAATATATGCAATGTCAATTTTTGTTATTTGCAGACGCTGCAAAACCAAAATATTGCCCAGTCAAAGACAATAGTGACGCACGAGCAGGAACTGCATGAAATCAAATCCAAACTGCTGGAGATCACCAAGGAGCTAACCAAGTTCGAACAGGAACGCAAATCGCTGAAGCAGCGGGAACAACAACAGTGTTTGGAAGTCAGCCGACTGGAAGGCAATGTAACATTCCTGGAGGATGAGCGCGAGAAGCAGGATCAGGAAATGCGCCAATTTCTAGAGAAGTATGAGGTTCAAGTGCTCGACTGGCAGAAGCTGCTAGATCAAAAGGATAAGGAGCTGGCACTGATGAGTAAGAGAGCAGAGTTCCTGTCAGCGGGCCAGCATACGTTGCTATCTTCCACTTCCAGCAGTAATCCCAGTCCCTTGAACGAAGAGCAGACCAAACTGCGACATGTAAGTCCAGAATTTCCAAATTTCTACTGAGGAACTTGCTCAATGCATATTCTTTCCAGTTGCTGGAGTTGCGAGAGAAACGCATTGAGGCTCTGGAAGCGAAGTTGCAATCAATGTCGGATGAGATGGTCAACTCGACGAAGGTAATGAATCAACTGTGCGTGCAGCACGAAAGCACACAGAATTCTCAACAGCCACGTGCCTGCTGTCAGCTGATCGAAGAGCGTCTACGCAGTTCCGATGCCCGAGTCCAACAGCTATCCGAGCTGCTCGACAGCGCCGAGCAGGATAATGTGCTCAAGGCCAAACAGGCATTGCACGCCCTCAACGCTTTGGAGTCGTATAAGCGTGGCGAGGATGGCCTTGTGCCGGCGCTGCGTCGCTGCTCTGGCCTGGAGCAAAAGCTGGCCGAGAGGGAGAAACAGTTGCGCAGGCATACGCAGGAGCTGAATGCCATGCACGAGGTGGTCCAGGAGAACGCTGTGCTGCGCAGTCGGCTCAACATACCCGACGATGTGGTCGTCCTCTCCAAGCAGGTGCGCGCCAAGCAGCGCAACAAGGACAAACAAATTGAGAGACTTGTGCTCAAGTTGCGCACCTCCGAGGAGCTGCGGTTGCAGCTAAAGCTGGACAAGACCGAGCTGAGGTGAGCAAGCGGCGAGTGTGCCCACATCCAATGCTCAATCGTTTAATTTGCAGACGTAAGTTGCTGCAGCTGCAGAATGGTCAGCCCACGCAACTGGATGAGTCACTGCATCAGCCCAGCGAGATTGGCGAGGTGCCGTCCACTGCGCCGCTGGAGAATTCGCCACGGCGTGGCCAAGGCGATGGTGCCGCCAGCTCGGAACTGCAAACCAAATATGAAGATGTGCTTGCCGAGAACGAAACACTGCGCATGGGCATGTATGAGATACTGGAGAAGCTGCGGGAATACGATGGTGAGTCCACGATATAACACATGCCAAACCTTAAACACCCTTGCAGAGAAATGGTTAAAAGGAGGAGTATCTTTAAAGTTTGATGAAGATATCTCAATCTCTACTATTAGTTTGTATAGAAGTTCGAAACTCCTTATTTACTCCGATGCCGACCAATCCTGAAATTTCTTTCTGGATAGGCAGCTGTAATAATAATATACATAAACTATCATCAGCCATATCACACATGGCTATATAGATTCCTGAACGATACTGCTCCAGAATATGTTTAACTTAAGATAATTTTTCCTTTAATAAGTTAAACATTTCTTGCGTCAAATTTTAGTTACCTTTCCAGGATTATCAGACCTACAATTAATATCCTGAATTACATGTCATATATTATTCAATTGAATTCTTAAAGCAACCTCGGAACACATCACCATAGATTCGGAGCTCCTGCGTCGCCTCATCGAAGCACTGCCAGCTGGGACAGCTATGCCACAGAATCTGCATGGGCAGCTGCTGGAGTTGAAGGCGCGCGAGGAGGCGCTCTGCCAGCTACTGCAGCAAAATGCCAGCGAATCAGAAACAGGAGAGTTATCCTCAGTGCAAAGCATGCGAGATGTATCCGAGATGCCTGAGGAGCAGTCCGATATACTGGCTATTGATTCAGCAACACGGCCAACTACACCAAATGAGTTGGTCGAGGGATTGCAGTTGCCCGTCATCGCCGAGCTGGCTGTGGAGCAGCTCAGACCTGGGTCTGCAGAGCTGGCAGAGTTGACCATTCTCCGCAAACACTATGAGGAACTGCGTCTGCACATGTCCGCCGATGGCAACGAGCTGGTACGCTGCAATCAAGAGCTGCACGGACAGACGATCGGTCTCGAGAAGCAGCTGCAGGAGCAGAGTAGCTCCTATAAATACATGCGCTCCGATTATGATCAACTGCTGACTGAGCTGAAGCGTCAGGAGCTGCGTTACATTGAGGACACATCGGCCTTAAGCAGACAGCTGGAACAGCACAAGTCCCAGCTGGCTGACAAGTGCGAGCAATTGGCAACCATCCAAAGAACGCATCCCTGCACGGCAGAAGAACGCCAGCAGCTGGAGCAACGGAATACGCAGCTGAGCATGCAATTGGCCCAGGCCACGGAGCAGCTCCTTCGCGAGTTGAAGCTGACGGATATATGTGCAGATTATGGCATCATTGGTGAGAATTATCAGCTGGCTTATGTGACAGCCGAGGAGTTTGAGAGACAGCGCCAGGAGCTGACCACTTGGCGCGGTCAGCAGTCGGAGCTGCAGCGGAAGAACAAGCAGTTGGAGGGCCTGTTGCAGGTGGCCAATGGACAGATACAGTCACAGCAGAAGCTGCTCAACGAGATCACCGACAATCACATCAATTTGCGTCACCTGGTCGCTGATCTTCAGAGCAGCTCCAATGACAAACTGATGTTGGCCAAAATGCAGCGTGACCTGGACGCGGGTGAGTATTCCACAAGGAAATTAATTGATCGTTGATTCTCATGCTTATTACTGATTTCTGCAGCTAAAGCGGAAACTGTACGCTTGGAAGTGGAACGCAAGCGTCTGCAGCAGCACGTGGACATAGTGGAGGCGCAGCTGCAGGCAGCGGAACGGCTGGCGGCACAGGCTCAACAGGACTTCCAGCAGGAACGCAGCAGCAGCGACATTAAACAGAGGTAAGCTTCGCTAGTCCAGTGAAACAACTGTAGAAATAAGCATTTTTTCTGAGTGTACTTGGGAACTTAATATTTGTTCAATCTTTTCAGATTCCTACAGCGATCGCTGTTCACACTCAAGGAGAAATATGCCAAATTTACACCATTGATCTTCCTTAACAATTTTGTGTTCGCCTATCAAAAGTTCAATCGACGCGTGCAGGAGCACCAGGAGTTGGAACACTCCGACGTCAAATCCGATCTGGTGGAGCAAGTGCTGCAAGCAGTGCAGGGAAAACTGTCACCCAACGAGGAGAACTCCCAGCAGCTGATCAAGCTCATCAAATCGGAGACGCAAATTCGACTGCTGGAACAACGCTGCGAGAGTCTGCAGGCGAAGCAGTTGCAGCTGCAACAAGAGCTGACCGAGTTGCGTGTGCAGCATGCCACGGAATCGGAGCACTGGCAGATGATTGGGGCGCTCTTCGAAGATCAGCCCAGCCGTGGAAGTAGTAAGGAAGCAGCTGGCGTGGATGTGGCAACCAATACGGAGGCAGCGGTGCCAGTGCCCGCGATGAGACGCACAGCACCACTGATCGATAAACAGTCATCGCCCATTGGATCGCCGAGCCGGCGACTCTCCGGCCAGGATGAGGCCACACAAACGGAGCAGGCTGCTGTGCAGCTACTGGAGACGGCAGTCCAAACCAATGGCAGCAAAGTGCAACAGCATCAAGAAGTGCAAACAGCGCAGGATCTTAGTCAGGCAGATCAGGAGCTGCAGCAATTGAGATCAGAGTAAGTGGCTCGAAATATAAATCCTTAATATAATCTCTTATTTACCCACTGTATCAGACTGCAAGCAGCGAACAAGCGACTTGAGGAGCTGGGTACTCAACAGCGGGAGACGGGCAAAGCGAGCAGTGAATCCGACAGTCAGCGTGGTGGAGTTGTGGAGCAGACCATCCTATCATTCCATACGTTACTCCTCGAGAAGGATCAGTCCATACAAAAGTACGTGGATCTGCTGCAAACGGAGAGGGAACAAAGCCAGGAGCTGGTCACCAAGCACACAGCAGAGATTGAAACCCTCAAGGCAACCATAAACAACTTGAATTTCAACATTAAAACCAAAGATCTGGAAATATTGGAACTTAAAGCCAAACTGGAGGAGACCAAGCCAACTGGCGGCATTACTGTCGACACTTCCACCAACGAGCTGAGTGACGAACGAATTGAGGAAATGTTTGAGCACGATCGAAGTCCACTGCAGCAGGAACAGGAGGAGCTGGACGAAGATTCGGTTGAGGCTGTCGCTGTGGATGAAGAGGCAGCCGGCGAGCAGGAGAAACAGGATACCGAAGAGCTAAAGGAGCTGCCCACGCTGCACAAGCAGATCAAAGAACTGAAGGACAAACTGAGCTACTGCGAACAGAATTTAATCACGAGAGAAGAAGAGATTGATATCCTAAAGGAAAAGTGAGTAGAAGACTAGATTCTTAAGTACAATAAGAGTTTGCTTTGGGTTATTAATGATTCTAGAATATTACGATCTTAAAACAATACATCCTATGAAGCTGTAAAGCTCCCATTAACGCTTACAACTTAACTATACTAAAATAGATTAAAGCTCTGTCAGGATCGGGAGAAATGCATGGAGAGCACAGGTAATCCAGAGTTGGAGCAGCTACGAGTCTTCCTGGAGGAGAAGGACAAACACATACGTGATCTAATGGACACGCTGAAGAACTTCCATGTCAGTATTGAATTATATTTCATAAAAATAGTTTTTACTTACAGTTAATCATTGATCATTTTGCAGGACGATCAACAGCGTTATATCAACGATACTTCCAACTATTCGGCGGATCAGATTGCCAAGCTGGCTGCGGATCTCAATCGCACCGAGGCCACCAACAAGATCTATCACACCCAAATGGAGGCACTGCGTCGCCAGGTGGCCAATGTCACCCAACGCGAGAAGCAAGCGAGGGATTTAAGTCAATCCCTGCGCCAGCAGCTGCTCAAGCGTCCCGTTGTTTCCATCAAAACGGAGCTGAATGCGCGCGTCAAGAACGAGAATCTGCAGAAGCGCATTCACCAGCTGGAGCTGGATCTAGAGGATTCACGGGCTCAGTTGCAGCGACAGCAGACGCTGCTGGAAGCGAAACGGACACGCAGCGCCAACGAGGTGGGTCTCTGGGAGAAGCAGAAGCGCTTCCAGCAGCAGGCAGAGAAGTTCAAGGCACGGCTGGAGGAGTCAGAGTTAGCGCTGGAGAAGACGCGTACGCTGCTCCAGGCGGCACGGACAACGATAGCCCGTCTCGAGAAGGACAAGCAGCTGCTGGAGTCCAAGCTGGGCAGAGCAGGAGCAGCGGGAGGTGGCCGCGGAGGAGGAGGAGGAGAAGCAGGCAGTGGTTCATCGACGACAGCTGCAGCTGGTCATCAAAGTCATCACAGTTCATTGAAATGCTGTCGTGTGCCATCCTGCCCCAACTTGCAGCATGTGGGCGGGCCAAAGTTTACACCGTCGCCATCGGAGAGTCCGGAAACGTATACGACGGGTCCGAGCAGCGAGTGTAGCTCGCCGGCCCACAACCAATCCCAGCCGACTGGCGATCACCTCAGTTTCTATGAGCAGGGCCACTCGGAGCTGATTGATGCGCTCAAGGCGCGCATTGAGATGCAACAGCGCAAGATTATTGCCATGGAGCTGGAGGGGCGTGGCAGCAATGCGCTGACCACCGAACTGGAGAAGCTACAGGAACGCTGCCAGGCGGTCGAGGCCCAAAACATCCGACTGGAGGCGCGCAATTTGCAGCTGCAGCTGGACACGGATCTGCTGCGGCAGAGCGACAGCAGCGATCGTCTGAAGAAGCGCATTAAACATCTCGAGGAGTAAGTCATCCTCTGCTCCTGCTTTTAGCACTTTCCTAACATATATTCCACGACTCCTTTGCAGCTATATCATTGCGCTCAAGGAGGAAATGGCACGCACCGAGTTGCGTCGCGAGCTGTGCAAGTGCAGCGGCCTGAAGGTGAACACGCATCAGGGTCAGTCCGCGGAGCACACGATTCTCTCGTTGCGGAATCTGGTGGAGAAACTGCGCTCGGAGAACAAGTTCCTCAAGGATGGCCGACACTCCACAGAGTCGCGCAGCTCCGCGGATTCGATACCCATACCAGCAGAACTGGCCCGTCTGCAGCAGCTGCATGGCGATGCCCTCAATAAAATTGCTGCACTGCAGCAGGAGCTGAAGCAGCGCAGCGGAGGTGGCAAGGTATATTATAATATATTTATCACAGTAATTTACACTTTACTCTCACCGATTGCTGGAATATACACCAATCAATAAATAAAGCATTTAATATAATATTCACTCACATTTTCAGGACGAGGAGCTGAAATATATCAAGGAGCAGCTGTCGAAGAAGACGCAATTGTTGCAAAAGGCAAAAGTGCTTTTAACCCGCGCCGCCGCCAAGGAAAAGGTGCTGCGAGAACAGCTCGCCGTTTGGAAGCGCAAATGCTCGGAGCTGCAGAATGTGCCCGTGATCGATGAGATTAGCGAATAATCTTAGTAGTAATCTAAATGTTGTATAGAATAAAAAAAAAAGCGGACGCTTATCGTTAGTAAAGATGTCTTAGGCTGAAAAGGTTGAAAGGCCTTAACTCTTACTCTTACCTATTCGATTGTACGCTGCATTTGGCTTACAAAATTGTGATTTCATTTTTTTTTTGTATTAAAAACATTTGTGCAAGTATTTTAATTTTAAAAATGGCTTTTCATTATTAACTTTGGGCTAAAATTCAATAATTTGAGTAGGATTTATATTTAGATATCAAATGTTTACATATTTTCGATGGTTTGAATCGGTATTTAGTAAAAATTATTTCTATGCATAATAGTAATAATAATGTTAGCGTATAAATTTTCAAATTAACATTTTAAATTAGTAACGATGATTGTAGAAAAATTACGCTTCTGACGTCACAAAATTGTCCATGCATTTGGAGAGCGCATGTTAATAACAGCAGCTATCTACATCTCAAAACCTGCAGATTTGGCTTTAGCACTTTAGCTAATAAAATGATAAAGCACAATGGAAATCAATTGAGGTGGACTTCGTTCATGTTTAGAAAGCGGATTAACACAAAATTTGCAAAATGTATCAGGGATTCCAGCAGTTGCTCGTCCAAAAGGAGGACAAGATACTTGTTGTTAAGTTCAATAATCCCCGCAAGAAGAATTGCATCAACTTTGCTGGCTACAAAGAAATGACGCGAGTCCTCAGCGAGGTGAACGAGGATGAAACGGTGTCTATTGTGGTCTTCACCGGTGTGGGAGATTTCTTTACCGCGGGCAATGATTTATCGCAGGGCATGGAAATAACGGACATGGAGGCCTATTTCAAGAAATCCAACGACACATTCAAAGCAATGGTTTACAGTTTTTTGAACTGCACAAAGATTATATTTTCATTGGTCAATGGACCGGCAATTGGAATCGGAGCCACCATTACGGGCCTCAGCGATGTCGCCTGGTGTGCCGATGAGGTGAGTTCAACAAGATGTTGGTGCTGTATAACAGAATGGTAAACTGTTCTTATTGCAGGCGTATTTTTTGACACCGTTCAGCAAACTGGGTCTTGTGCCTGAGGCCTGCTCCAGTTATACGTTCCCGTTGATTATGGGTCGCTCGAAGGCAACGGAGCTGCTCGTGCTCGGCGAGAAGATGTCGGCACAGGAAGCATATCATTTTCATTTCGTTTCGCGCATCTTTAAGCTAAGCGAATTGGATTCCGTAGTGTGGCCAAAGATTCGTCAATTTTCCGAATTGCCTCCAAAATCGATGCGAGAATGCAAGCGCCTGATTAATTTGCCATTGCAAGAGAATCTTGTTCGGTGCAATAATGCGGAGTGCGAGGCACTGCTTGGGCGTTTCAAAGACGATGAGTTCGTACAAGCCGTTATCAATTTTTCAATGCGCAAGTCTAAATTATAATGTAATTGTTATCATAATGAGATAAAAACAATACCCATTAACATGCATGTAATAAAACTTAGAAGGTAGCAGTCTACCCAAAGCTGGCAACAATAACCTTTATTGAATAGTTTCATTTGCTATCGATAAGCTACCGATAGATAGTCGCTGTTGCTTTGTAAATTGATATGTTGGGAAATATTTTGAAAAACAAGACGTACTTAGTGATTTTTCGTACAAATGACATTAATCGTGCGTAATTCACCAAATAAAACCATCCACTACTGCACTATCGATATTTTCTGGTATATGATATTATTTTTCTGTTACTGTTATGCCAAGTTATTTAAGCACCATCACTAGGCTGTTGGAATAAATAGCCGAATGACAGCTGTTAATTTAAACCGCTAGCCACAGTAGCCAGCCAGAATATCTTTTAAATACACGGAATTGTGGATTAAATTGTTTGAAAATAATTTGTTTACCTTTAAGTAATAAGAAAAATAAGTAATTGCCGTTTTCTCCTGAAATAATGTAGTGTTTGCTGTTAAGCGTTAACAGTAATGAGCAAATGTTAATTGTTTGTTGCTGTTGAGCTCACTGTTGGCTAACAGGTCACACTGTCACCACGAGTAGGAGAAAAGAAATAAAATAACTTTTTTTTGTTGCACATGCAAATATAATAATTCAGTGTTTTGTGCATGAAGCTAACGATTCACATTCTCCACACATATTTTCATACTTGTGCGTGTGCGGGTGGCGCAAGCAGAAAGCAATAGTGCTAATTAGAGCAGCAGCCAAAGCGATAAAACTGTGCAGTGTGGAAAAGTTGCTCTCGCAGAATTCGTCGTGTCATTAGACGTAAAATAAAAAAAAAAAAAAAAAAAACGAAAGAAAGAAAGAAGAGTGCCGCGGCAAGTGAAACTGAAATACGAATTCATTTATTTGGCAGCAGCCGCCCGTCGCACTGTCAAAGAAGCCGCCCGCACGCATCAAATAAAACATGATCAATTCGTGCTACAAAACTGAATTGTCTGCGGCCAACCATTAAAGGTAAGTAACAATCACTAGTCACCAAAAACACACACACTTTTTTCTTTTTCCCTTAACACCTCCTTGCCCCGCCCCCTGCAACACATTCCGCCGCGTTCTCTTTTTTTTCTTTTTTTTTTGTGTGCCGTCAACGTGGTGTTCTCTTTGACGCCGCCATTTGGACATTGGAATGCGTCGTGTATTTTACATGCAACGCTTAAGTTACGCAGTCTTTTTGAATTAGCTACAGTTTCGACATTTATTGAATTCGTCGTGTTTTCCTTTTCTATTTTTTTTTCCTTAACATTTATATTTTTTCCAGTTCAGTGACGTAGTGCGGCGCCTCTTGTACAGGTGTGTGTGTGTGTGTGTGTCATTCGTGTCTTTATGTGTGCGTGTGTAAGTGTGTGCGTGTTCATGTTCAACGTTAGCGAATCAAATTTTTTTGTGTTCAGCCGGCTTTCAGTTTTGCAAATTGTGTTGTTTTGAATTATATATTTTTGACACTTGATCGCCACTTGTGGGTGTGGGAGGGGGGGTTGTAGCGGAGGGGACGTCACCCCACCCGGTACAGTATGGCCGCACTCTCTCTTTCTCGCTCTCTGTAGCGCTTACTCTCTCTGTTTATTTGCCTTTTTTAATGTTTTTTGTGGTCTTTTTTGCTGGTGCTCCGACAGCTGTGCGGTGTTGCCAGATGTCTTGCGGTTGCCTCAATTTAACCTCAAAACTTGGCGCTTTCGTTTATACATATATTTAACAATTATTTTTATATTTTTTGTGTCTCAATGTTCACAGTAACAACTTCAATGTTTGGCGTTTGTAGTGTTCATGTGCTGCGCATATCCTGAGCCACGTTCAGAAAGAGTCAACAACCCGCCGATTGCGTCGCAAGTCGTAAGTGTTGTCAACTGCGTTGCAAGTGTAGCGCAGTCGTTCCAATTATGGCGCAGCAAGCGCAGCCGGTTGCTCAGCAGCAGCAGCAGCAGCAGCAACAACAACAGCAGCCGCAGCAACAACAACAACAGCAGCAGCAGCCGCAGCAACAACAACAGCAACACCCGCCACCAGCAGCGACGCCAGTGTCCACGCCCTCAACGCCGCAACCGCCTCCCAACAACAACAACAGCATTGTTTCACCGACCAACAACAACAATAATAATAACAACAACAGCACCAACGTGCTGACATCTATGCCCGTCTACAACCAACAGCCCCAAGCGGTGTATATGCCAGCCGCAGCTGCCTCTGCTCATGGAGCACATCATCCGCACATGCCGCAAGGTGGCCACGGCCCGGTGTTCCATCATTCGGGCATGATACCAGCGCCCATGTCCAGCAATGTCTTTGTGAACAATGTGACGGCCAATGTGAATCTACATGGCTGGTCGCATGCCTACATGCCGGGCAGCGGAGCACCTCCTCATTATGTGGGCACACACGGCGAGCTGCCGCCGGAGCCGGTGAGTATTGTATTGATTGTTAAGAGTAGAACGTGTGCCATTTGAACCATATCTCTAATGTATTTGTTTGCAGGGCAATCCGTTGATGCAACACTTGCCGCCAATGCCACTGCATCAGGGTAATCCGAATGGCCACATACCCGGCATGGGTGGACGGGGTCGCGGGCGTGGCCGTGGACGCGGCGGTGGTGGACAACGTCGCAATGACTACCACAATCCGCGGCATATGCAGCATCAGCAGTTGCAACTGCAACAGCAGCAGCAACTGCTGCAGATGCAGCTGCAACCAACGCAACAACAACAGCAGCAGCAGCAGCAGCTGCCACCAGATAGCGCCAGCCCAGCGCCAAGTGCCATTCAATTGCAGCCGGAACAGATCGGTCAGCAATTGGCGCATCCGCCACCGCCCGAGGCGCAACTGCAGCCAATGTCATACTATGCGCCGCATCCGTATGCGGCATACAGTGGCTATCAGGCCGCCTACTTTGCGCCCCATCACGGTCCAATTCAAGTGCCGCCGAATGCAGCAGCCGCTGCCCAGCAGGCTACCGGAACGCCTCTATATATATCACCGATGCCATTGTATAACGGCGCACCCATGTACAACTATGGTGGCTATTTCTATCATCAGGTGCTACCGCAGAGCGAGTATCAGTACGTGTCTGAGGATGGTGGCCAGGCTCAAGGTGGCGTTGTTGATGAGCGGCAGGCGCAGGCGCTGTGGCATCCGGCGGCGCACATGTATGCCGATGAGTATCAGGAGGTGACGCATGCGAATGGCGACGAACTGAATCACAATAGTTCCTCGTTGCCCTCCTCCGAAACGTCCAGCATGCTGAGTCCCAACTATCCCATCTACGATGCCCAACATATGCACGAGATGCAACAGCAAATGGGCGTTATGCAGATCTACGATGATGGTCAACTGGCACCGCTCCAGGGCTTGCATCCCGTAGCCGGTCCATTGCCACCGGTGAGTAACACAAGACATTCGTATAATCAACTCTCTGTTATCCTATTTATCAACCACTCTTTCAGTATGAGGATGAACTGTCGGATTGTGGCGCTGCACCCGTTGGTGCCATACCCGTCACTTGGACACTACCTGCTGATGCGCCGCCACTGCCAATGCTAATCCAGGCACCGCCACCACCACATCATATCATTCAGCCGCAACATCCTCAGCCACCTGTTTGTCTTGAACAACAACAACAACAGCAGCAGCAACTGCCCCTCCATCCTCCTCAAGTAGAAACACCTACACCACAGGAAGCATTCGGTAAGTGCCGCCGCCAATTATTATTATTTTCACTGATAGGCTGTGTTTTCTACTCGGGTCACGTTCTCGATAGCGCCGGATAACTGATAACAATCGATATCTGTCTTTGTTTTATGTGTTTGGACTTGCTAGTGAATACTAAACGAATTCCGATGGCTTCTGTGTTAGATGTTAGATGAGTTTACATTAGTTTAATTTACATATGAACAACGACAATATTATAATCCAAATTGACTTTGCGTGCCTTGTTGTTGGCGACATTTTCAACACCCATTATTTATTTGTGTTATGTATGCTTAGCAATTTCGATTCGTTTCGATAATTACGCTTAAATACTCTGTGTTTGTTTATACTCCACATATGTACAGGCGTGAATGCATTCGGTTTGTGCTGACTGTTGCTGAATGGAATACTCGGTTTACTTGTGTTTCAGTTGGGTTAGTTTCAGGTGTTCGACAACGCCAACATCACATGATACGTGTATGATGCGTTGTCAACACATTTAGTCTTTAGTTTTTGTTAATTGTTGCTTTTTTCATTTAGTTGCTGCTATTGTCATCGCAAATGCGTCTCTGTTGCTAAGCGCTCATTGTTGCTGCAATCGTTCGTCTCACTTTGCTGACTGTCAACTGCTTGCAAAAGCTGCTATATAATTATTTTTATGTATTTACTTTGTATATATATATATGTAATTGATTGCAGTTAGACGAAAATCGTCATAAAACAGTTGTTTTTTGTGAGACATCGTCTCTCTCCACACTCACACTCACACTTACTCTCACAATCACTTTCACACTCACTATCAAACTGCCACTCATACTTGTGTTTTTTGCTCTTTGGCTATCCGTTTCAGCCATTAATCAGCTGTGCAAGTGGACGCCGTCAACAGTCTCTCCCCTTTTCTCTCTCTCTGTTTCTCTCTTAATGCTGGCCATATTGTTGCTTTGTTCGCTGCGCTTATCAATCGACAGTGGTCATAATTCGTCAACGTTTTGCTCCACTTGCTGTCATTATGCATTTGTACACTGTGTTTATTTTTTATTTTTATATTTTTATTGCTATTTAATCAGTTTTCTAAGTAACCATGAGTTAAAAGCAGACTTCCGTTATTTATTTTGTGAAATTTCTGCTATGAAGTGTAATCCAAGCTAATTGCTTTGGCAGAGTATACAAAATTCGATTTCCTAATGCCGCATTTATCTAAACTAAACTTTGGCTTCATTTTGCATTTGCCCATTGCCCCGGTCAATGGTCATTTGTTTGAGGCATGCCGCCCGGCTTGGTGTGTTGCCTTCTTCCGCTTTATCAAAGCCAGTCAATGACATTTATGTTGGCCAGTGGCCAATGACTTGCTCGACGGAATGTGGACAAGTAAAGTAGAGTAAAGTAAAGCAAAGCGTTATGGATCAGTTCACATACATACAACTATCTAGATAACTATATTATGCAGTCAAATTAGTAGCTATATGCTCGATGTTTGTGTGTGCGTGTGTGTGGTGAGAGTGTGAAATGTCTCACGTGCATTTTTATTGCTATTTTCACAGCACTTGGCGTCGTCAACTTTGTCAATACTTTGATAGCCTTTGAGTATGTTTACGCTTATAGATTGTGTATATGCCATATAACTATGATTATTCTATAACAGTATTCGTAACACTTTACCTATTAGTTGTGCTCCTTTGAACGAAATTTATTGATTAGGCTAATCTTTTTGGCTTCTTGGGCGACAGGTTTCTCTTGCATGTGGTTCCCATAATCTGGTTGCGATTTGTAGGTCTGTTCAAGTTTCTAGTTGTGATATATTGAGTACAAGGTACTACATTGTACTACGATAAGGCTGGCAACCAATAATTATTATTATCTGCACTTTGATCGATGCTTTTTAAAGCTATCAACCACAATTTAATATATAAAAGTACTCAATTTTTTTTTACGTAAACCCACTTACCGACTGTATAAAACTTTAAAGTATAACACTTGGGGGGTTTTTTGTATTTGTTAAGTTTTCAGAATATATATGGCAAAAATTATTTATTATATTTTCTAACATTTATTGTTCTGCTTTGCTTTGTGTGTCTGTAATTTTTGTTTTGCATTTGCTTGCATAGCTCGGCGCTCAATAGTTTGTTGTTGTTTTGTATCTTTATGCGTATAACAGTTTTGCTTAGGAGCAATGTGTGTTGAGTGTTGTAAATGGTGTAAAACTGCATTTAATTGCTCTTTATGTGATAATCACTTTCTATAAATTTGGTTAGTTTTAAAAAGTATAACACATGCATGTCTATGTATATTATATATATCTATTTTTTGTTTGTTTGTAGTTCTTGTGTAGAACAAAACGCACAAGCCTTTTGAAAATTTTGTTTATTTTGTTTTTGCTATGGACTTGACTGAAGTATTTGCACACTTGATTTATTTATTTAATTAATGTACAAAATATGAGCCAAAATTTCATTCATATTTTTATCGTTCTTCGTTAGCTAATTAATAGGTTTAAAATTGAAAACAATTTTAGTTGTCTTTATTTGTATTTCTATTTGTATTTGTGTTTTTTTTTTGTTTGTTTTCCATATTTATATATAAAAGTTAGTTTTTAGTATTTTTCTTTTGTTTTTTGCAATAGTTGTTGCTTCATTCTTAATTCGCTTTCACGCTCTACATTTTAATCGCTTTTCTTTGCTTTCTTTATACATACGAAAAAGTAACTAACTACTGCCAAAATGGTTTGCAATCGATTTGCATTTTAGTTTGAATTGTTTTTGTTTAGTTTTGCTACATGCTACATGGTTTCCTACTACAATTAGGGCGTATGACACATTATAACACTTGCCGTATAACAACGAATGCACAACAACAGTAATAGTAATAATAATATATGTAGATTGAGAGTTTTAATAGTACATTACATATACAATAGCAATAATCAATAATAATAATAATAATAATAATAAAAGTACATACAAAAAATCGTAAGATTTAACAAACAAATAATAAAAAATATGTTACAATATAGTTTTTAGCTCCTGCTGATTAGTGTCTATTTTTTTGTTGCTATTGTTGTTGTATAACAGTTGTGTAAACTGTGCACATAATCAATCGGAGTATATCAAAGTTAGCTAGTTTCTGTTGTTGTTGTTGCAGTTGCTTTGCTGTTTTGCTTTTTGTTCATTTATGAGCGTGTAACTTTTGTATAGATGTACAAATGTACATACATATATAGCTAATTTTATATATATATATATATGGCAGCAGAATTCTGCTACAATCTTATCGAAGCTAAGCCAAGTTTTCATTAATTTCCACGTTTTGCTTTGCAATAAAGCAGATCTATAATATATATATATGCATACATATATATACAATTAGTTGTATGTATATTGAATTGTTGCTTAGGCATAGTTTCGGCATCTGTATCGTTACATTGTATATATAGAATACTATATATATATATATAACTATATATATATATATAACTATATATATATATATATACATAACTATATATATATATATATATGCGCTTTTATTTTGTATATAGTTTTCTTTGTGTGCTCTTTCTCTCTCTGCAATACATACATTATCGCTCCGCTTGGATCAGGGCCTGCCCCTGAATCGGTGCTTTTCTCTCTCTTCTGTTCTGCTGTTCTCCTGTTCTACTGTTCTACTGCTCGCCTGTTCCTCCTCCGCTCAGCTGTTCTTCTGTCCCCATTTTAGTTGGCTCTCCTTTTGTATAAGTTGCTAGAAAAATATCGCGCTTTACTCTTAATTCATAGACGCTCTCTCGTTCTTAGACTTTCTTTTTGACTCCACTCTTCTCTCTCTTGACTTTATTCATATATTTGTAGTTTCTTCTGTACTCTGTTCTCACACTCTTCCCTACTTTAAATTCTTGTTGCTTAGAGCTTTGATTCCGTTGTTGTTTGTGTTTTTTGTTGCGTCGTTGTGGGTGGAAATTGACGGGACTCGTCCTGTTCCTGTGGACTGGGCAGAGTTTTGATGATTTTTGGGACCATGGTAATGGGTTGATCCTCATCTTCATCTTCGGCATCCTCCTCGCCCTGCTCCTCATCGATGGGCGTCAGCGTTTCCGCATGCACAGGCGTCTCATCCGATCCAGTAAAGCGTTTCATGCACGGCGCCAAGAAGCTAGTCGCCGTCGATATGGCAAACAGTGCTCCAGCCATATAGAAGGGCAGATCATAGGTGTGCGTTAAATCATAGATGGCGCCCGCTAACGGTGTGCCAATCAAGGCCGCAAATCCTCTGAACAGGATGAGCAGTCCAAAGGCATTCGTTAGCTTGTCCAGACCGAGCAGATCCACGAGTATAATTGACGTTAGCGAAATGTAACCAGAGATGGCAATTCCAAAGGCAACCGACATGGCTATATAGGCGGTATAACTGTAGCACAGTGGTGTCAAACTGACGGCCACCGTCGAGATCAGCAGACAGATGTTGTTCAGCAGCAGCGAATTGACTTGTGGCAAGTCTGCCACCCAACCGCAGAAGACACGTCCCACCGTGTTCGTGATGCCAATGATGGAGAGCAGCATTGCGGCATCGTTTTTGGCAATGCCATGCTCCTTGGCCGCATCCACCAGATAGACAAAAGGTACATAGAGTCCAGCCATGCCGAATATGTTGGAGACACCCATTAGCATGAACACGGGATCCTTGAGCAGACTCACATCCAGCATGGTGTTCACCACAGATTTCACCGAATCCGGTATGCAAAGGCACGGGCATAGATCGTATTCCTCGCGATGTTTATCCGCCTCCGCCAGTGGATCCAGTCGCACGCTTTGCATGCTCTTCTCGTACTTGGTGAGCGACAGGACCGAGTTGCGATAGTTTGTCAGCGACTTCTGGGATTGATACTGTGGCAAATTCGTAACGGAGCCGGAATAGAAGATATCCTTACGGGACATGGGTCGCACCATGCGTCCAGCACTGCCGCTGGAGCTGCCCTGTCGCTGGGACAGTGACAATTTGGAAGTATTGAAGTCACCGCCAGTGCCCGCCTCGAGGTCGCCGCGGGAGGAGGCACGTATGGCCGCCAGCGAGGGCTGATAACGCTCGCTGGCAGATGTCTTGCGCACACGGCTGAATGATGGCACCGACCCATTCTTGGGAAGACTTTGATGATCGCCAGCGAGAAAGGCGGGCTGCGAGGCATTCCGTGTCATCGCATCCTGTGAGTGATACGGACTGTGCTCATTCTCCGAGTTGCGATGCGAACGGCGACCCGATCTCGCCGATAATTGGCCATTGCTATCGGCGGCGGTGCTTTGATTGGGCGGCGATTGAGCATTGACCTCCACCACCTTGGATTCGGTGATCGTTGGCAGCGTTGACACTGGATGCAGACCGCCAGACTGTTGCGCCAGCAACTCCAAATTCAAACTGGAATGTACACCCGGATCCGCATTGATAGGCATCTTCAGCTTACGCTCCATGGTGCCATCCGGCAGCTGGACCATAAAATGTGATCCGGCAAACGAGCCACGCTCCAGCTGCATCTGTTTCTCCTCGTACATGCGCTGCATCAGCGGTTTCACTCGCTTCTTTTTGGGATACGTGAGTGGACGCATCATTGCACCAAAGATGGCACAATTCAATATGAGACCGGCAAAGATGAGCAACGCATTCTTCCAGCCGTACTCCTCCAGCAAATATGTGGCAAGGGGGGCAAAGGCAAAGGTGCCAAAGCCCGAGCCACACACCGCAATTCCCGTGGCCAGCGAACGCTTCGTCTCAAAGTAATAGCCGACGGCGACGACAGCCGGCAAATAGATCATGCCAAAGCCAAAGCCGCCCATGAATCCATAGGTTGCCATTAGCATGCTCACCGATGTGCTGAACGTCGATAGAACGAATGCGATGCAGGCAATCACGCTGCCCGCAATGCAAACGGCGCGGCAACCATATTTATTGGCCAGGGCGGAGACAATGGGTCCGGCGCTCAGATAGACGCCGGATAGGAGGCTGCCCACCCAGGCTACGGTGCCTTTGCCCTCGTGGAAATAGGCGACAAACTCCTCGAGGAATATGCCAAATGTGTAGGCGATGCCATCGACAATCATGTTGCACATGAAGCTGGCGAAGCATATGACCCAGCCATAGCCACCGTCCGGCGGTGGCGGCAATTCACCGTAGACGCTAACCTCATCCTCATCATCATCGCCACCCTCACCATCGTCGTCATCATCCTCATCGTTGTCATCCTCTGGGCTGTTGTTGTCGTTCTGCTCGGCAGTTAGACGCGCCGCCTCCTCGCAGGCCAGTTCGCTTTCGGTGCGCTCGAATTTGCGCAGGCGTGCCGCCGTGCTGCCAACACCAGCTGCACCAGCTCCACCACCAGCTGCCGCATTACTGTTGTTGTCCACCATAATTGTGTTTTACTTTACGAGTTGTGCTTGTGCTTTTTGTATGCCGTTACATGTGGCGCGCACACTTCTGGCTTTTGCTTTTGCTTTCTATTATAACCAAACTTCTTTGCAGATTCAGTTTCGATTTCGTTTTCACTTGTTCTGCGCGCGCCGGCACACTGCACCTCCCTTTGCGAGGCGATGAACGATGATTTGATTCTGTCTCTGTTTGTTTGTAAACGTTGTTATGCGTGGCCCGAAGTGTCGCGCTCGGCGCCGTTACGAGTTATGCGCGAGCCTTAGAACAGCCGCTGTCGACGTCGCTGCTGCTGCTGCTGTTATGTTTTATCTTTGCGCGCGCTCAGCATTTAACAGGCGTCTCGCTGTCCCACTCTCTGTCTTACTCTCTGTTACTACTCCCACACTAATCGTTGTTTTTATTTTTTGACGTTTTGACACTCTTAAGTTTTGCTCTCGCGGAGTGACAGCAGCGGCGGAGCGTGAGTTGCCGTTATGTATGTGTGTGTGCGTTGTTTTTGTTATTGCCTGAAGTTCTTATGTATTATTTATATTCATATATTTATTTATTAACTATTTGTTTTTAACTAGTTGTTTTTTTGCAATTTGTCACGTTTAGTTTGTTGTTGTTGTTGTGCTTTTATTTTATTATCTTTCATTTATTAATTTTGTTTATTTGTACATTGGATACAGCTGACGGCTGGCCGAAACAGAAAGAAAAACATAATAATAGTAATAGTTGTGAGTCTTGTTGTTGATGTTGTTGTAGCACGAGCGAGCGACGCACAATAATTTTTTGTTAGTGAACTTGCTGTCTTTGTTTTTGACTTTGCACTTTTGCTTTTCGCTTTGCTATTTGCTCTGCACTGATTTACTTTTGCTGCTTTTATGTATGGCGCATTTTTGCATTGGTGTCGCTGCCGACGTCGTCGGCGCTGCCGTTTTGGGGGTGCTGTACGTAGTCGTATTCGCTGCTGCTGTCGCTGCGGTTGTCGATGATGATGATGATAATGATGATGGCAATACAATTGTATAATTTGCTGAGCATTAAAATTTAATTGTAAATTGTACGTATGTAAATACAAACACAAATACAAATTCAAATTCAAATACAAATATTCAATGCGTGTTAGCAGCGAAAACAGAAAAAAAACTTCGGCTGTCCGACGGCCCCGCAACGAACGTGTGATCGATAAAATGTGTAATGAACGAAACACAAAAAGGCCGAGTTAGTTGTAGTTGTATTTCTAACAGCAATAACAACAGCAACAACAGCAACAATAGTAAGAACAACAGCAATAACAAGAGAAGGGAAGCACAACTCAACCGCACACGGAACTTGGGCTTACGTGTTCAGCACATTACCACCACATGCAGTATAACAATTGACAAGCTACAGCTGCATTCATCATAGTTTTATGGCCATCTTCATTCGATATATATACAACATTTATTAAATTTGGTTTTTAATTTTAATTTTTGGGGTGTATACAATTTTATTTAGATTTTTTGTTGCTTTCTTTTCTTTGTGCGCGGCGAGAGAGAGAGAGATACCAACAAATAAAAAGCACACCACACACAGAAGACTTTATCGTCGTGACTGCTGCGCTGTTCGATATAAAATGAAAATTCGTCGTAACCAGCAAACGACTGAAACCGACTGGCGACGTTGCTGGCATAGAACTGTTATACTACGTTATACAAAACAGCCAGCGACAAAGACACCAAATGTGATGAATGCAAACGCAAAAGCAACAACTACATTACATATATAACCTCCTCCTCATACCAACCAAAACACAATTTCAATTACAAACAACACAAAAATGCAAAAGCTAAAAAAAAACAACAACAAATTCTCGCCACGCGGTTGCTGCTGACATTGCGATTGCCTCGCCGTGTCTATTTTTTTTTCATGCACTGCATTTGAAGTTCAAGCGCGCAAGCTCTCAAAAGCTACCGTTGCTGCTGCTCTCTCTCTCTTCCGCTCTCTTTGGCTCTCTCCCTCTCTCTCTCTTTCTGTCGTTAATGTGCTCACCGTATCGATGATGGCCACCTGGTCTCATTGTCTTTGCACGTAACGACGCTCTCTTTTCGTTGGGTTTGCTGGCATGCGACGCAAGGGTTGCGCTTGGCGGAAAACAGCTGATTTACACATTGCCAACGGGCAGCGCGACAACAACAATGCCAGCAGCAATTTTGGCTACTGTTGCGTTCTTTTTTTGCTTTTTTTTTTTACTTTACACACACAACAAAGAGACAATAAACTTCGCAGCGTCTCCCATCATCCCATCCGCATAGCAACCCCCTTTGGGCAAACTACCCTCAACAGTGACGCACTTTCTTAAGGGTTGTTGTCTTATTCTTAATATTATGTCCGTTACATTCCTCTATTGTTGTTCTTGTTCTTGGTCGTTCAGGCCAAGAAAAACCGGCACTTTTATAACAGTATGTCCTGCAGTCTGCAGTCGGTAGTCTGCAGTCGATAGTCTGTAGTATAACAGACGCAAAACAAAAGAGCGTTAACTGTTGCTCTTAGTTGTGATTTGGGTTAAAGGTTAGCTTGTGACTTTCAAACTTTTACTTTTTTCTGCGTACGTTATGTATGTGTGTCCCTCTCTCTCTCCTTCTGTGTGTGTGTGTGTGTGCTGAAAATTTTTTAGTATGCCGTCTTTTAGGCGCCGTCAGCACGCCAAAAGTGAAATCTGTGAAAATGCGGCTGCTTCTGCTGAGCGTTCAAACTTACTAAATAATCTTAATTCACTTAAGCCACAGAGTTTTGCTACTTGTGATAAGCTAATTAAACACTTTTTACTGCTCCCCGAGCGGAATGTTTTCAGTCTTGTGGGTAACATACAAAAAAAAATAGATGTGTGTTTGTTTTATAACAGTTGAATATGTGTTAAAGATAATTTTTGTTGGTAGAGTTTGGGCTGAAGAGAATTTCAATTATCGCTTCTCTTAAAGTAGCGTGTGCTGTTCTCTTTAAGGGATGTTGTACACGTTGTTAATCTGTGCCTGTGTTTGTGGGTGTTCAATGTCATTCATAAAATCAGTAACAAACACGCGCAAAAGTCACTTCAACAACACACACACAAACACACACACACAAGCACATGTGACTTGTGGGTCAACGGCAGTGGGAAGTAGAAGCTCTCTTGACGTTTTGCTTTTTGCAGCTTTTATAAGTTGATTTGCTGTACTATTATTATTAGCGTATTAGTCGTTCCCGCCACACCCTCATATCCAACCCTGGGCCATTTCAATCTCAGCGTAGTCGTAGTCGTTATGGCCGGAAATTGCACACTTAATGTTGGTCTAACTAGTTAACATCGGGTGTGTTTTTCTTGCGGAAAGTGAAATATAATATCCACACATGACTAAACTGTTATGCCACAAGCCGGACACACACACACACATACACACACACCCCCATTTTCTCGTATAATATGTGTGTGTGTGTGTGTTTGTTTAGATTCATTAGAATGCACAAGGCTTCTGTGTTGAGATGCAAACCAGGCCGACACGTGGCAAAGTTATTATTTAGGGGTGGAGGCATTGGTTGGGCGGCCTGCTACAAACCACAAAATGATTGCCTGTTGGTGCAGCAGGTGTTTCAGTTAGCACTGCACCAGTTCATGTTCCGCATGTAGTTGTACCAAAGAAATTTTCTGGGCTCCCAGCCAGAAATCTAGAAAACAGAAAAAATTAACCCCAAAATCCACAATGCGAATGCGAGAATAAAACTGATTGTTAGACAAATAAACTAAATACTTTTGTACTGATAAGTATGCCTTAATCTATAGTAATTGTAATCGTATTTTATTTACTACCTGATAATCGAAAGATAATTGCTTATCGTTTTTGATCGGGAAACACAACGGGAAAAGTAAGTGCAATTCTTTAGCTTGCTTGCCAATGAGTTGAATGCGCCTTTTGTATATCGATGACATCAATGGGCCGGTTCAAGAATTTCTTAACAACCTTCTCACATCATTTTCTTTGTTTTTGAAATGAAATTGAAATTGCGCATATTCGTCTGCCAGTGCGCCGTTGTTTAACTGTGCATTTTTTTACGCTGCAAGCTTTTCCTCAGTTTTTCCTGCTCATTATATATATATAAAAATATATAGCACATATGTTCATCTCTTGCAGCCAATATGTATTTTGTATTTACAAAAATCACGCAGTTTTTTTGCTGGCTACTTTTATTTATTTTTGTTGTTGTTGTTGCTGTTGTGGTTTTCGTATTTTACTTGTTGCTTTTAGTATGCAACGTTTGTCGTTGCTCATTTCGCCAGTTGTACTTGCTTTTGTTGTTGTTGTTTTTGTTGTTGTTGGCCTTCGTTGTACCTGCTATAGATACATTTGTATCTAATAGCTGACATTGCTCAATGAGCTGCCTGCTGTTGATACTGCTGCTGCTGCTACTGCTGCTGTTGCTGCTGTTGGTGTTGTTGCCCACGCGTCAACTGTTATACGCATTTATATGTTAATGCCAGCAGGATACACACAACACACGCACAGCGTATCCTTGCGTATCCTGTGTGTAACTGCTGCTGACATTGCTCTTGCTACTTTACCATTTGTTTTTTCTGTCACCAAGCTGTCACTTTGGATTCAGTTATGCTGTGTCTCGGCTAACACCCACCCAATCCACCCATTACCCATATCCGATATCGATGCTCATCTGAATTAAATTGAATAGGTAACATGGCTAAAACACAACACAATCACCGCCCACTTTATAGCTTAGATACGTCGTTGCCAATGGACTCGTTCGTAAATAATTTGTTGGCTAGTGCGCCTTTCATTGATAAGAAAACGTTTTTACAGTTCTTTGCCTGTATTCGCTTTTTCTTCTTTCTTCTTCCTTTTCGCTTTATTTTTAGGTGTGTGCCGTTGACAGGTGGTGTTTAAGGGTGGGGAGTGCGGAAGGTCTGCTTGGTTTACGGTATTTGTCATAGACGAAGGTCGCGTGCCGTTGTTTGTCGTCGTCGTCTTCGAGAATTATGCAATTTTCTTCGCCTTCTTGTTTACTGCAGCCAGACAGAGACAGCAAGAGTGGGAGAGAGAGAGAGAGAGAGAGAGAGAGAAAGAGAGAGAGAGAGACAGATCTCTTGGGCTATTACTTATTGTAAATTGACACAAATTAATTCAATTGAAATGCAGAAGCAGCAACCAGCAAACCAGCAACAACAATTATAACAGGGTGTTTCCATTCAGTTTGCCACTGTTGCCAGGCAGTAACCAAAGAGTTTAGACATTTTCGTGTGTGTACCGCCCCACAAATTGTTGACCAGATTCGTTATCAATTTGTCCACACACACAAGAACCATAAAAACAATAACAATAACAATAACAATAGCAGAACAACAACAATTGCGTAATCCACGTGTGCCAATAAATACCTTTATCACGTTCCATGCGTTTATTGCATTTTGCTTTCAAGTTTCCCAGCTGCTGATAAACAACCAAATTGTTTTTGATTGAAAGTGCATACTGGCTTATTTCTCATTTATGCTTTTATTTTACTTATTATTTGAATTGTATAAATATTTGTTTATCGTATGTTTTTTATTAAAAACATATTTTTTATCAGTCATCTTTTGAACTTTGAGCGGTTTTTTTTTTGCTTTGTGTGGTTTTGAATGTGATTCAAACCACAGAGTGACTAAGCTTAGCTTATTCTGTTTTACTGGTATATCACATCACATATATTTATAATTGTTTACATTGTGTTGGGTGATTTTAGGGCAATAACAATACAAATTATAATAACTATCCAAAAATGGCTTCCCTTTGGCAAGTATGTTTTAATGCCTCATTTCCGGTAAAATAATATTTCAAAAATTTTAAGCTGTAATTTATCAATATATTTTCTGCTTCAGCTTAGTTTTAGCTTTACTTTTGTTTAATGAATAATCCAAGAGCTTATACATAAAGCAGATTAAAATATAATCCTCATTCCTCATTTAGATTTATTGATTAGAAATATTAATAGCAAAATGAATCATTTATATGTGTGTTAGTTGTACAATTTCATTTGTTAATTCGCTCAGCTTTTATTTTGTATATGATTATTTATATAATTTTTATGGTCTGATTGAATTGAGTTTATCTTTCAAGTGCTAATTGTCTCCATTAAAAATCGTGTAGATTCTAAGAGCTCCATCGCAGATATTCTCTCTCTCTATCTCTCTCTCTCACTCTATCATTTAAAAAAGGCAGAACTGATAAATTATAAGCCAAACACAAATTACTTGAATGTGGCAATCGTAATTGTATTTGTTGGTGTTGTTGTTGTTGTTTTTTGTTGCTGGCTAATAAAAATTGAATAAAATCGCGCGTTCAATAACAATGCGACCGGCAACAGGCCTACGACAGACAGAGAGAAAGAGACAGAGAGAGAAAGAGAAAGAGAGGGAGGGAAACAGAGTAGTCAATAAAATATACTAAGCGGAGGCAGAGCCGCTTTTGGGGGGCTGTGCTCTCCAGCTGATGACCCCGTTGTGTCAGTTTGCTGGCTAGCAAAATCAATTAAATATCAACAACAACAACAACAAAATCTCGATTGTTGTTCACATAAAGCGCATTCGTATCGAGTAGAAGCGCAATTTCATTTGCGTAATTAATAACTGTTATACTCTTTGTGCATATTTTCTAGCTGTTGTGTGTAGTACAGTTTTTCGTAGTGAAATTGAAAGCGAAATTGTCCACTCAAGTGGGAAGAATGTTTGTTAAGCTGCTGCGTAGCAATGCATTCATTCCTCCAGTTCCAATTCCAGTTCCAGTTTCTGTTTCTGTTTCGGTCTCAGTTTCAGTTCCACTTTTATCGCTGCTCCTAAGAGCTATTAAGTACAGTCGCGTTGGATTTTTGTTGTCGCTGTCGCTTCACGTGTCGTGCCAATTATTTCCTAGTTTGCATAGATGCACTCAGCTTGTTGTCTGCTATTATTAGCAACTAACATGTTTGATTCGGATTGATGTTGTTGTTAGTGATTAAGTTGTTAATATTTGGTTTCGTTTATCTGTTCGCTGAAGTCGTTAATTATCCAGGCAAAACCTTGTGACTCCTTCAGAGTTATTGATATTACAAATTGTAACATTGTTTTCGGGTTTTCCTCATGTGCAATTTGCACTCATTTGTTTAATATTGCCTGCTCTACAAAATTCCATTTCATTTTTGTTAGAGTTCCATGACATATTTTGTGTATATACATATATTTATTGGCAGTGTGCTCGTTAGATGCTAATTGAAATTAATTAACACATTGAATTCTGAATACTGAATTCCGCTGCTTTGATGGTTGGCTGGCTGCTTGCTTGGTTGGAAATCCGATTCCGATTCTCAACCCAATTCGGAGCGGGGGAGAACTGTTTGTCATATGACGTTATGGACTAAGTATTATTTAGCACTAACACATTTTAATTAGACGCTGAGAGCATTCATTATGATAGAGTCGCTAATAAAATTTTAAACAGCTTTAGTCCGAGAAATGGTTGTTAATAGTACATTTAATATATATTTACTAATCATCTGTGGCGCACACGTGTGTGCACGTGGTCAAATGCCCCAAGAAGAGACCAGTTTTTCCCCACATAAATAGTTAAATGGATCACAAGTCAGGTTGAATGAAAGTTTTTGTTTGGACCCTTTTATCAGTATTAATTTGAATATTGTGTCAAACTTTGGATGCTCCGTAAACTGTATTTTTTTGTTTGGTTCTGTGAAATTTATATTGTGATAAGAGAATCAGAGATTTGTTGTATTTGGAGGTGTCCCCTCCTTTGTGTGTAAGTATCTTGTTGGCATTTAACAGTTTGTAAATGTATTTATATATGTACAGTTTGCATATGCAGTCATTTTGAAATAATCTCAATTCATTCGCTGTCTGTTTTATCTGATATCGCAATTGTTTCCCATGGGAAAAACTGATTTGATTTACATTATCATTTTTTATTTGGATGAGATTGCAATCTTTGTATTTAATGCTCCCAATATTGGGAGACTTGAGCAGTTCGAACAGCTGTGTAAACTTTCAGCCCGATTGACCCACATTTCACACCCCAATGCCCAAAATGGCCATGAGAGTAGAGTGTATGCAGTCATCAATTGTTAATATTTACAGGGCATAATTGTAAGTACTTGGGGCAAGACCCACGTTGCAGCAACTTCTCAAATACGCATATCAGCTGAGTTTATTAATTGGGCATTTCACAATGGCAAATAAATAACAAAAGGCAGCATCAGAGTGTGTAGCTTGATGTAGCTTTGTTTTTGGTTTATTGATAACGTTATCAACGAGAATAAATCACATTCTTTAAGGGGATTTATCATTTGTCGTTCCTATCAGAGCCTGGTGCTTTATAAGGCAGCCGATTGTGATTTAGTCGTAATAATATTGTTATTTGTCCAATTGAAGTTTATAGAACTATCTGAATCTCTGCTCTGTTCATATATCAGCCGCAAACACTTCATATTGACATGGATTATATATAGTCTTGATTTCTATTTGTTGAATTGGCTGACAAATTGATTGGACAGCAGCAACTATATATTTATATTCTTATCACCCGGGCAATAACAACAAACAAACAACAACAGCAACAACTTGTGAACTGTTTGCTTAGCGTCAGTTATCTATCTAGTTTTGTTGTTTTAGTTGAACGTGTCCGATTAAAGTGCAATTGATACTCGACGCTTGCATTGCATTTACTCTAATTTTGTTGGTCAGGCGGATCTGTATTGTTTCGGCTGATTAGCGTTGTGTGAACTAATTATACCCTAAACCTATTGAGAATGGTTCAAGATGGGTATAATGCAGTTGTGCAAATGAATGTGACAGGCAGAAGAAAGCATCTAAGATCCCCATACAATTTATATATTCTTGATCAGCAGTCAACAGTCGAGTCTGATTGTCTCTCCATTTATTTATATATATAACTTATAACTTTTTCAAATGGCAAACACATTTAACAGTTCAGTTCGGGGTATCTCATAGTCGAGCTCTCAATCTTATGTGTCTCAATATTGACTCTTTACTTTTTTCAGATACACTTCAAAAGTAAATAAGTGCTTAAAAGTGTAAATTATGTAATACTACTGTTTTGGTGGATGCTACTGGAAACTCAAGTCTTCAATTGCGAGCCACAAAAACAAATCAATTAAAAGAAATAAGTTTCCCAAATTTTAGGGGTCAATTTTCGATAAAAATCCATCACAAACAGCAACAAACACAGCCAACAGCATCCGATCCATTTAAAAAATGTGTATCTCATTTAACATCAATTGGTATCAATTATGATGATATTGTAAATTATTTTGTATATGCTGCAAACCAATTTAGCATCTTAAGTATCTAGTTGATTATGCCGTTTTTGTTTCTGCTCTCAGAAAGGTCAACTTGCGGCATTTGACCCACAGATAAAACTTTTCTATTTAATGTATTATTCATGTTCAACAACGGAAACTCTCTTTCCTTACAGTTGATAAGACGCTGCTCACCAACAACAACAACAACAACAATAACAATATCAACACAAATGAGTCGGCTGTGGATGAGACACTGATTGCCAACAGCGAGAAACAGCAGCAGCTGGAATATCAGCAGCAGCAGCAGCAGCATCAGCAACAGCAGCAACAGCAGCAACAGCAGCAACAGCAGCAGCAGCAACAGCAGCAACAGCAACAACAGCAACAGCAACAGCAGCAGCAGCAACAACAGCAGCAGAAGCAACAACAACAGCAGCTGCAACAGCAACAAATTGAGAAACAACAACGTCAGCCAATTTGGTTGTTTCCATTGCCACCGTAGCGCCGCAACTCCAACAACAACAGCAGCAGCCAATTGCAGCGCCACCGCAGCAACATCAACAGCAACAAACTTCGCCAGTTGTGCCACAGCAGCAGCATCAGCAACAGCAGCAGCAACAGCAGCAGCAGATGCAGCAAGCACAATCTCAACCTCAGCAGCAGCAGCAACTACAGCAACAACAACAAACGCAGCCAGCACCACATAAGCCCAGTTACCATGAGCAGCAAGCCACACAGCAACATGCAACACATCAGCAACATACGCAGCAGCAACAGCAGCAGCCACCACAGCAGCAGCAGCGCAAGCCACCTCAACAGCAATACAACAACAATTCACAACAGCAAGTGCGTCGCAAATATTCCTCGGAGTACAATCATCAACAACAGCAGCAGCAGCAGCAGCAGCAACATCATCATCACCATCATCATCAGGGCAGCAGCGATACTGGCATCCAAACCACCAAGTCAATGTCCTGGACGAAATCTGCACAGCACAAGAAGTCCACGCAATCGGTGGCGGTTACTGCCTCGCCAAATACTGTGAATAATGGCGGGACTGTTGCTGTAGCTGCCGCTGCACCAGCGACAGCTGCTGTTGCAGCTGCAACTGCTGCAACAACTGCTGCAACACCGAACGTGAGCTTTAATAAGCAATCAACTGGTGGCGTTGGCGTCTATAGCCATCCCACTAAGACCTATACCAATCAGCAGCACTACCAGCAACAGCAGCAGCACTACCAAACTAACTACAACAACAACAACAGCAGCAGCAGCAGCAGCAGCAACAACAACAACAACAATAATAATAATAACAACAGTAGCAGCAATAATAATAGCAGCAACAGCAGCAACAACAATCAGCCACAAATGCGCACATATGGCACAATGAAAGTGCCCTCATCGCCAGTGGCAAGCACAGCACCGCCACTGGAGCGTAAGATCAGCGGACAGCAACAGCATCAGCAGCAACAGCAGCAACAGCAACAGAGCAACAGTAATGCAACGACAGCATCAGCAGCAGCAGCAACAACAACAACTACCTCAACGGCAAGCATAACAGCAACGCCGCATCAGTTTCAACAACAGACGTCCATTGAAAGTCAGTCCAATAGCACAAACAATGCGTCAGTGCAACAATCATCACAACAACAACAACAACAGCAGCAGCAGCAACTCCAGCTGCAGCAGCAGCAGCAGCAGCAACATGGCCATAATCAGTACGCGCCAGCTGCCGCCAAACCCTATTTAAGCCATGCTGGCAAAAATAAACACAGCACACATCCCACTAGCCACAGCAGCCAAGATGCATCAGCATCCTTTAGCACAGCAGCAGGAGTAGCAACAGCTGCTGCAGCAGCAGCAGCAGCCACTGTGGCAGCAGCGCAGCCCGCTCTCAATTTGGCGCCACCAGCGCCGCCAGCGTCACTGAGCAGCAGCAGCTCGGAGAGCGGACAACCGTCGTGGGCCAGTCTCTTTGCGAGCAAGAAGCCCGTGGCGAAAGTGGCGCCCTACGATGGCAACAAGTCACAGCAGCAGCTAAATCAGCATCAGCAACAACAGCTGCAATTGGTGTCACCACAGCAGCAACAACAACAGCAACAGCAATTGCCTGCACTTCAGCAGCAACAACATCAACAGCAGCAGCAGCAACAACATCAACAATTGCCGCTGGCGACATCGGCAGCAGCAGTAACACAGAGCCTGCCTAGCGTGCATCAGCAATTGCAATCACCGACGCCAGTGTCAGCGCCAACCGTACCTCTAATCACACCCGGCACCCTCTCCTATTCCGCTGCCTCGGCACAGGCTGTGCCCGTTGCCACAGCACCGCCCACCTCGTTGGCGGTCAAGCCGCTGAAGGCGGAGCCATCGCGTGCCGCTCAACTCGATGAGTGGACGAACAAATATGCTGAGTTTCTGACACGTCACAAAACCAATCTGACGCCCGTCAGCCTGCGACCGCGTGGTCTGACCAATCGTTCCAACTATTGCTATATCAACTCGATACTGCAGGCGCTGCTTGGCTGCTCCCCATTCTACAATCTGCTGCGCTCCATACCCAAACAGGCGGCGGTGATGAGCGAGGTGAAGACGCCCACCGTGAATGCCATGTAAGTGACCCCCGTTTGACCTAGTTGCAAGCCTGATTGTGCCACCATGCCACAGACAAGTCAACAGACGCCTCGGCGCCAAAACCAGCTGGCGTCTGTGTTACGCCTGTGGCATAACAATTGGCGTTGGCCTCTTAAACGCTCGCTGCTTGCCTCCGTTTTGGATGCAAGCTTTGCATAACGTCGAGGCCGATGCAAGTGCATTGTGTATATACACATGGATGACCCATTGATGGCTTCATGTAAACCTCATTCGCACGCACATCAATATATTTTTGATTTCCCAAAGAGCTTTAGACTAATTTCAAATCCTTTGCACTCCTCTTAGGATGTCATTTATGAGCAATTTTTCATCGTTGCCCGGCGGTACACGGTTGCGTTTCAGCAATAACAAAGCGGCCCAGATTAAGGGCAAAGATGAATTTGCTGGCGTTGATCTGCAATGTGATTTGGCCTTTGAGCCCACGGAAATATACAAGCTGTGGAATGACAGCCGCGAGGAGCACGTGGAGGGCCGACAAGAGGATGCTGAGGAATTCTTGGGCTATGTGCTGAACAAGCTCAACGATGAGATGCTGGAGGTAAGTTGTTGTCATCAATCAATCAATCAATCAATGAGCTTTGCTAAATTTTGTATGTTTTCCGAAAGGTTATCAAGCTGATTGCCAAGCCAAATGCCCGGCAGAATGGTGAGGAGCAGGAACAGGAGCCCGAGGATGGTGGCGATGTTTGGCAGGTGAATAAATTGGCACATATTAGTAGTTTGTATTGATTTTAATTGCAACTCAAACATAAACATTTTCCAGATGATCTGCAACAATCGCAACAAGGGCAGCGTCACACGCCAAACGGACTTTGGACGCACACCACTGAGCGACATCTTTCGCGGTGAGTTGCGTTCGCGTCTGCAGCGCGAGGGCGAACACTCCACGGATGTTATACAGCCATTCTTTACGCTGCAACTGAACATTGAGGTGAGTAGACCAAGCCGAACTAAGAGATCCCTTTGTTAACACTTAATGTTTGATTGCAGAAAGCCGCTTCGGTGAAGGAGGCTCTGGAGATACTCGTTGGTCGTGATCAGCTGGAGGGCGTAACTGGCAGCAAGACCAAGCAGGAGGTTGTTGCCTGGCAGCAAATGACACTGGAAAAGTTGCCAGTCGTTCTAATATTGCATTTAAAATACTTCGACTACAGATCCGATGGCTGCACAAAGATCTTGAAAAAGGTTGAATTCCCTGTGGAGCTGAAAATCGATGCCAGTAAGTAAAGTGTTACTTGCTCTGCTCCCTCAAGCTCATTAGAAACGTCTTTTTGCAGAGATACTAGGCTCGAAGAAGACCTCGCAAAAGCAGCGCGCCTATCGCCTATTTGCTGTGGTCTACCATGATGGCAAGGAGGCGTCGAAGGGCCATTATATAACGGACGTGTTTCATACTGGCTATAACAGCTGGCTGCGCTACGACGATAGCTCGGTGAAGCCGATCGGCGAGAAGCAAGTGTTGCAGCCGCACACGCCGCGTGTGCCTTATCTACTCTACTATCGCCGCTTCGATACCCTCCCACAGATGCAGACGAGCAATGGCGGTGCTGGCACTACTGTGGGCGCCACCAATGCTCATGCCTCGGTCAGTTCCGCCTCCAGCACATCGGCTGCAAACTCAGCGAATAATAAATGAAACCAAGTTGTCAAAAAACAAAAAAAAACGAACCTAGAAGCAAACTAGATTTGGTTTGGTTTTCTATGCATATACAATTTAACGGTTATATTATATTTAAATATGTTTAAGCCTAAAGTCCAAAGCGCATGTAAGTGTGAATGGTAGTTGTATATCTGTGTTTTTATAAGTGTGTGTGTGTGTGTAAGTGTGAGTGTGAGTGTGAGTGTGCGTGTATGTGTGTTAGTAGTTCATCTAAGTTTAAGTCATAAACTCTTAGTTGTAAGCCTTAGCCGTAGACCTAAGTTGATAAGAGTTTAGTTGTGCAACAAAGCAAACAAACAAACCAACAATTCGTTGAAACGAAATCTGTGTACAAAGGTAGCGCATGAGTTAACTAAACAGCGAGCAAATTATCATATAAAACTCCATATATATACATATACTGTAAACTTAGTTGCTGGTTGAGCAGCCAATATCAGTAAATCCCATTTTCCTTCCTCAACCTCTTTTTTTTGAAGCAGCCGCGTGCATTATATACATATATATACATAGTTGTAGACCTCTTCGATATGACAAACATTTAGAGCTCTTTATGTACATACATAGTTATACATATATGATACATATATAGGTATATAGGCATAATCTTAAAATTGTAGAATACTATTTCTTTTATAATTGTTTATGGCATGCAGCATGCATTTAGGCGCCAGAGCAAACAGTCAGCCGTGCATCGAGTTGATAATACAATATTTTGAAATGCTTTGAATATGCTTTAAAAAACAAAACAAAACAAAACAAAAAACCAATCTTTTGTATACAATACACGACATGCAAAACATATGGAATACATAGGATTACTTTGTGTACAAGTTGTAAGTTGATATCAACAAACAAAGACACAAAAAACCAATCATGAACACACATTTAAGATACAAGCGCGTTCATTTCATAGTTTATTTTATTGTTTGTTGTTTAGATCGATCCCCATTTCATTTTAAAACCATACAATTAGTGCATATATATATATACAAATTAATTGCATCCATAATGATATTTTAGTGTCTTTTGCGATAAATCGCGAAATTGGCTCACGTCTAAATATAAATATTATTTTTTGTTTAGGATATGCTATAAATTATGTAAATTCATTTTTGTCAAGCTTCTTTTTTCGTTAACAACTGCAACTAATCAAGATTTCTAGTTTCATATGTAGTTGCTTTAACTTACAGGCATATACATAAATATATATATTTACATGCATATTTTGTTTTTCTAATACATATACATATATATATATATGTATATATATATATAAATAATATTAATAACGTGCCAATGTTAAAATTCGAAAAAAATATTTAAAAAACGAAAAAGAAAACATGAAAGGAAGCTAGTGTCTAAAACAATAAATTTTTGATACTTTTGTGTAGTCGTTGACTTATCAAGAGATTATTGTTAAAATAATTAGTTACGAAATTTTGTTAAATTAAGTTTTATATATTTATGATAAACGATGTCTGCAAATATTAACTGGAAAATCTATAAAATAACAAAGGTAAATGCGCTGTAAATAGCTTGGACTACAATTTAACAAAGTCCACATTTGAATATAATATCTATATAGTTTCTCTTCAACTGAACACTCCCCAATTCTTTTGTAATGTTTTGAAAAAAATTAAGGTTTTTTTTTTTAACTTCGAAACCCGAGTAAAAGCGCATTGCGATTGTGAAAACAGAAAAAAAATACAAAAAATATTGAAATATTCAAGTATAGATTTAATTGATTGCATTGTAATACGAAAATATATTATATTAGCAGGTGTATTTTGATGTTACACATATATGAATTAATTGTAAGCCAAATTATAGCAAAACATTTTTTCTATAGAAATTTTACAGAGTCTGTGCTTTGCTAGTTACAAAATAGGTTCCTAAACAATACGAGGAAAATTACACAAAAAATGAATAAAACAAACGATTAATGTCTATTAAAAAAAATATATATATATTAATAAAATAAAAAACAACAAAATACAACTAAGAAGCATAGTGAAGTAACGGAAAACAAAAGCAAAAACAATAATTCTAGGACTAGTAGTTTAAAGCCAAGCTAACAACATATGAAAAGTAAAAAAAAATATACATACAGATACATATATAAATGAAATTTATACTAAATACAAAAGAGAATTGAGTGTAATTTTCACATTGAATTAAGCAAACATACATACATATATTAATATATTTTTTCAAGCGAAATTAACATGTTCAACATACATCGCATATAAAATAGCAACCGAAACTAAAGACGTAATAGTTTTACATTTTTGTCAAGAATTTGTTGAATACTTATATTAATGGAATACTCCACAAAACCAATTATACTTTTTTTTTTTATTATTATTATTATCATACAAGTTTCCAAATTAATACCTAATCATTTCAATATATATATACATATAATTTTTTTAAATTGTGTATTATGCTAAATTTGTTGCCTTCTGTTTGAATTTTGCTTTTGGCGCTACGGCGAATTTGTTTGCCTTCATTTATGTTTTAGTTGTAAAGTAGTTTCTAAGGCTGTGTAACTAACTAAATACAATTTAATCAATATTTAAGCCGAATCATCATCTTAAAATCATTGTGTTGTCATTTTGCCTGACAATTTTTGTTTACAAACTATGATTTCCAGTTTTCGAGTTAAATGTTGTGACCCTAGAAGGAATGAAAATAAAATAAACGAGAATTGGCAAGTGCACTTACTAAATGTATAATCAAAGATACGAAGATAAACAAATAAGATCTATACATACAAGAAAAGAAAAACAACTTTAAGTAAATATTAAACTAGAAAACTAAAAAAAAAAATACAAAAAAAAGATCATAAGAACTAAAGTTAAACTTAAAATGTTTTGTAATAATTTTCTAATACAAAAGCAAAGGGAGAAATAAGAGAACAAGAAGAAGAAGCAATTTTGAACATACAAACTCAAAACACAAAAAGAAAACGAAAACGGAACGAATAAAAAAAAAATTCAATGACGTTTTCTCAACGAAATTGATACAAAAAAAGAAAAAAAAAAACAAAAAAATAAAACAAAAATCAACAACAAACCGTAAAAACTTAGTCCACATTTAGTCTAAAGCAGAAACAAACGAATTGAAAAAAGTTGTACTAACTAAAGCTAAATGTATACCTACATAATTTGTAATATGATACATCAACCGAAAACGAAAATGAAAATTAACTAGCAATAAAATAAATAATACCATTACCAAAAATACACGTTGTTTGTTATGAAAAGGGTGGAAAGTGAAAGGAGCCAACTGAGAGAGTCGCCAAACCTATTCACGTGTAGGTCAAAACCATCACGACAAATAACTGAAGACACTCAAAACCGGTTCTCCAAAAATGAAAGAGTAAATTGCCAGTTGAATTCCGACAACACACAAACTGAATGCTCTATCTGAGAAGAAACCTGAATATTCATTTCGGTTATTTACTATCAACCCATTATTACTCTAATTTTGTAATACTAAAAGTTTTGATTGGCTTTGAATGTGTCATTCTGCAACATTCTATTGCTCGAAGTAGCTCGCATTTTAGTGGTTTGCAAAACTGTATGGGTTAGCAAATATGCTTTCAATTGGAAAGTGTATTAGAGCAATAGCAGCGAATCTTTTTTTTTTCAGAAATATTTGTTGACTTCAGTCCGACAACGTCTTCGGCGAGTTGTGATTCATTTGTTATGCGAAACGTAACACATCAAAACTCGTTTTTAGCCCAGCTAACTGTGGAATACTTACTCTCCTAATTGCAATTAGAGTCTCCACAAGCGCTGAAACAGTCGTGCAACAGCTGAATGCAGAATCGGTTTGCAAAATGTGTACGAAGTTTCGAATAATTTAATGATATTCTACTTTGGATTTGATTTTGGATTGGAATGTTACGGAATGTGCTGTGCTTGGTGCTGGGCCTGATTGTGGGCATACAGCTGACGGAACTGTGGGATTATATGACGCTTATAAGTGATGAATATGAGAGCACAGCGATTGCAGCGGATACAGCAGCGTCCACAGCGCTGGATGGGCCATCTCTAGCGGATCGTCTTTACCATGAGACACGTGTGCTTTGCCTGGTTCTGACGATGCCAACGCAGCACAAGACAAAGGCCGCAAAGGTAAAGTCTACTTGGGGTGCTCGCTGCAACAAGCTGATCTTTATGAGCAGCCAAGATGATGACGCACTGGGCGCAGTGAATCTCAATGTGACGGAGCGACGTGAGAATCTGTATGCCAAGGTGCGTGCGGGTCTGGCCTACGCCTATCAGCATTATATGGAGGATTACGACTGGTTTCTCAAGGCGGACGATGACACGTAAGCCGAAGATTTCACATACTGCTTCAAATTGAACTAATAATATTCGACATTTGTCTCTTTAGTTATGTGGTAATGGAGAATTTGAGACTGTTTCTCTATCCGTACGATCCGGAGGCGGCGGTCTTCTTTGGCCATCGCTTTCGCACCAGTTATCCACATGGCTATATGTCTGGTGGTGCTGGCTATGTCCTCAGTCGCGATGCACTGCGTCGCTTGAATCTGTTCGCCTTGAATAACACAAAGTTTTGCCCACTTAACACTCAGGCGGAGGACAGACAAATTGGACACTGTTTGCTGAATGTGGGCGTGGTGGCAGGCGACTCAAGGGATGAACTGGGTCGAGAGCGTTTTTTGCCCCTGAGTCCACGCCATTTGATGCCAAACATCCAGTACGGAACTTGGCTGGAGAAATACTATTTCTTTAAGCCGAATGTAAGTTGTTACTCTTTAATTTATATGATGGATGTATGTATATATTTTTAATCGATTTTCTTTTTACAGACTAACGATTGCTGCTCCGATTCGTTAATAAGTTTTCATTATACCAAAATGCATGACTATGATATGTATGAGTTTTTTCTATACCATCTGCAAGTCGCTGATCTACCAAAAACACTGAGTTCGCTGCCTCCACGCTTGAGCGATGAACAGATGAAGGAAAAGCTGAAAATTTGGGATGAACAAATCTCTGACAATGAATAAATAGATTGCTAATTCAATGAGAAAGCTTTAATATGGTTTCCGAGCTCAAATACGAGTCTCACCTTTAAAATAAGGAATTACTTATAAATAGAGTTTATATAATTATATAGTAATATAATAATAACGTAATTTTAACCGAATTCTTGAAATATATACGGAATACATTAAAAATTAGGTTGTTATTATTCTACATATGAGGAATATCTTATGATTGAATTAGATAAGATTCCAACGTAGGAAAAAATAAACTCTTGAAAATAAACATTTATATGTTTGAGTTAAAAAGAAATAAATATTTGTGTGTTATAGATTAAAGCTATTTATTAGATAAAGATATAAAAGAATTTTGATGTGAATAGAAATAAATAAATATTTAACGAGTACAAAGTCTATATAAGTGATATCAAACAATAAGCTCAACATAACCCCCGATGCGACATTGATAAATGATATAGGCGTATCAGTGAACTTAATGTAATTGCTCGACTTTGTAAATAAAACAAGAGACTCATATAGCTGGAACCAAGATTTATTTGACAACGAAGTAAACAATTGCATGTTGCCATGCTGTGAAAAACAAGAGGCAATAGATTTGAGACAGGGACACAAGAAATACAGACCAAAAGTTTAGCTGTCCATTGGCACAGCTTTGGCCATTTGTCAAAAGGAGTCGGTCGGATGGTTCGGTTCAATTGAAGACCCCTGCTTTAAAGCCCAATTTATCACAAAGTCGTCTCGTCGGTTGTGTGCCGCGTGCCGGGTCCGCCTCTAAGGATTAGAGAGATAGAGCATTGTAACAAATACGAATTGGAGAATCGAAAACCGGAAAATCGAGCGAAACGTGCCAAACACGTGAAAAATACCTGGGGATGTTGTTGAGCTGTTCTTGTTTGTTGTTCTTGTTGCATCCGCTTCGCTATTGTTGTTATTTATGAGCATCGAAATGAGCTGAAACTGCAGCACAAAAGGGGAGGGCCTGGTGGCACGCGAGCCTCACCTATGGACCGCACCTTTTGGATATAAGGATAAACTCGTTTTTGGCAAAAGCAAACGGCAGCTGGCAGCAAAAACTCAGTCGAGTTGTTAATGTTATGTAAAATGTGTAACACATTTGTGAGTATTTGTGTGCCGCTATCTAAGCGAGGGGTTGCCTTTTGGAACGTGTCCTGGAACGTGCCCTGCGCCACTAACTCAGTTGGTGCGCTTGCGCAGCGCCAGCTTAATTTCCATATTTGCATAATTAAATAAATATCTAGAATGCTACGAGCGGCATAACTTTTTTGTTGATTAGCACACACAGTTGTTACCGAGCTTTATCTACTCGTTCGTTTCACTGCCTCATGCAAATAAGTAGAAAGTGAACACGTGTGCCGGCCAACAAGCCGTGAACATGCAAATGCCTGTGAGGTCCTGGAGCATAGTGGTATTTAAAAGTGGTCCTAGCCATGAACCGAACAGCGTGACAGATTTTCATGACAGATTGTTATCAGTTGCATGCCACGTGACACCAACTGTAATTCAGCAGCTGCCAGGTTGCATAGATATCTAAATACTTCTGAAAAGGGGTTATTTGCGGTCTATTACTAAACTTAAAGTTGGATCAAAACTTCTCTAGATTATTGTGTGTTGTATTTCGTTAAGAGTATGAAAAGCCTTTGAAGTCTCGAATTGAATCAGTTGTCGGTCCTTTGATCTGTATTTTATTATGATTTAAGTAACACCTTAAGTCCATAATAAATTTAGGATTCTTTACAATAAAAAGCGTCTTGAAAATATTGATTTAAATATATATTTTGACATATTTTAAAAATCTCAAATTGATAAAATAAAATTCAATATTGAAATACCTTAAACAAATAACTAACTTCAGGTCTTAAATATTATCTCTGTCATTTTCGTTATCCTATTTGCCACCCATCAATTTGTTGAGATGATAATTTTCCTTGATTTTTTCTTTTTTAACAATTTAATGTAGCTCTTCCTGAAGGGGCTGCTTCAATACGGAGCATGGCACGCCCACCACTTAAGCTTTTACTATTTCCATTATTGTCATTGATAAATCCTTAAGTAGGCTGTCATTGTGTGTGCACAAATTGTCGGAATCATTCGCCTGCTTGAAACCCTAGTCACAAATTCAAGGCGAGCCCCTCTTCAGCTCCTTGATCTTCTTGTTGGCTGCGCTCTGCAACGCCCATGTAATTAGTAGTATTCCAGAGCGCTAACAGTCGAGTCGGTTCGTAAAAAAGGGGCAGTCCCTGCATCTGGCGACAGGCTGTCTGGCATGAGCAGTGTTTACACACATTTCAAGACGACATTTTATAATCAATTTAATGGCTTCCCTGATGCAGAGCAAGAAGACCATAAAAAGGAGCTACACTCAAGGTATGGTAGACAAAGACAGGCAATATTATTGTGGCATGTATAAAAAGTCAACACCAGGGAATGAATGAATGAATGAATGAATGGCTGTGGGCATTTCAATTTGTAGCTGCCTAAAGTGAAACCTACAATTGCCACTTTCCAGCCAAAGGAATTGTCCCCTTTTCTTATTTTTTTTTTTGCTTTTTCTGCGGCGCCGCAACTCAATTAAGTGACGAGAGTTGAATGAAAACCCAAAAGGGCAAAGCCAACCAGCCATCCCGGGCACCTAACAGTTCCGATAAGAAAAGGCGACTCTGAAAACTGAGAAGGGTCGCCAGTGAAGCACATAAATGCCTTCGCAAAAAAAAAATACAAAAAAAAAGAGAAATAAAGGGGCTGCGGTGACTCAACAATGTCTTGAACGTGTTGCTTCGCTTCCTTTGGGCAAAGGAATGTTTCTTATTAGGATTTCTTGCGGCACTGGCTTGCAACTAGCAAACAACCCCTAAAAACGAGACAAACGCTTCGAGGGGTTTCCTTGAACTCTGACGCGTGCCAGGGCAGCAACTGAGAATGGGAACGGGTATAAGGCTGAGACGTAGACCTAGCCGTAGACCGAGGCATACCTGTAGCTGGAGAAGGATTTGACTGACGTTCATTACGTTATCGTCAGTTCGCCGTCAACGTCGTCGCCTTGCAGTTCCGCCGTATAAGTTTCGTGTCCTGTGAGTCATTTGGCGTGTCCTGTAGCGGAAACGACTGCCAAAAGCAAGGGGCTGCATTTTCCTCGTGCTTCGTTTTACACAAAAACAATATATTTGTATATATATATGCATATATCTATATATTGAAAATTTTACAGAAAAGTAAAAACCTGACAATTACAGGACACACGTGCATATGCAAAAGAAGGACTCGAACACAAAAAGGAAGTGGCAGCCAAGCGTTAAATTGAAGCATGCCAAATCAATTAAAATAAAAAAAAACTACACTTTACTTGTTTGGCATTGCTTCAGGCAACTGTTTGCATAGCAACAAAAATACTTTTCTTTCTGGTTTTATTTTTATTTTTAATTTTTTTTTATATAAATGCATTTTCCTTTAGATGTTGCATTGTTGTTGCCCGCATCGAAAACATTGTGAGGCAGCTGTCGCAATTCGCTTATCGTAAATAGAAAAAAAAAATCAAAATACCTTTACACATGATTTATCCAAGCAATGCAAACGTGTGTGTTTGTGTGTGTTTCTGTGTGTGTGAGTGTTGCAGCTGCCGTTGCTTTTTGCTGCCCCCTTTGGCATTTTTGGGCTGAGATCGCCCTTGGCCGAAAAATGCTTATGCTATATGTTTGCCCGACAAAGTCCAAAAATCAACCCTCTGTTGGTCGGCCCAAAACAACATTTGGGGTGGCTTCTTATCTACATGTGTGTGTGTGTGTGTGTGTGTGTGTGTGTGCTCAGTTATTAGCACAGCACAGCATAGCTCACTTATTTAGTTGTTGTTGCTTAATGCACATAAATTGCATGAAATTCAAAATGTTCGAGTCCAGATACGAGCATCACCGCTTAACTAACCCATACTAAAATCTGCCACTGTTACAATTGCAGCCAGCACCTAATTCTAATTACTGCTAGTGGAAACACCCCGTTTCCAGTTTCCCTAATTGGCAACTGTGCATCTGTGCATTGTTGGTCGTTCAGTGGTGCAGTGGTTGCCGGCTGTACGAATTGGGTTAGTTCCAGTTGCTCATATGCTAGATTTTTAATGGGCGAGCGCAATGAACTCTTTAGTCGACAAGTCTCTTCGAGTGGAACTAATGAAAATTAGTCTACATATATATGATTATATATCGTCGCTGTGCGAGCGTATAAATTGTAACGAATTTGTATAATATTTTGTATATTAGGTTACCAAACTTAAACTGCATGAGGAGTGCAAGGAATTGAAAGCCAATTAGTGCAGATTTAGCTTTTATTTAAATATTTCTTTAAATATTCAATTCTACGGATATAAATAGATAAAACCATTTAGTATATGCCTGTGTGTGTATATCTCTCAACTTAAACCATTGGGTCAATGTTAAAACATGGTCGAAAAGTGAACTTTATCCGTTCAAGCCTATACCCAATATTCTACCCACTAAAAAGGAATAACTTCAAGTGCAGGGTTCAAAACAGTTTCATATAATTTATGAATACATTGGTTTCATATACAAAGTCGCCACCTTTTTCTAAGCTAAAGCTATCCCAGAACCCATCTTAGTGCTAAACTATAACCTAAAAGAAAATTGCTGCTTTGAAACTCTCGTGGTCACCAAGTAATATACCTAATGCAAAACATATTGAGTTAGGGTCTACAGTTGACTGATATATTTTTTACAACTCATTTCGTATTGTGTAATTAAAGTTTCGTAACACATTCAACACCTGGAATTTTCGCACAATTCAGTTGTTTTTTCCCACCAGCTGGCAACAGATCATCTCACATTTGCTTATAGAAGATGACTAAGACTATGAATCGGTTTATCTTGTCATTTGATGACAGGCAAATATACTTTGTCTATTCGCACTACTTGTTTTTACCTGAAGCTTTGGCAAAACAAACTCTTGATAAGCTTCTGATAAAAGCAGCCATGTAAATCAGATTTCTTACAACAAATATGCACAAGTAGCCAAATCAAAACAGAATACGACACTTACCAGATAAGCAACTACCTATATAAAGCAGTAACATCTGTTGCAAATCCCATAAAGTAGTGAAACATAGAACAGGATGCATTGCACCACACTTGCTCTGATCGCAATTTGTTGCCTGGGCACGGGACTATCCGCAACAACAAGCGTTCCAGTAGGAACAATACCTGCCAGCAATTTCTATTTGAATTTGAAGAGCATATTGCGGAATGTGCCCCAGAAACAGATCGAGCATCTGGTGCAGGCCTATCTGCTAAACGATGCAGAATTCCAAGCAGTCGTTCGGGAAATCAATTCACTGACCACATATCGCCTTGGACTCCAGCTGCTCAATCAGCCAGAGTTTCGTCAATTGCTGCAGTGGACGTCACAGCAGCTGATCTTGGCAGGTGGATCCATAAAAGTATTTGAGGAACTGGAACTGGAGATTAAAGTGCTGAACAAGCATCCCCACTGGGCGCAGTCGGTGAATGGCATAAATGGTTTCGAACAAGAATTTAGCTATTTATATCCAGTCGCCGCGATTCGTAAGCTGCTGGAGAGTAGTGCCCAACAGAGTCCCGTCTTTGGTGAATTCTGGCGTCGAGTCGTGGCCCTGAAGCCAACCTATGAGCGCTTCTTGGCCACACCACAGGCCACTGGACTGGCTAACCGATTGCGCGCTTTGGGCGTGGATGTCAACAACTGGGATGCAACTTTGCGTTATCAGCTGGGTTGGAGTAATGAGACTCTACCCAATTATGACTATGAATACAATTATGGATTTTATTAAGTCAATTGAGTATTGAGAAATGCGAGCGAGTGATAAGCAAATATGTTATACTTATACTTAAATATTTAATCTAAAACATTGCTATATATCTCAAAAGTTTTATCTTAAAGCAACCTACACTAATTATATCTACGTAACTACTTATCAGTATTACTTAGTAATATACATGAATATAATATACAAGTATTCCAACGTAATCCCAAAGAAAATCCTAAGCAATAATTTAGACTAAATAATTCTAACGTAAAATCTGCTTGTGCGGTGTAAAAGCTAAGATTTCAGGTTTACATTTTTCCATTGCTTTGCAAGTTGACTTGCTTTAAATAGCAGGAAATAATTGCCAGAGGCTTTAGACATTATTTTGTCATATTTTGAATCCATCGAATTTTGGAAATTTATATTCCTAAAGGGAAATGAAATGAAATAAGGGAATATCATTTGCGAGCAGCTGCTTTAAACTTTGTGAATGTCACAGGAACTAGCGAGTGGGTGAGTGTGTGTGTGTGTGTGTGTGTGTGCACACCCTCAATGAGGTAAAGTATCCATGGCAATGCCATGATTAAGTAACAGATGAGCCATGTGCCCAGCAATGTCCTGGCGATGTCCTCGCACTGCTTATGGGCCGCACCATGCGATTTAATTGAAACAAAACCAAACAGGAAGCGGCGCAGCAGCACAGGCCAAAGTAAATGGGGTGCTTTTGTAATGAAGTTCACAGTTGGCAGTTGGCACTTTCCCAGTTGCCAGTTGCCAGTTCTCGTCTACAGTTACTCATTAAAAGCGGCGAGCCGCGTCGCGATGAGAATGAAATTGGAATTGCAACGGAAACTAGTTAATGTGAGGCTATTGTCAAAAGCAGAAGCGCAACTTGTGCAATTTTCACACAGCCGCTGTCGACGTTGACAGCGATTGCGACGGCGATGTCGACAGCAAATCCTGCACAGGATCTTTGCCAGCGAGGCGGCTGACAATAATAATTTATAAAAACAAAAAGGAAAAAAAGCAGAATTGAAAAGACTCGCCCCTTTTTCTCTTTTCTTTTTTCTTTTTTTGCTTTTTTTTGCTTTGCGGTATACGCGTCCAATTGGAATTTTAGTAGACAAACAGTGCGGGGTTAAAAAAATGAAATATATTTTATACATATATGCGCCCTGCAACGCCCCGAACCCCAGTGCGAACCCTCCATCGAGCGCTCTGTGTGTGCACTGTGACTGACATGGCGGATATATGAGTCTGAATATGCGGCTGCAGTTGTAGCCACCCCTAAAAAGGCGCCCTAAAACATTTTTAAAGCGCTATTGAAATCCAGCAACAGCAACAGCAACAGCCTCAGAATCGGAATCGGAATCGCGCTACGCTTGAGCTCTGGTTTATATTCACTACACATCTAACCAAGGGGCTTGAATTCTGTTCTGCTTTTCTACCTCCCCCCGCTCAAAATACCCTTCGTTGGTTATAGGTTTTGGTTGTCGGTTTGGCTCGTGTGCGCCCTACGACATTTTTGGTTAGTGTTTGCAAATGCACCTGGCTACATTTTTTTGGGCTTCGATTCCGTTCGACTGATGCGAATGTGTGTGTGTGTGTGTGTTGTTGGGTGGTTGCAATGCGTTGCATTGTGATTTCCATGGCGCACATGCCAATGTCGGTGTGTGTGCCTATGTGGAAAATGACCCTTTGTAGCATTGACGATATGCACCGGCAACTATGCGACAAACGACACTGTGCACAGCAAGGACATTAGCAACAACAATAGCAACGGCAACGGCAACGGCAACAGCAACAACAACATTAACAAGAAATGAACGTTGGTTGCTGGTCGCGTGCCCGAAGCACTTCGACACCCAACTGAATTGTGAATTGTGATTGTGTTTTCCTTTTTCTTTTGCGCTGCTTTCCTTTTCTCGCTAACTCGCGCGCTCTCATGCAAAGCGCTTTGACGAGTTATAAACGCGTGTGTGTGTGTTTGTGTGTGTGTGTGTGAGTGTCCTGCGGCGCATAAATACATTAATGCATGTGCTCATATATGAATAGCGCCATGACAAACTAAACGTATGTATATGTGTTTAAAGGGGAATATATAATTATTGCTATTGGGCTTCCTGCTTTTCCATTTTCCTTTGGTTTTTTTTTTTTGCACGTTGGCAATTTGTGCCGTGGCCTTTCCCTTAAATGGGGGTTAGTCATCATACAGTTTTTGTTTACTTTCCGTGTGGATTAGAGTGCAAATTCCTTAATCCTAGGCTGACTTAAATTTTGGCATGACCCTGCTGTGCTTGAGATATACATATAAATTTTATTTTTGTTGAGGGAACCCCAAAATTATTCAATACAAATTATGGCAATGAGATTTTGATCTGATTGAATTTACAGAATGCGCCCTGGGAACTTTTTTTTGTGCGAAACTTTTATTTGAATAAAGTTCTCCAAATAAATGAGAATAAAATCCAATTTGTGGATGAGATCCATTTAAACTTTGCAAATAAGCTTCGACAAATAAGTTCGTATGCCAGCCAAACATAAACCATATCACTTGTCTGCGTTCTTGTTTGTTTACATAAATACATTTACTTGTGTATGCAGCGAAATTCAATTAAAATGACCAAATTCAAACAAAGTGTTGTCACTTAATCCTGGCAAATTGTAAAGCTATTTGAATCAATTTAAAAATCAAAATAAAGTCCTTACAATTGGCAACGAGCGCACATGAAAATGTTTACGAAAAAAATAACAATAAAAATGCAAATAAAATGCCATTTTGACAAATATTTGCATCCCGATACCGAGAATAAAAGCCCCAAAAACAGCGAAATTCTCTCAAAATACATATTCTACGCACCAACAAAATTGCTGTTAATTGGTCCAATATGAATGGGAACGAGCTCTGATCCTGTTCTAATCGCCAGCATATGGCACTCTAAAAACGAAAAAAAATGTAAAATCAACCGAAATGCAATTAGAAAAGTTCACACTTTTGTCCAAAAAAAATGAAAAGGGTAAGGGGAGCTGGGGTGGGGATGAATTAAACCAAAATCCCAGCCAGTTTCCGTACATTTTTTCGAGCAGTAGCAGCGGAGAAAAAAAATTGCATCAATTTATGAAAGTAAAAATTTAATTACAGCTCACCTAAGAGGAAGAAATTGTAGCCCCAGGTTGAGTTGGGCGACAATGGCAACATGTGGTGCTACAGTGGAGCATCCTTGAAGAGCTGCCCGAGCAAAAGTACATGTTGGCTGAAAAGCCTTTTGAGACACACAAATGCAAATGCATTATGCCACATAAACGATGCATTTTCGAACATTAATTATTGCCAAGCAGCCAGGCGGGCCAGGCAGCCCTCGCAGGATAGCAGTCGTAGCAAGGACGGTGATGGGACGGACTTGGGTGAGCCTGCACTTGAAATTACCATAAAAAGATGCACTTAAGGGTTAGCAATGAGCGGCAAACAGCAAGCAACAAACAACAAACAAAATGCGTAGTGTGTAGGTGGAGAAATGGAAGCGACTGTCATCTCTGGTCGTGTCCTGGGTGTTGTTGAGTGCAAATTTAAGCTAAGCGCGCCTTCAAGCGCTGAAATCCGAGCAGTCAAAGGTATATATACCGAATCAAAGTGCGAGCCTGATGTGGAAATAACGCAGCATTTGTAGCTGACAGCCCAACTGACTGACTGATGAGCTGTTCTCGGTCAAAGTAGGGGGATTTCTTTGCCAAACAGGGTTGGAATTTGCGTCCTTGCTGGGCGGCTGCTGGGCTGCTGGGCTGTTGGGCTGTTGGGCTGATGCTGGGTTGTTGCTCGCGTGCCTAGCGCACTTCTGTGACTTGTTTTTCTCTCGGCTCTCAGTGCGTGCGCTATTAATTCTAAGCTGCATGGCAAACACTGATTCCATGGCTTCGAAGGGGTCACCACCCCAATCGGCGATGATCGGCGCAAAAGCTGCAGCAACGGCGAGCGCTGTGTTTCGCTCTGGGAATACTTTGGCAACCCAATTGGGGTGGCGACAGCGTCGTTGGCGTCGTTGCCACGCACGTGCCTACCGTAATACAACAACAGAGGCTAAAACAACAACAGCAACAACAACAACAATGGCGTCATATTGAACATAATATGCCATATATTTGTGTTTGGTGCGAGCGGTACGACCAAAAAGCCCTTCACTGCCAATCGAAAGTGCATTCCCTTTCATGGCAACCATGAGGACAGCGATGGCAACAGCAACGGCGTCGCATTTCGATTATATTAATGCAAAGCACTCACACACACACACACACACAAACACACACAGATACAGTCGCACACACACTTGGCAAGCATTTTGACAATCGCTTTGTGGTGGCTGAGCAGACCGAGCTGTATATGTGTGTGTGTGTTGGTGTTTGTATTTGTGCGCTATGTACCTACCCCACCAAAAGCAAACTTGACAAGCTTATAGTACGGCTGTATTTGTATCTGTATCTGTGTGCGTCGTCTGTGCGTTGAGAGAACGAAGTCGGAGCTGGAGTCGTCGACAGCAGACAAATGAAAACCTGAAAATGCAACACCAAAAGATACACGCAGAGAAATTAAATATTACCAATAAAATATGTAAAAATAAAGAAATAATAAATAATTTAAATTAATATTATATTATATTAATATGTGAGAGCTCAAAAATAAAATATAATTGAATCAATTAAAATATATTTAACGATTAAAAAATGATTTTCATTGTAAAGTTAAAATGGCAAAAGAATTTTCAACAATGAAGCGATTCATATATCTTTTTTATAATTTTTTTATGTACCATTTATAATTTAAAAATTAATCAACTTGTTGAAAAGTTATAAAACATTAATTTGTCATGGAACCAATAATGACATTAACTTAAAGTCTATAATATGTCCTGATGTCGCTGGTGTGGAGACGCTTTAATCTTCGGCGTGAGGTGTTTATATATATCTAAATTAAAAAAACAGTCATATTATTTTCCATTTTTGTTTTTTAACATGGATGTGAATGGACAGGTGCTTTTAGACAATTTTCAGATGTGGTGGTTTGCATTTTAATGACAATTTACAGATGAATTTAAATTAAAGTCAAAGAATACTGTTTTACTAGCCAGTACAAGGTTATAAGTATCACATTCTATTCCAACTCATTCCAAATTTCATTACTTATTTAATATTTTCATTATCTAAAAGTGTCTGGTACAGCTGCTTAAGAGCATGCACACGAAGGGAACATTATGTGGGTTCTACTTCAGGTCTTCATGGCCCATTGAGTTGCTGTTTTGTGTGCACATTTCGCATTTACCTTTTGGTTACACGGACAATTAACGGCATCATGGCTATCAGCTGTTTGCCAGGATCTACAAAGCAGGAGCCTAACAAGAAACTCAGGCAACCAGTCTGAGGTCTTTATATTCTGGCAACATTTCCATGAATCAGAGAATTTGCAAGCCCAAAGACCCAAACATGTGTTCCAGTTCCTGTCGCGTGTTCTTTTCTTTCTAATTTGGGTGCGTGGCAATGGCAACCTGAGGCACAGCTGCAACAACGAATTGCTGCACAATGATTTCTCCAAGTGCAGGCAGTCATGGTGCAAAGGACTTTCACTGACGGCGATCCTGCTGTCTGCTGCTCCCCCTTTGCCAGGCTCCGCTTGTGTTTATGTGTGTGTGTGTGTGTGTGTATGGAAAAAGGGTGACTAATGTGTGTGATTGCTAACAAAAGATTCCGGCTTTGGCGGCGACGCGTCGCTGCCAACGTCAACGTCAGCAGCGACTGTTGCAGCAATAGCGAGGGCTAAAAGGACAACGACTCGAATTGGGGGATGAAATTTCCAAGAGCGACGCCGTCACAACAACAACAACAAGAATAACAACAACAACAGCATATATACACACACAAAACAACAATGATTTTAATTTCGCTTTCCTTTGGCACACATAAATAGAGGCGGCAGGATATGCTGTTAGTCATTCGCAGCAAATACGTCGAGCCGACAGGAAGCAGCCCAACAAGGAGCGCTCAACGTTGCCAACGTTTCAAATTTGTTGTTAAGTTTTTCGCTTAGTTCTTCAAACTCTTTGTTCCTCCCGTTCACCATTCACCGTTCACCGTTCATCGTTCACCGTTCACCGTTCAACACCCAATCAAAGTTCATATTCATTCATCGTTCGCCGTTTTTTGTTTTCTCCCGTTTCCGTTTTAATTCCGTTTCCGATATACAAGTTCTTAAAGCGCGTTCAAGTTTTAGTTGATCATCATTTCGTTGATACGCGAACTAGTGCAATGGCCAGCGTTGCCAGCCCACCACAGTCGACAGCATCCAACCACAGCCACCACCCACATCCACACACCCACAGCATTCAGCTGCTGCACAATGCAACGGCTGGCGGGTTGCCCCATGGCTTGGGGCTGCTGACCACAGTTGCTTCGCTGCCGCCAAAGTATCGCAGCCGCTATCTGAACATAAAAACCAAGTGTGAAATTCCATTGGATCTGTCCGTGAAACCGCCATCGCCAGTGCCACTCAGCGATGTGCCAATTGCGACCGCATTTGCTGAGGTTCTCAGCGAGCCAGCACCATCAGCAGCAGTACCAGCAGCAGTACCAGCCATAGCAGCAGCGGCAGTTGTGGAATTGCCACAGGAGGTGGCACAGGAGGTGGTTGTCATTACCGAGAAACCCATAACACCACCACAGAGTCCAATTGCAGTTTCTGCTTCCATTGATATTCCACTCAAGCGTAAAGCAAGCGAACAAAGCGTTGCACAGCCAGCTGCCAAATTGGTCAAATCAGACGTGAGTTGTACCACCTCCACCTCAACCTCCACCTCCATCGACACCCTACCACCCGTTGATGCTACACCCGCCAAACCCATTAAAGTTGTCGAGACGGCACCGCGCACGACCAAAGCCACCACATCGAGTGCCAAATCGACACGGAATAAAGCGACGCGCAAATTAAAGTTTGACGAGGAGACGAGCTCCCCAGTTTCGGGCACCATTATTCGACCACTGGAGGACATCACCGATGGCAATATGCAGTATAGCAATGGTGACATAGATCCCAAGTACAACATTGTCGAAATAACCGAGGAGACGAAAGCGGAATTGGCGGCCATTAAGAACGTAATTGGTGACTATGTCTGTCGCCTGTGCCGCATCAAGTTTGACGATGCCTTCGGTTTGGCCCGGCATCGCTGTGCTTGCATTGTCTTGCTTGAGTATCGTTGCCCCGAGTGTGGCAAGCAGTTCAATTGCCCCGCAAATTTGGCCTCCCATCGCCGCTGGCACAAGCCCAAGAAGGAGGCCGCTGCGAAAAAGGAGAATCGCAATACCAGCCATCAACAGGAGCAGCCAACCAGCTCTAAGAAATCGGCCGATGACTTGGCTTTCGAGTGCAACGAATGTGGCAAGAAATTCAAACGGGCTGCTTATCTCCGCAAGCATCAGCAGACGCATGCGAAGAAGGCGCAAGCAACCATCGAGCCGGAGTCAGAGCAGGAGCAGCCAGTGGCCACAACAACGATAACTGGCAGCTTCCAGACAGCTGTCTACAATTCAAATAGCTCCAGCTCGGGCAGCAGTTCGCATTCCTATGCCGGCACCCATGAGGATGAGGGCGTCTATGTGGCGGGCGCGGCGAGCAGCAGTCACTACGATTACGAGGCGGACTACTTGTCCGACTGCAGCTCATCCACCTCCTCTGCGGGCTATGGTCGCCTGCAAATTGTCGAGCACGGCCTGACCGAGGAGGAGAGCATTGCGGCAGCAGCTTTGACGAATTTACGGAACTGTGCCTCCGTCATTCAACATACGACGATGGCGCATTAATTGTGTACGATGTGTGTGGGATTTAGGTAACTTGGCGAACTTGTATCATTTCTTGTTTATAGTCGCGTATTGTTAAGTTTAGTATATAATTTACATCTCTCTCTCTCTCTCTCTTGCTTTGAGGAGAACTGCAGCTGAAACAGACCAAAGAAAATTAGTTTTTATCATAATTCGACTTTGATTGAATTTTAGTTGTACACATTTAGTTACTAGTTCATTTCTCAAGTTTCTAGTCATTTAGTTCTTATATAAATGAGTTCAATTCTAGTCAACTCTGTACTTCAATCAACATTCCATTGTTGTATTAGCAGTTAGCAGTATTTACTAATTGGCAACCAAAGACGGCAATCAGTCTAGTCAACTAGTTTAGTATTTATTTGTATTCAGTCAATCAACCAAATATTTAGCACTAGTCAGCTTCAATACGATCTCAGTGAAATATTGCTAAAGTCAAAAGGGCTTTCGTACCAGGCCAGGCATTTTTCGTATAGTCAGTAAAATTCTAGTCATTTAGCTAGGGTCAGTTTAAGTTTAAATGTTAAAAAATGGCAATAAACTATACCAAAGCATCAAGATATACCAAATATTAAGTTAAGAAATTCAAATTAACTCCTATATATTTAACATAAAATCACCATAGATCCATAAACTTTCTTATATATTTGTCATTTAACATTTTCGCGTCATAATCTCATTCTCATCTTGAACTGTCCTTCCATCATCATCAATTATCCACCTCAATTACGTTTCTCATTAGATGCATATTTTCCAATTCGTTTACCATCAATTTACATTTATATGAAACATTCTAGTCATTAATTTATGCATTCATCTAGTCATAACTAAGAAGCTAGTCAACTTTATCTTGAATCTCATTTGATAAATTTCATTTAAGTTTTATAAACATTTTTCGTTTAGCTTTTAGGCAAACAATTATTTCAAATTTCGAATTATCATTTTTCAAATTTCAAATACCGAAAATCGAAATTCAGGCGAAATTGTGCAGTACTAGTTTTAAGTTCATTCAAACCAAAACAAAAACAAAAACCAAAAAAACGTAAACTAAGCAATGAAATCCAGTTCCCGCGCTGGTTCCAAAAGTCGAGTGTGAACTCTAGTCATTTCGTAGAATCCTAAGTTTTGAGGCGTTAGCTCAGTATCAGTATCAGTTTAATTTAGTTTAGTTAGTTTAGTTTAGCCAGTTAGTTAGGTTAAAACAAAAAAACGGACATTCAACCAGCGTTTCACTACCAGTAAAAGTATTTGAAGAGTACAACTTAACTTCTAGACACCAAATATGTATATAAGCAGTCTTGGCCAGAGGCAACAACAGAACCGGCGGTTGTGTACTTAAAAGTCAACTCTTAGCTAATAAGCAATTATCCGAGCAATATCACAGCGCTATTGTTCCTTAGTCTGTAGAATGTAGAATGCAATGCAATTGGTTGTAACCGCAGAGTACAACGAAAATGGGAAAACTTCGCTCAATCTATAGATTTAACTATATGTATCATATATATATCTATATATACATATATTTATTTATATTTACACATAATATATCACTGATAAGCATATCTAACTATTAAGTGAGATTTTGTGATACTAACATGTTAAGCCTAAAGTTTACAACGTTTTGTGCTCGATGTTTTTTGTCTGCGCAGAGTGCATTTACAATAAAAATCGAATTAGATTACATACAAAATGAATATAAACAAATTTATATTTTTATACGTAATATTTGTATTTTTATACTACACATAGAAAATTAAGAAATTATAAGAAATTGTAAATTTGATTATATCAAACTTTTTGAATAAAATGCGAAACACCAAAAAAAAAGATATCTGAGATATTTATAAATTTTCTTCATGATATGCATGTTAATGCGTAGTTTATAATGCTATAAAATTGAATATGGGTTGCTAGGCAAACATTTCGCCCCGTTTGCGGCACTAAAAACTGGTGGGTAATCACTTTATAATTGTGGCGCTAGTAAACACTTCCCATATGAAGTGGTCATAACCATAAAGCCTGCTCATGCACATGTCTGACAATGGGCTGCTCAGAGGGTTGAAATTAAGAAATCCCCACACTAGATAGCTGGAATTGGTTTTCTGTCCATTCATGGTGATGAAGGAGGCGTTTTAACTATGTTGAATGTTTGTGTCTTGGCAATTTTCTCATCATGTTCAATAGCCGTTTTTGATGGCTCGTAAAGTAAGTGCAACTGATGGGTAAACAAAACCGCAGCGGCAGCAGCCGCATATAAATAACGGTGCAGATGTAATGAAATGCCACTAAAGGACATTGACATGGGCCATCGATCTATCCAGGGCGCAGCACTTAAAAGCAGCTAAAACAAATAACCAAACAAACACACACAAAACTTCGATAGCGGAAATGGACAGATGCAAGTTGCGCCTAAGCACACAACAACAGAAACTACGAGAAGGAAATGTGGCAGTGAGGGGTGCGTATTCACTGAGGGGGTGGGGCTGTGCGTGCGGCTGGAGGCGGGGGTGGTGCTGGACCGAAAAAAAGACGAACACGCCAACTAATGATGAACTCAACGGAAGTGTATAGAAAATGTTTAATCAAATACAAATGCATGACAGCACGGAAAACAGCTTAGAACGATGGAGTTGAGGACTTCAGATTCGAAAATATCCTGTAAAAGTTCGAAGCATTGCTTAAAGTATTTACGTGTAAGGAATACAATATATATTTTGATAGAATTTTCTTTTAACTTTGAATGTAATAGTTATATCGAGATTAATCCATGATCAAAAAGACCTAGTTTTTTAATATTCTGTCACAATGAAACATCTTTTATAATTCTGAAACTAAAATATTAAAAAATCGTACGAATTAAAATGAAAAAAAAATATGACACTTAATTTTAAGAAATTAAACAAGAATTTTAAATATAGTTGTTGAGTTATTAAGTATATGATGTTGGTTTTGGTCTTAAGATCAAGCAACCCTTTACAATTGCTTGCTGCAAATATTATAGGGTATAGGCATAGTTCCGAATTGGGTAAACCCCGACAGGATGCGAAGGCCTACATATTCGTGAGCGGTGTGAATCAATTTAAAGCGTCAAAAGAGCCATACAGTATTTAGTAGATGTCCTGCACGGAACGAAAGTTCAATGCACACACGGCCAGGAAGAAGGGTGTTGGAATTATGTAAAATCATGCCGAAACAAAAAACTACCCTTACCTTTTAATGTGACGGACAGCTCGAACCCATGGGGTGCAGCATCATCATCATCATCCTCAACGCTGGGTTATTGAATACTGAAACGCGGGCGTGCCCAAAAAGTCAGCCGGGGCCGGGCAAAGTCATTAAAAAATTTGTGGCGATTGGGTTTCCCAAAAAAAAAAGAAGTATAATAATACAAAAGCGGCATGTAAACTGATATCTCAGTTCGTGCAACTTGCATTTGCACCTTTTGGCACGGGACACGAACAGGGAATTTGGATATATACATACCTTTGCTGGCAAGCCCGCATAGGACGACCAAATAGCGGCACTCGCAGCAGCAGAACGAGTTTGGCATTTCTGCGGGCATCGCTTGCGGCAACAGCTGCCCTCGTTGTTGGCTAACCCATAATGTCTAATTATGAGTTTAGGACTCGGTGACCTGCGGCGGTAATTTGCTCACCTTTAAGGAGCCCGCCCGACCAATTGTATCGTAGTTGAGTGTCTTGGTCGACATGCAGGCGCTTTGTTCAGATTCTAAGTGGCCATATGGTCGTTTTCTATGCAAGGAGTTGACAGATTGACGAGCCTGATTGGCTTGGGGTGGGGATGAGGATGAGTGTGGCCACTTGAGAAGCATTTATGATTGCCATCATCGTTATCCTTATGCCGGCTTTTTAAGTCCGCTATCGTCATTACAACCGTTACATTTTTGGTAGCCAAAAAGCTCTTGCGGCTTTTGCGCAGTGTAAATGACAGTGTTTGCAACTCTGCAAAAGTCCTGGCAGCTGGCTGTAAGCAACTCTGCATGTTGCCCCAAGCAAGTTGGCAGCACTCATTGTCACAAAAATAATAACGGTTAATGGTACTTTATGCTCAGGCGCTTTCTTTCTCCCTCGCAGAGAGTGCGAGAGAGAGATATAGAGAGAATACGCTCAGTCAAGCAGTCTGATATGGCACAAGAAGCCAAGGAGCAGACAAAATGGAGCCGGAATCCACGCACACCTGACATTCGTGTTGTGGCGACGCTGAAAGTCAGACGTGTTGAGCGCAAGGCAGCAAATGAAAAAAAAGAAACAGAAATCAAAAATCTGAGTGCAAAGTTTGAGAACAATTTGTAAAGTTTGCCCCCGCTGGCAAAGTCGCGTTGAAACGGTAAATCGGCTGTGTTAAGCTAAACAACAAAAAAATTAAGGCGCTCGCTAATTATCTAAGCACTGTTTACATATCACATTCGGCTGCTGCCAACTTGTTAATTGCACGAAAAAGCCCAAAGTCCGAAAACAAGACGAGCTGGCAGCATGTGCTGCCTCTGGCGATGACGCTGGGAAAGCGACGGCAACGGCAACGGCAACAGCAATGTGGCAATGAGGCCTGGCGGGGGTGCGGTGCAAAGGGCTGCTGTGTGTGCTTTTGCACTCTGTCGCTCTCGGCGCTCTCTGTGTGAAAGCTTTGAAAGTCTGCGGACTTATTGATTGTGCGTCCTTACGCTCAATAGTCCTTGCTCTCCCTTGTTCTCTCTCACTTGTTGTTGAAGAAATAAGAATAATAATGGGACATTTCCTGAGATTTGAAAAGCTTCTGGCTTCTGGCTTTGCGCTTTGCGTTTGCCTTTCGCCTGGCATGCGTTTGCGTGCTTTGGATAAATTTTTCACAAATTTTCATTTTCAGTTTTTCTCCCGACTGTTTTAGGGCGGTTCCGCAAGGCAGAGGCCAGCTACTCAGCCAGCATAGCACACAACTTGGACGCGTCTCCCAAATACTCTACTCTCTCTACGTATGTGCCTTTTACT